ATTGACATTCCTCGAACCTGTGCCACCCGCATGGTAACCTAATACGCTAACATCTTAGCTGTCTAGGCTCGTACTTTCGGGAAGGTAGAGCTATTAACTTATATATTTTACTTTTGGTCTGCGTAAGAAGCTTCATTTACGCGAATAGGCCCTAGATCTAGAATTTTTTCAAATTAAATTTTATCTTAAAAATAAGCCAATTCCATAGTTAAACAAAGATTTATATAAAACTAGCGTACCCGTCCCCCGCGCGTTGCCACGGGGATAGAAGAAAGTATGACGAATTGTATTAGAAAGATTTCACCAACGCGTTACCAATCATATGTTCTTAGACGCGTGACCGTCTTTTCTACAAGTGAGTTATTTAAATGTAAACAAAGCCTGCGCTTAAATCATAAATATTGGGACACAGGTTTACCTACACTACCGCATATAAACATTGAGTGTACATTAATCACTCACCGAAATAATATGTTAGAACACACTTCGGTGACCGCCCACGTGTCAGAGACGTACAGGGTCGCTCTCAGCCCCCCCCCCCCCCGATTACACTACCGCATAGGCGCGGCGTACGACCCCTGGCTCCTTAAAAGTAATAGGCGCCATCGTGCCAAATAGCATCCTGTTAATAATGATGCAGATTTCATCATTTGCTAAAGTGCCACAAACGAACAGGCTTTTTTCTTTAACACGTAAAAAAGTATTTGACATATTTTAAACATCAGTGTGACTGATGCAATATGCTAGCGTTACTAATGGTCTATTATTAGATGCTCGATCTCAATTTCTGACTGGATTGTCTAAAAGTAGATGCTTATTGCCTCATTCGCAAAGTGACGAAACTCTACAGCAGGCTCCTCATATTCAAAAAGTTATTTTTTTCATCTTTGGCAAGGTGACGAAACTGTACAGAAGGATTTCCTCGCGTTACAAAGTTATTTTTAGAAGACTGTTGTAGTTTTACCGCTGAATATAGTAGTACCCCTTACTCGCTATGCAGGACGCTCGATTAACGGGTGCCAAGTGCCAACATAGTCGCTCTAAAACTCTGGGCGCCAAACCGTGTATTGACGAAAGTTGTACCCTATACTATATGGCGCCGTCCATAAGAAACTTTAGTTTTCTTTTTCGCTGCAATATTCTCGGGAGTATTCTCATCTACTTCCTAAAGATTCATGGCACTCGGATGAACCGCATCCGAGTTTTATTTTTTATATACCGTGTATAGAGAAAAAAAATCGCTCCCCCCCCCTGGGGGCGCCGCCCTTGCAATATTAAACTATATTTTTTGCAGAACCCTACCATTGAGTGATCTAATCATCTCCCCAAAGTTCCATGGTACATGGTTGAACGATGTGAAACCGAAATAGACTTTTATTTTTATAAACCGTATATAGAGAAAAATTGCAGCCTCCCGTGGCGCCGCCCTTGCGAAATTAGAAAAGGATTTTTTTTTTACAGAACCCTTCCCTGAATTGTTCTAATCAACTCCCCCAAAGTCTCATGGCTATCGGATAATGGTGTCACACCAAAATCGACTATTTTTTAAAATATACCGTATATAGAGAAAAATCGCACCCTCCCGTGGCGCCGCCCATGCGAAATTAAAAATGATTTATTACAGAACCCTTCTCTAGAGTGGTATAATGAACTTCCCAAAGTTTCATGCCTATCGGATGAACGGTGTCATTGCAATTCACTTTTATTATTTTTATATACCGTGTATAGAGAAAAATCGGACCCTCCCGTGGCGCCGCCCTTGCGAAATTAAAAATTATTTTTTTTACAGAACCCTTCCCTAGAGATGTATAATGAACTCCCCAAAGTCTCATGGCTATCGGATGAACGATGCCAAACCAAAATCGACTTTTATTTTTATATACCGTATATAGAAAAAAACAAATTGCGCCCTTTCGGGGCGCCACCCCTGCGAATTTGAAATATTTTTTTTCGCAGAAACCTCCCCAGGAATATTCTTAACAACTTCCCAAAGTTTCATGGCGATGTGATGAGAGGTGTAGTAATGCATAAAGGACAGACACACACACACAGACACACAAACATACATTGCTTTATATATATATAGATAATGAAGGTCTAAAACAGTTTAGTATAGAAACTCATTATTATCTAGATTCTAGATAGAGTTATCTAGATTCTACGACTGGTTTTAGTTAAGTCGAGTTTTTAAGTCTCGTAGTTAATTTTTAGTTCTAAATTTAGATCTAGATCTAGATCTAGAAGCTAGATAGATAGATCACTTGTATTCTTAAATTAGATGACCCTTGAAGCTAAAAGGCAAAGATTTATATAAAATATTTAATGACTAACATAGTTTAACAAAGAAACTCAATAATGTACTGGTACTGTGATTTTATAATGGGTTTTTTTTTTAAAATAACTAAAGGACACCAGCGAGTTGACGAGAACCCTTCCGCAATTTTGTTGACATGGAATAAAAATGTGTTTTTTTTTAGATTTAGGACCGTAAAAATAATAAAAAATAAAAACTTAAGCCTAACATTAATTTAGGAATTTAATATTTTTAGAATCAATGCTATAAAAGTTGCAGATCCAGAGAACTTGAAAATAATTTGTTGAGTTTTAAGGCTACATTCCTATTTATTTTCATCAAACCTAAGTTATAACCCTATGTTTCACTTTCGTAAGATAAACATTGATTAGCTGTACAGGAACTCCGTGATCGATTTCTGACAGCCCCACTTTATAGTTTTTTGTTTACAAAACTTTGCAGATCTAAATCTAGATCTAGTTTTCAAATAACAATGCAAATGTAAACACAATGACCTAGATTTTCTTTCTTTAGCTTACAATATGTACAGTAAAATTTATGGCGGTCTATCGAATAGCAGGATGCTATTGTTTATGTCGCCATTACACGTGAAAACCAAATTGTTTTTGCTTTTTTTTTTAAATTTAGCTACCGAAAACATTAAAACATCAAATACATCCAATCTTTAGGAAAGTCCGAAAAAAACCAGACAGACAGTATTTTATAACCATATTACTTGTAACCACGCCATGCATGATTTTTAAATTAATTTATGGGCCTCTCAAATACCTTTGAGACTTTTCTCGCTGGCGTCCATTTTGGTTTGACCTAGATTCTATAGCTTCCTTTGACATCTGATCTTTAGATTCTAGATCTAGAGCTAGATTCTAGATGTAGATCTAGAGCTAGATTCTAGATCTAAAGAAATTTATTGTATACTTACAATGAAAAAGACTGTTGAAAATTGATATTAGTTAAAACGTAATAAAAATAGAAAACGGACGTATCGTTGAAGCTATAGCCGACAGAAAATTTACTATATAATGCGTTTTACTTTTGAATCGGCAATAAAATCTTCGATGGAAGCCGCCATTATTGTTATAAAAAGTAAATAAATCATGTGACGTAACTATTCACTATAAGAAAAGTCATTGTTCTGAACTTTTATAATTAACTAGACTACCCGTTATCTAGTTAGATAACTGTGGGTTTCGGGGGCATCCATAAATGGCATCACGTCTGCCTTCACTTATCATCCCAAAAATAACCAGACCCCACTTTCAAAAAGACATTTTTTATATTTTAAAAACACTACTAAACTCTACTTCACCTGCCCAGTGCCCCGCCAAGTCTCAGACATATTTGTATTTAAAACAAAAACGATTCCGACCGAACATAGCCCTGACGACACTATCCCTTCATATGCTGATAACATAGAAACAGGTGAACTCTACTTCACCTGCCCTGTGCCCCGCGAGGTCCTGATAATCAACCTTATCATTCACATATAGGTCTTAAGAAAAAATAATTGAAACATTGTTGTAAAAAAAAAAATTATACTATTATTAAAAAGTCATTGTTCTAAACTTTTATAATTAAAGTGGTTAATTTCCCAATGAATATATCAATACATTAATTAACGGCTTTAAATTAGTTTGTAATTAACAGTGTGTTTAAGAAAGAACAATATTTACCATCCAAAATCCTATTTTACAGCTCTACACATAATGCAGATTCTCCCCAATAACATAAAAAAAAGAGTTATCAAACGTCACTATTCAGTCAAAGTTAAACCATTGTTCTAAAACTTTAAAACTAATGTTGTTAATCTACCTATGAATAAATCAATAAAGTAATTAACGTCTTTAAATAAATGTGTGATTAACAGTCTGTCTGCAATCAAAAATTGTTCTCTACCTACATACTATTTTACAGACTCCCATATAGAGAAGTTTCCTTACAGTACCAAATCAGACAAACAAAAATATTATTCAAACATGTAAACAAACTTGAGTTTTAGTAGTATACTAGACTACCCGTTATCTAGTTAGATAACTGTGGGTTTCGGGGTCATCCATAAATGACATCGGGTCTGTCAGCACTTATCATCCAAAAATAACCAGACCCCACATTTAAAAAAAAAGGTTTTTTATATTTAAAAAACTCTACTAAACTCTACTTCACCTGCCCAGTGTCCCGCCAAGTCTCAGACATGTTTGAATTTAAAAAAAAAACGATTCCGGCCGTGCATGGCTCTGACCACACTATCCCTTCATATGCTGAGAACATAGAAACAGGTGGACTCTACTTCACCTACCCTGTGCTCCGCGAGGTCCTGTGTTTAAGAAGGAGCAATATTTACCACCCAAAATCCTATTTTACAGCTCTACACATAATGCAGATTCTCCCCAATAACAAATCAGAAAAACAAACAAACAAAAAATGAGTTATCAAACGTCACTATTCAGTCAAAGTTAAGCCATTGTTCTAAAACTTTAAAATTATTGTGGTTGATCTACCTATGAATAAATCAATACATTAATTAACGTCTTAAATAAATTTGTGAATAACAGTCTGTCTGAAAACGAAAATTGTTCTCTACCTACATAATATTTTACAGCTCTCCACATAGAGTAGAACCATTTACAATAGTCAATCAGACAAACAAAAAATAAATAAATAAATAAATATTCAAACATGTAATATAAAAGACGTTTTTCATCTTTTAAAAACACCGATTTCGGCTGAGCATGTGTCTGATCACAATATCCCTTCATATACTGACGTCACAGGTGACATTTTAAAAGTTCTATTAATTTTAATCACACCGACTTTAAATTTTGCCTTCATTCTCCAAAACAAATTTTAAAATGCTTTTCTGGCATATCTAGCCCTGGCCACCTATATAAAAGCTTTAATATTACTGCCATTTTAAATTAAAAGTTCTACAATTTTTTTTTTCTTTTCCATGAATAGAGGCAATCATTAATGCATTGCACCCAACATTGTTAAAAGCATTAATATCACACCCATTTTTAAATAAAAGTTCCACAGTTTTATCATTTCCATTTTTATCGGATAGCCTTAATGCATTCCTCCATCTTGTTCGATAACTTTAATATCACTGCCACTTTTTAATAAGAGTTCTGCAGTTTTTTCATGGCCATTTAGAGAGGCTATCATTAATGCATTCCGTCCATCATTATTAATTGCGTTAATATCACAGCCACTTTGTATTAAAAGTTCTATAGTTTTTTCATGTCCAATAAAGGCGGCTAACATTAATGCATTCAATCCATTATCGTCAACCGCTTTAACATCGCTGCCACTTTTAATTAAAAGTTCTACAATTTTTTCATGTCCCTTACAAGAGGCCAACATTAATGCATTTATTCCATCTTTTTGAACAGCATTTATATCACTTCCACTTTTTATTAAGAGTTCTACAGTCTCTTTATGTCCATTTAGAGAGGCTATCATTAATGCATTCCATCCATCATTATTAACAGCGTTTATATCACTGCCACATTTATGTTCATTGCACATGGTGAGGCGCTCTGCATTACCTTCACATTTGTTAACATCATTAAAATCAGTGCCAAGTTTTATTAAAAGTTCTACTGTTTTTACATTTCCATTTTTAGAAGCATGCATTAATGCATTACTTCCATCATTGTCAGCAATTTTAACATCAGCACCATGTTTTATTAATAGGTATACAGTTTCCTCGTGTCCGTTTAGAGAGGCCAACATTAATGCATTCCTTCCATCATGGTCAACAACTTTAACATCAGTACCATTCGTTATTAAAAGATTTACAGTTTCCTCGTGTCCGTTTAGAGAGGCTAACATTAATGCATTCCTTCCATCATGGTCAACAACTTTAACATCAGTACCATTCGTTATTAAAAGATTTACAGTTTCCTCGTGTCCGTTTAGAGAGGCCAACATTAATGCATTCCTTCCATCATGGTCAACAACTTTAACATCAGTACCATTCGTTATTAAAAGATTTACAGTTTCCTCGTGTCCGTTTAGAGAGGCCAACATTAATGCATTCCTTCCATCATGGTCAACAACTTTAACATCAGTACCATTCGTTATTAAAAGATTTACAGTTTTCTCGTGTCCGTTTAGAGAGGCTAACATTAATGCATTCCTTCCACCATTGTCAACAACTTTAACATCAGTACCATTTGTTATTAAAAAATTTACAGTTTCTTGATGCCCATTTAGAGAGGCCAACATTAATGCATTCCTTCGATCTTTTTGAATAGCATTTATATCACTTCCATTACTTATTAATAGTTCTACAGTTTTTTTATGTCCATTATTAGAGGCTAACAATAGTGCATTTTTTTCCATTTTTGTCAACCGCTTTAATATCACTGCCACTTTTAATCAAAAGCGCCACAGCTTCTTCATGTCCGTTAAGAGAGGCCAACATTAATGCATTCCATCCATTACTGTCAACAGCTTTAAGATCGCTGCCACTTTTAATTAAAAGTTCTGCAATTGTGTCTTGTCCACTAAAAGAAGCTAGCATTAATGCATTACATCCAACCTCGTTAAAAGCTGTAGCTGTAATATCACTACCACTTTCGATTAAAAGTTCTACTGTTTTTTTGTGGCCATAATAAGAAGCTAGCATTAATGCATTCATCCCATTTTTGTCAACCGCTTTAATATCACTGCCACTTTTAATCAAATTCTCTACAGCTTCTTCATGTCCGTTAACAGAGGCCAACATTAAAGCATTCCAGCCATGTTTTTGAACAGCTTTAATATCACTGCCTTTTTTAATTAAAAGTTCAACAATTTTTTCATGTCCAATAAATCCTGCTATCATTAATGCATTCAATCCAATATTGTCAACAGCTTTTATACCAATGCCTTTTTTAATTAAAAGTTCTGCAACTTTTTCATGCCCATTTTCAGCGGCTATCATTAATGCATTCCATCTATAGTTGTTAACAGCTTTTATATGACAGCGTCTTTTAATTAAAATTTCAACAATTTTTTCATGTCCATATCTAGAGGCTATCATTAGCGCTGTCCATCCATATTTGTCAACAGCAGTTACATCACTTCCATTTTTAATTAAAATCTGCACCCTGTGAACATTTCCTTTTTTAGATGCTAACATTAAGGGGTTCCTTTTGGTTTCACCGCCCCAATAACATTCTAGCTGTGATATATTTGATGGTGCTGCATTACAACCTACAATTAACACTGCTGCGTTTCCCATGATAGAGAAATATTATTTATATTCAAACGCTTTAATATGAAAAGACTGTGCGGATCTTTTAAAATGAATTCTCTTTTTTTTTATCGCTGACAATGAACGTTGAGTGAATTGTTTGACGTAGTATATCGAATTTCTTCACATCATTATGTAACCTTTGGGTCAAATCAGTTGATTATATTGACAATCGCATTACAACTTATAACGTAGAATATCTGTACTTCAATTATCTGTAATAGATTTTTTTTATAAATTGTAAGAAAGTCTAGGTATTCTTAGCGTGCAGATATACATTACTAAAAATCTTTATCCGAATGACTTTTCATTATCTATGAATAAAGAAGTTTTTGAATTTCATTTTAAAATTGTATACGGCAACAATTGAAAATACTTACCCCCTATTGCACTAAATTCAAATTCACGGCTAAGAAATAAACATTAAAAAATCGACGAAATTATTTGGTGCGGTATTGCACATTCGAAGAAGTACACGCAAAAGAGGAAACCAGTTTCAGGCCAACAGAAACGTATTGGGACCTTTTTAAAGCTATTTTCTAAAGCGGAAATAAGTGGCTCGGACGATACAAAAAAAATAGTTATAGGCCATTTAATGCGGTTTAACGGAAAGAGTAATAGAGATAGCAAGGTTGGGGATAGAAGCGTATGCTCAACCCTGAACCCTGAACCCTGAGCCCTTAACCCTCTACTCTCAACCCTCAACCCTCAACCCTCAACCCTCAACCCTCAACCCTCAACCCTCAACCCTCAACCCTCAACCCTCAACCCTCAACCCTCAACCCTCAACCCTCAACCCTCAACCCTCAACCCTCAACCCTCAACCCTCAACCCTTAACCCTTTACCCTTAACCCTTAACCCTTAACCCTTAACCCTTAACCCTTGACCCTTGACCCTTAACCCTTAACCCTTAACCCTTAACCCTTAACCCTTAACCCTTAACCCTTAACTAAAATGCAGAAAGTGAGATTACATATTATTAGACCTATAAATAAATATTTGAAAAATTGAAACCATTTGAGTTTTCATGGAATTCAGCCAGAAAGTGCGCGACGACCCCTCTCTTTATATAATCCTCAAGTGTGGTGAACATGAATTGAATTGGTTTAGGGCGTCCAGAATTCTATAACGGACAATGAATACTTCCCGCCCGTCATACGTACGTACCAAACAACTTTTGCCTTTTATATAATAGAATAAAAATATGTATATTCAAGGTATAAAGAGCCTAACCCATTGCCTTAAAACTGCACTCTATAAATCAGCCCGCATTTCTCACTTTACCTTTGACATGATCGACCGGGTATCGATTATGGGTGACTCTTTCGAAACGATCTTTTTTTTTTAATAAGATTCAATGTCGCTACAATCAAAGATTCAAAAATCCTTTTCACGCAACTATTACATTTAACTGTGTATTTGTTTACTTGCAAGCCTTAGGGGGCGAAGATAGACATCGTAAATTAAAAACCATTTATCGGTGCCCAATATTTATATTGAATAACAAAACAGCCTATGCGATCACGTCTTTGTGTAGCTGTGACGCCAACAATCAATGAAAGTCATAAAAGGGGCTCTAGATTTCAAAGAAACTATTCACTAGTAAACTGCTATTCATGGTTTTATCATGGATAAAAGAATGTATAATATATGTTAGTCAATGGGGAAAAAATGTGTCAGGCAAGGAAACATTTTTTTTACCAGGAAGATACTCTGGTATTTGAGTACTAGCTATCAATACCCGTTCCACTTGAATTATAGGCATATGTATTTTAATGTATTACTTGTTTGAGAAAAATATTTTATAAATAAACCGGGAGTGGTCTCCCCTAAACTTTCTCGAATATTCTTATATAACACTACGGGGGTGGCAAATCGGAATATAGACATGATTTTTAATCCATGTTTAATTACTTAAACTTTTTAAAATAGAATAGAATCTCATAGAAAAAAGAACTGCGCACCAAGCAAAATATGTATAATGGTGCGGAATATTATTAGTACTTTATAAATTCATATGCGTTTTTTAACAAATCAGAAAAAGCGTAAAATAGTACTTCCAGTCAACGGAAATTACTCAAAATTTGACAGAAGGCAGAGAATTAGATATTTTACTTACATGTGAAATGTCATTTATCTATCTGAAATATTACTGTTTAGTTATAGGCTTTTGAAAAATTGAAAGTAGAAAAAGTTCTACTCACAAAAAAAAAATCGCTCAAAAGTTGATACATATTACAAATTTGATATAATAATTTTATAAGAAATTTCATCAACCTAGCTGTAACGGTACTCAAGTTATCGTGTTTACACACACACACACACACACACACACACACATACACACACAGACATACGTACAAGATTGCACTACTCTGTTTTTCAAGATTTTTCAAGGTGCAAAAATAAAATATGATGTTATTTTTTGTCGGATTTTGGTCTCCCCCCCTCCCAAAATGTTAAGCGTGTGAAGGGAGTGTATCCTGTAAAATATAACTGTTACGATTCTTACGCTATTATGTCCCTTATTTATTAGGGGGTGTGTGTGACAGATATGTTAGGCGTGAGTAAGAAAATGAATCGATAATTAAATACTCAAAAAATAAAGATTATTAAAAATCTTTTACCGCTAAATAACTACTTTACGACAAAATTTAGTTATAGAGCTGTTCAAATTAACGGTTTAAATAGGTTGTTTTCTTTTTCCCACGTTTTCTTTAACTTGCTTTCTCTGTTTGTTTGTCTTTCCAATCAAATCTTGCGATCGAAATTTCTGGCACTTCCCAGTTAGCTAGCGCGCTGAAATTTTCAGGGAAGCTTTCTTTTGGATGACCATAGAATATTCAATTGTTATTATTACTAAATTGATCAATGGAAACATTTTATTGAGCATTTTAGACCGCTATATAATCTATATATATAATTCTCCTCTGCGAGCCATTAGAAAAAAAACCAGCGACGCGTAGCTAGCCTCTCTCTTGCCGCGCGCAGTGAAGCGAACGATCCCACTTCGCGACAGGCTTAGGGGCAGATAATTTAGTTTTAACCGACTTTAAACTTACAGGAGGTAACTATTACCACTGGTGGCCAGTTTGGGGGAGACGATATGGTCGAGTGGTTGGGCACACGATTGCTATCCCACTCGACACGGGATCAAATCTATGTGTTCTAGTCAGTAACCAGCCCTCGTCCTAACCGCTTTCAACTAACCTCTGACAATCATTCACTTGCGATTGATACCGAAGAAGAAAGGGTCTCTCGTTTTTTACGAGTTGTCTTTTTACGAGTTGTCTTCGTTTACCCAAAAAAAAGTGAAAAGATAAAATCGATAGCAAGATTTCAATGCAAACAAACAGACAAAGACTAAAAAGTAGAAAATAATAATCATTAAAAAAGTTTTAAAAAACCCACGTTTTCTGATTGAACTAAAAAGTAGAAAATAAATACTATACATCACAATAATGCAAGCGATCACTCTACTATAAGCGATCAAAAACGTGGGGCGCCGTGATTTTCTTACAGTTTCTAATACTGTTGACTCTCTACAAGCTCCCTAATAAAAGTCAATAGTATTATCTAATCAATAGTAATATAACTTTTACTTCGGCGCCCCACGTTTTTCATCGCTTATAGTAGAGTGATCGCTTGCATTATTGTGATGTATAGTATTTATTTTCTACTTTTTAGTTCAATCAGAAAACGTGGGTTTTTTAAAACTTTTTTAATGATTATTATTAAAGTTTTATTTAAATTCTAAGCACCTTCTAAAACTTTATTTGAATGGATTTTCTAGTGCCTATTATCTTGATGATGATTTTACCATCAGATGTCTTAAGTACCATTAAAACACATAATACGATATTTGAAAATGAAATAAACATCTTGTACCAATGATTTGCAAAGAAGCAAATTGCCCAGTTAATTCAATTGTAAATTTGCCTGTGGTAAAATTATTATTTTGTCTGCCTTAGATAGATTGAAAAGAGGAAGCAGTCTATTCACTAATTGTAATGCAGTTTATTATTTATTTTTAATTACTTATTTTGGCGCCTCCAAACGGTCTGCAGCCCAAAACCCACTTCCGACCCATAGGCTGAACCCAATGCGCTGTTTAGACGTCCTCTAGCGTTGTGTCACTTCATTTCAATATTGTGGTCTTTGTTCTCACTGCCGATCTAAGACCACAAATTAAGTTACATATTTTTTTGTTTCGTCTTTAACCACGCTTCATTGTGTGCTTACAAAAACATTGGGCAGAAACGTCAACTGCACCTTACATTGTATATCATTTATCTAATACTAATACTATATGTTCTTATTCTTTGGCCTAGTAATTTTGAATGGGGATGAACTCTTTGGCTATTAATAACTAGATCTAGGGATTTTCCAAATAAACTTGATATGGAAAGCATCAAGGGAGGCAGTAGACATCAGTTGAGATAGGGAGTCATGGCGTACAAGTGTCATCTATAAATTCGGTAAGTAAACAAGCTAAATATCTTTAGCCTATATATTCAGGTATTTGGAATCGCCCTTAACTGGGCTTTCTCTGAAACATTTTACTCTTATAAAATAAAACAGAAGGTAAAATGTCGGGTTTGTGTAATGAAACCAAAGCGGATCTACTACTACATACGTACATTAAAAATACAAATATAGCCTTAGCCTTAACCTGGTTGTAAGTTAGATCTACATGTAAAGTCTTAAAAGCAGAACAATTTGAAAATTTCATAACATTGAATTTTACATGTTTTCATTTTTCTTTTACGGCCGCTGTGAAGGCGAAATTGTATAAAACACTTTCTTTAATCCATGTCATAGTCAACAAATTATAAACGAAGATTCGGATGGGGGGGGGGGGGGGGGGGAGGGGAGAGCGTGAGTCATCAAAAATGGCGGATTACATGGAATCCGGCCAAAGTTTAGGTTTACACTAGCCACGTATTTCTTAACCTGAGTTCGGTCGAACCCCAGGTGAGTCAGTCATATGGTTTTGGTCGAGGTCAAGACACACACCCGACTCATATGATTCACGAATGGATTTTGTTAATACGACCATAGAATTTTGAAGTGTTCGGCGAATGTAGACTGGTGGGGTTCGTACCTCCAAAAAGGTTAAGAACCACTGCACTAGATTCTAGTTTTATATAAAATGTAGTCTAGATCTTGATTTTAATCTAGATACCGAAAATGAAACTATTATGTATGTAAATAGTCTTTCCGATAGCATGTGCTATAGTAAACTAACATCAACGGACCAATAAAAATATAATTCCCGAGACTAAGTTGTATCAATGATGTTAAATGAAAATAAATTTACTATTAAAAAACAAAGGCCATCTTAGAATATTATTTATAATTGTTTTTGTTTAGCTTCTATTTGCATGGAAATCAGTCCAGTTTTCTTGTTTCGTATTAGCTACAACTAAGATAACCCAAATATTTTTTTTTGGGTAATGTAAGCAAAATCGACCGACGCTAGCTGATAACATAATTTCGCTTCTTCAAAACGAGGAAATAATTTTTCTTAAATAAACAAAATCATCCATAAATGAATTAAAATTTTCCTTTTAATAACTTCTCAACAGATGTAGCAGAAAGGATGAGTGAACCGAGCAGAGCCAGTAAAGAACTGCCCATGATGAATGGTAGGTGTAACTAAGATATTATGTTTTTTTAAAGGCACTAGCTGTATGATATGATGGATCTTCCGTCACCGAAATCTAACTCTGTTGTAATACTTTTGAAAATTTCAATACTTAAGGAGAGTATTTAATTTTGACTTAATATGGGCATTAACAAAATTTTATTGACATTTTTAAAAAAAATGAATTTTAAATCTACCAGGGGGGTTGAAATCTGAGTTAGAACTGGCAAAAAAAGTGCTGTGTGACCTAAAATTATCTCATGAAATGTTATTACTGTGAGCGGCTGGAGTGTATTTTTATTATTTGTAACTTAGAAGGCGAATGTATCGTTTCGTTTCATGTCGTAAATTGTTCGTATTTTTTAGTTGTGTAGTCCCGTATTATGGCGCCGCTGTCTCACTGTTTATGTCCCTGGTTATAGCTAGTTTATATATATTTCGTTTATATTGTTGTCATTGTTTATAGTAAGTGTCTTTTTATAATATTCTGTTGCATGTTTCGTCGTGTTTGGTTTGTTATCCGTGAATTAGGGACTATTTGTTTACGTGTAGCGTGTGAGGTGTGTGGAAGTCGGGTTCCGGCTTGTTCAACTCTGTCTTTTTGTGTGTAAAGCTGCGGTGAAGGGAGCAGGCAGTCTCTCTGGTCATCGGGTGAAAAGAATAGCAAATTCGCACCATCCAGCCATATTTATTTTGTGTTTGTGTTCGTCGTAGTCCTGGTAAGTTAGATATAAGTTTATTTCTTTACTATGTCTATTTTTTGCTATGCTCTTTATTTTGGTTACTGGCCATAAGTTTTTTTGTGGTTGTCTTCTGACCGCCATTGTGGTCAGGCCATGTGGACTCAGATTCTGAGTTTTTATGGTCATTTTATTACTTTGTTGTATCTCTTGGGCTTGTGTGAAGCCAAGGATACTGCTTATTTATACTTGGCCCACAGTTATGGTTTACTCCTGGCTGTTGGGTTAAGTGGTATACGTATTCTATTGATTGTATCCCTTGGGCTGGTGTTAAGCCAGGGATAAAGGTAATTTTAGACTTGACCCGCAGCTATGGTTTACTCCTGGCTGTCGGGTTAAGTAATACGCACATTCTATTGATTGTATCCCTTGGGCTGGTGTTAAGCCAGGGATAAAGGTATTTTTAGACTTGACCCGCAGCTACGGTTTACTCCTGGCTGTTGGGTTAAGTAGTAGAGTTGTTGTTACCTGACCCACAGTCACGGTTCGTTCCGGACTGTCGGGTTTGGTTATATTTTTATCTTTATAGTGACCTTTCGCTTCCTGTGGTGATCATGTTGATCCCCAGGAGAGTGTTCGGTTCGTTCTAGTCACTGTGAAGGTACACTTGTTTTTAATAGATTTTATTTTACTTAGCCTTTTGTTAGGCTGGTAACTGTGTTGAGCTAGTAGTTTGAGCTCAGTGTCCTGGCAGTGTTCCAGTTAATTGTTAAAGTATATTCTGTGTGAACTACCTGCAGGCGGTGGAGATGTAATCCAGCCAGCCTGTGGTTAATGCTTTGTATATAACTTTTCTTTGTAAAGTAATTAATTTATTTGTTTTCCTTTTTCTAGGACGTAGTCCGAAATTGGGTGTTGTGTTTGATGTAAAAAGTTTGTTTCGTTTGGTTCTGTTTTGTGTCAGTTTATATCTATTCTTTTTTTATAACTTTTGGTTCCATGCAATAAATTTTATTAACTGTAAAAGTTTTTGTTTTATTTTAGTAGCTTATTATTTAGACTAAGGTTAGGGTTCAACCACTGTGGGTTCTACCACGGTTGCACTGACCGGACAGATTAGTTAGTTAAGCCTAGAAGGGTAGATTTAAGGTATCCCCCTGGAGGCCCACTGCAATTTCCTGTCTTCGGCCTTACCGGCCGATGTGAAGAATGCCCAACAGGTAGACTCAACCATCCAGGAGATCCTACCCTTCCTGACGCCCGGCCACAGATTACATTCCTCGACATTATCACTCCCAGCCCAGATTCTCCTGAGACAAAAGTCGAGACTCAGGTTGAAGGACGGTATCCTACAGCGCACAGTGAAACTGCCAGGTCAAGGGGAAATCGCACAATGCGTTATCCCCAATCAACTACGACCAGAGGTGCTCCGTCTAAGTCACAACGACAACGGCCACCAAGGACCAGACCGCTGCCTGCAGCTGTTACGGCAACGATGCTACTGGCCGGGGATGGAGGCAGATGTACGCCAGTACTGCCAGGCATGTGACCGCTGCCAGCACGCAAAAATGACCAGTCTGAAGGTGCACCAGCCTAAAGGTCATCTTTTGGCCACCATGCCCCTAGAGGTTGTGGCAGTCGACTTCACCCTGATGGACAAAGCGGCAGACGGTACGGAGGATGTATTGATTCTCACCGATGTTTTCACCAAGTGGACAGTTGCTGTTCCGACGAAGGACCAGACTGCCAAAACCGTGGCGAAGGCCCTGGTGCAGAACTGGATAGTTCACTACGGTGTCCCCAGGCGACTACACTCGGACCAGGGCAAATGCTTTGGGGCAGCCGTAATACACGAACTGTGCGACCATTATGGGATACAGAGGTCCCGAACAACGGCATACCACCCCCAAGGAAACGGCCAAGCAGAGAGGTTCAACCGGACCCTACACGATCTGCTTCGGACCCTACCTGTTGACAAGAAGAAGGACTGGCCTCGGTACCTGACCGAGCTGGTCTTCCTCTACAACACAACCCCGCACTCGTCAACAGGTTTCTCCCCGTTCCAGCTGTTGTTTGGGCGGGAGGCAGCCATCCCCTTGGACCTATTTTTAAACCAAGCCCCTCCAGCAAATAGTGGTGGTGCTGGAGATTACCTCCAGGGCCACCTAACACGACTGGCCAGCCTGCACAAACTAGCCCAGGAGAGGCTGCAAATAGAGGCCACCAAGAGGGACAGACAGGCCAATAACAGGCCAGCCGCTGAACTGGCCATAGGCGACCTGGTCCTGTTAAGGCAGCACCCCCTGGGCAGGCACAAAATGGCGGATCTGTACGGCCCGACAGTTTACGTCGTGGTCGAAGTACCTCCGATCACCGGCGGGTGTTACGCCATTAAGAAGAAAGATGGCCCTTCTGGCACCCGCCGGGTGGCCAGCACCCAGATCAGGAGATATGTGCCTCCCCGGGCTCAACCACCCTCCCCAAGGCCGGTCAAAGTGATACCGCCGGCTACTCCAGGCTACAGCCACATAATTTATAAGGTCCAATTGCCGGGGACCAGAGCAGCCGGTAACCCCACAGTACCTGACATACCTCTGCGTAGGTCGGTCAGGGAGCGCAGAGTCCCTAGTAGGCTAGACTTGTGATTGTGCCCTGTGGGCTGATTTTTTTGACAATGTTTTTTTGTAAAATTTATGATCGTGCCCTGTGGGCTGATTTTTTTGCAAGTTCTTTTGCAAAGTTTTGTTTTTTGTAACATGTATGATTATGCCCTGTGGGCTGATTTTCTGGCAAAGATTGTTTTTTTGTAAAATTTATGATTGTGCCCGGTGGGCTGATTTTTTTGCAAGTTCTTCCTGCAAAGTTTTTTGGTAACATTTATGATTATGCCCTGTGGGCTGTTTTTTTCAAGTTTGTTAGCTTGCGGTGACCGCAAGCTTTAGGGGGCGTGTATGTGAGCGGCTGGAGTGTATTTTTATTATTTGTAACTTAGAAGGCGAATGTATCGTTTCGTTTCATGTCGTAAATTGTTCGTATTTTTTAGTTGTGTAGTCCCGTATTATGGCGCCGCTGTCTCACTGTTTATGTCCCTGGTTATAGCTAGTTTATATATATTTCGTTTATATTGTTGTCATTGTTTATAGTAAGTGTCTTTTTATAATATTCTGTTGCATGTTTCGTCGTGTTTGGTTTGTTATCCGTGAATTAGGGACTATTTGTTTACGTGTAGCGTGTGAGGTGTGTGGAAGTCGGGTTCCGGCTTGTTCAACTCTGTCTTTTTGTGTGTAAAGCTGCGGTGAAGGGAGCAGGCAGTCTCTCTGGTCATCGGGTGAAAAGAATAGCAAATTCGCACCATCCAGCCATATTTATTTTGTGTTTGTGTTCGTCGTAGTCCTGGTAAGTTAGATATAAGTTTATTTCTTTACTATGTCTATTTTTTGCTATGCTCTTTATTTTGGTTACTGGCCATAAGTTTTTTTGTGGTTGTCTTCTGACCGCCATTGTGGTCAGGCCATGTGGACTCAGATTCTGAGTTTTTATGGTCATTTTATTACTTTGTTGTATCTCTTGGGCTTGTGTGAAGCCAAGGATACTGCTTATTTATACTTGGCCCACAGTTATGGTTTACTCCTGGCTGTTGGGTTAAGTGGTATACGTATTCTATTGATTGTATCCCTTGGGCTGGTGTTAAGCCAGGGATAAAGGTAATTTTAGACTTGACCCGCAGCTATGGTTTACTCCTGGCTGTCGGGTTAAGTAATACGCACATTCTATTGATTGTATCCCTTGGGCTGGTGTTAAGCCAGGGATAAAGGTATTTTTAGACTTGACCCGCAGCTACGGTTTACTCCTGGCTGTTGGGTTAAGTAGTAGAGTTGTTGTTACCTGACCCACAGTCACGGTTCGTTCCGGACTGTCGGGTTTGGTTATATTTTTATCTTTATAGTGACCTTTCGCTTCCTGTGGTGATCATGTTGATCCCCAGGAGAGTGTTCGGTTCGTTCTAGTCACTGTGAAGGTACACTTGTTTTTAATAGATTTTATTTTACTTAGCCTTTTGTTAGGCTGGTAACTGTGTTGAGCTAGTAGTTTGAGCTCAGTGTCCTGGCAGTGTTCCAGTTAATTGTTAAAGTATATTCTGTGTGAACTACCTGCAGGCGGTGGAGATGTAATCCAGCCAGCCTGTGGTTAATGCTTTGTATATAACTTTTCTTTGTAAAGTAATTAATTTATTTGTTTTCCTTTTTCTAGGACGTAGTCCGAAATTGGGTGTTGTGTTTGATGTAAAAAGTTTGTTTCGTTTGGTTCTGTTTTGTGTCAGTTTATATCTATTCTTTTTTTATAACTTTTGGTTCCATGCAATAAATTTTATTAACTGTAAAAGTTTTTGTTTTATTTTAGTAGCTTATTATTTAGACTAAGGTTAGGGTTCAACCACTGTGGGTTCTACCACGGTTGCACTGACCGGACAGATTAGTTAGTTAAGCCTAGAAGGGTAGATTTAAGGTATCCCCCCCTAGCAGGGCTTACATTACTAACAAAAGGTGAGAAGATATATATATATATATATATATATATATATATATATATATATATATAATTTGAAAGAAATAGTTTCTTTTCTTCATAATTCTAAAATTGAAAGATGACGCAATTATTTTTATGTTCTTTCCGTAGTTTAAACATGTGACGTCATTTTTTCTTGTCACAACCATAAACACTTTTCTGGTTGCATAATTTAAAAGTGTTTCTACATTCGAATATTGCTTTATTTTTGTTTTCTTTCTTGAAATACAATTTAGTTAATACATTTAAAAACTTCCCCCATATAATTTTCAACAAAAGTCCGTATCTTTAAGTTCTCCATATACCGATGAAGATACTGATCTCTTAGGCTCGGGACATTCGGACAGAAGAGAGAGAGAGATAGATAGAGAGAGAGAGAGAGAGAGAGAGACAAGAGAGAGAGAGAGAGAAAGAGAGAGAGAAGAAGAAAATTGTTGGGTACTCCTATACGTTAATTTTCAATAGTTGCTTAGTAATTATCTTCGCGCTTGACTTAAATTTGAACAATATTAACAAATCGCCAGAAAAATGCTTGGTTATATTGATTTGTATTTACATTTTAAATATCTTCAGACCATCTAAAAATTATGACGTATTTGGAGCCTTATTCTTTACCAAGTAATTTCGATACCATCTCAATGTCCATGGATTCACTTTTCGATATGCCGGAAGCAGACCATCCTTCTTACTCAAGTAATGCCATGTTGAAGCCCATGGATCCACTTACGGAAGCACTACAGAAATTTGAAACACTCTCTGTTGTATCCGAAAGTTCGGATTTAGAACTTATCGACACTGGTCAAAGTATGTTTCTTGATTAAAAGATATGTATAGAAATGTTTGATAATTTAAATTTCTTGAAAGTAATACGTTTAATAGAAATATTTTACTTCTACTGCGAGAAGCCTGGTGACATGGACGTTTATTATTTGTTCTTTTGTATGCTTGTGACTAACAATTGAATTAGCTCAGATATTTTCAGTCCAATTTCTGTAATGTATTACATAAAAAAAATTAACATTAAAAAAATGGATTGAAAAAACACTAGTTTCATTAGCATTCTAAACAAATCACTTTGCAGCTCTGTTAAACATACTTGCAAATATATTTATACCATTATGTTACCAAGTATTTTTTATATAATTCATATATGTGGTACAAGCAATAAATAGAAAAAAAAAGTAAACTTATTACAAAAAAATATTTCCTTCAATTAAGTAGTTATATATAGCTGGAATCATAATATAAAACATATGTTCAATTTTCATCATCAGTCGTCAGTCAGTCTGTCCAGCACAAAACGCCCGAGCGAAATTGCAGACACTTCTAACTGACAGATACGGTTCGTAGTTGGTACGTGGGTCAAGACAAAAAGACAATGCAACATGACGTTAAATTTGACCTAATTGGTTATTTTTTTTTATTATGAATTAATTAACATTTTGTCCAAATTAGTAGGCTGTCTCATCAAAACTATTCGCGCTATTAGACACGCGTCATCACGTTCAATAGGGCGTCATCACGTTCAATAGGTGCGCAATGGTTTTTAGTCATGTAACTCTATTGTAAATAAAACATGTAAAGTAGGCTACTAAACATTTTTTTTTCATACAAAACGTTTTAATAACAAGCTTTTATGTAATAATGCACTAAAAAGTAGAAAATAAATTATAGACTACTATTTAAATAACTATAAAGAAAAGCGTGGGTCTCTTCATAAATATTAGAAAAGTTATCCAATAGATACTAAATAGACTCACCTAAACTTTCTCGAATATTCATATATAACAGTAAAGGGGACGTCAATCCGGATATAGAAATGTTTCTATTTTCTCGTATACATAGAGCATAGAGGAAGTATTGCAATAGTGCACAAAAATCACATAAAATTTTGACAGTTTTCACCGTTTTACACCTCGGTACTTCATCATATAGGCCTACTGAGTCAGTGGCGTAGCGAGGTCGGGTGTCACCCGGTGCGGCACTTAATGGTGTCACCCCCCCCCAGAGGCGTAGCGACCCTTCCCGGGGACAAACTTTCAAATTTTCGATTCCCCCCCCCCCCACCCCCTAAAACTTTTAATTTGCACCCCCCCCCCCTCACGTTTTTCTCTATATATTTTGCTATTTTTTGCCTTGGTGTCACCCCCCTAAATGGTGTCACCCGGTGCGATCCGCACCCCCCGCCCCCCCCCCCCTCGCTACGCCTCTGTACAGAGTATTGGGGACTTATTTTATTCGGGCGAAAATTCTAATTCATTTAGATTTATCAAAGTCTTGAAAAAACTGGGCTTTGCAATTTTGTCCGTATGTCTGTATGGTTGTCTGTCTGTGAACACGGTAACGTGAGTACCGTTTCAGTTATGTCAAATTTTTAGTTTTGTATTAACTTTTGAGCGATTTCCGGTAACCATAAGTAGTACTCATTAAACTTCCGAAGTCTGAAAAGCCAATAAATTGAGTACCATTTACGTTACGTGGACGAAATTTTAATGTATTCATAAAAAATAATAAGTCATTCAATTGAAATAAATTTGATGTCAGATTGCATTGTCATTTAATCTTGTCACACGTGCCGATATTCAGAGAAATTGGTTAGAAGTGCCCCGAATTTTGCTCGCCCGTTTCAATTTTTGACAATAAACAACAGAGGAAGCATGTTAAACAAAAGCTTGTAAAAATAGATTCGATCTTACTTTTTACATTACATTCAAATATAGATAGTCCTGTATGTTTGTTATTAGGAATTTATTTTGAGTTGCGTATAGATTAATGTTAAGGGAGGGTACAAGAGTGGTGCTTTTTTGTTTTAATCCGTCGCTCTATATCACGGGTTCCCAACCTGGGGGTCGCGACCCCCCAGGGGGTCGCGAAGGTCTTTCTGGGGGGTCGCCAACTGGTATACTAAACCTTAGTAATTTGAAACAAAACATAAATATTTAGAAGAATTTTTGAAATTCGGCTTCATTAACATCACTGGAAATGTAATAGAGAAGAAACAAAGCGCACTGTACAAAGTTGTTCTCAGTCACGAATCTATAAAATCTTCAAAACTAAAACGCCATTTGAGACGTGTCATTCGGAACACACCGAAAAATATATGGAGTTCTTTCGTCGGTAAGAAGCTAGTTGCAAACGCCAGCGACTTGATCGAACAGGAAATTTTCACCAGCATTAGTGCAAGCATCAAATGAAGTCGCGATATAAAATGCCAAGCGAAAAAAAAAAACAATAGGAGAAAATCTCATCAAACGCTGCATGTACGTAAATGTTAAATAACACATTTTTATTGAAATTAAGCTTTCACCATTGTTTGCTTTTCAAGTTGATAAATCATCAGACGTGAGTTCGTGTTCGCAGTTGCTGGTCTGTGTCTATATTCATGCGGATGATAGCAATGAAGAGTGAATAGAGAAAATAAATACCCTTTTTGAAACTTGATGATTAAAATGGGGTTGTACGGATGGTGCGCTATCTATGTTTAGCTCAAAATCGGGCTTTCAGAAAACAGAAAAGATTTAGCTCCCTAACCACTGCCCTAACCAATCGAAATTAAGAGTCCATTGCTAGTATAAGTCGTAAATTATATAAAATATGGAGCCTTCAAAGAACTGAGCAAAAACATTAATATAGATCACGAGGTTCTGCTCTTCTACACTACAGTACGTTGGCTGTCAAACGAAATGTTGTAAATTGTGATTTTTAGATTGAAATCTGAAATCAAATTGTTCTTTGAAGTGCAAAGGAAACAAGACTTTTTGGTATACTTAAAACGACATAGAGTTCGAACAAGATAAGCTTAACCTGAAGCTTCAGCGAAAATGAACGAATATTATAACTTTCCATGATAATCTCGGGGCATTTTTTATCAAAGCTGCAAAATCGGTAAAGAAAATAAATCTTGGAAATATTGTAAATTTGAGAAACTCTGCGGTGTGGTAGATGAATCTGATTGTGAGATAATTACAATTTTGAAAGAAGCGATTTCTGGGCATCTTGAATCTCTTGAAAACGAACTGCATCGCTATTTCTCTGAGCTGAAAAAAGAAGAATCTGCATTTACGCATTACCCATTCTCTACTTCCCTTGATGTTGCCAGCATTCCTGATGAATTACAAGATGAATTCTTTGATTTGCAGAATGATTCCGAGTAAGATGAAAAACTGCACACACAATTTTGGTGTAGTATTCACCATTCATACCCTAAAGTAAAATTGATTGACTTTTCAAGAATATATTTTCAACACTATTCTTCGATTAAAAACAAAATTAAGATAATTATAATGAAATAGTTTGGCGTTAACAAATTATTTTAAAATTAAAAACTTAACCACGAAGGTTTAGTGAATAGTATGCAATTTTACTAATGCTATTAAAATAGTTATCGAGAGTAGTTCATATTGAAAGTCTACTAGAAAATCTTATTTTAGTGCTTATTAATTTCCATACTAATTTCGGCTTTTTAATTCTATGGGGGTCGCGGGTCACTTAACTTTTATAAAAGGGGGTCGCCACTCGAAAAAGGTTGGGAACCACTGCTCTATATAAATGATTTTGTTGGTATTTTAGTTTGTTTGTTTTTAGTTTAGACCACGTTTGATTTAGATTTAAACATAATTTACTTGTTGCAATAGAGAGGTTTATGTTTGTTCATATACGTTTTTAAAAAAATATATGTAGATATTATTGGGAAAGCAGACCATCCTTCTTATTCAAGTAATACCACGTTGATGCCCATGGATCCATTTACGGAAGCACTACAGAAATTTGAAACACTCTCTGTTGTATCTGGAACTTCGGATTTAGAATATATCGACACTAGTCAAGGTATGTTGATTGATTAAAAGAAATGTATTTGTATTGTTTGTATTGTTTACATTTTCTAGAAAATGATGTAATTAATCGTAATATTTTACGTTTTATGCATTAAACCTTGAAGTATGGTGGTAGATTGCTTGTTCATTTGTAATTTCCTTGTGACTAACACTTAAATTAAATTCAGGTACTTTTAGTCAAGATTTATTTGATAATAAATATTTTAAAAAAATTATGAATAGAACTGCTCGTCTAGACAAAAAGTAATTTGAATGAATTCTAGAGACGTAGATTATTTATTTTTATTTGCAATTTTTTCTTTTCTTATTATTAATTTTAAATAATAATTCATTCGTTAGCCAAATTTCGGTCAATACATTATACTAGCCATAATATTATACTAGACATAATTAGCCACGTAAAAATTTAAATGTTAACTCAAACAAAAAAGCTAATTAAAAAATATTATATATAAATTATTTACTTCGTTTTTTTTTTTTGAGAATGCAAAAACAATTTATAATGTTGCACTAAAATAAAAAGAGAAGAATATTTTTTGCATATTCAGTCAATTATTGTAGATAACAATTTTCGAGGGAAATAAAAATAATTAAAATAGAAAGCATCGCTCTAGATCACCCGCTATACTTTAGAATTGGGAACAAACGAATACAGCAACCCACGTATAAAGATGTAACACAAACCTTACTTATTTCATTTACATCATTGATCTTCACGTAAATATTGGAATTGCTTTCATTAAGCCATTACTACTTTCAATTTTTTTTACCCTCTAAATGTAGTGTTTACAAATTATTCTTTTAATCAATGATAGTTTAGAGGCCGTTCCTAAATGTCCTCATTATGTTTTCGTTTATGTTCGCGTTCGCATTATTTATTGCTTTTATTTCTGCACATTAACGCAAACAAATCAAAAACATAATCGCTTACTAAATATAAAGTTTGCGTTATAGCTGCAAGTGGTCGATCTAATTCAAGCTTTTAAAAAGATGTGTGTAGACGCGATCAGTCTAGGTCAGTTTTTGTTTAATTTAAATTCAAATATTGTGATGGCTAATGTTTGCCTGTGAGTTTCAGAGATATAACAATTTTTTTATTATATAAAAAAGGAAAATATCATACAGCATACAATACTGTATTTGATCTCTATTTTAATTTATCAATTACGATAATTCTGTGCTGCGGAATTTTAAATATGAAATGTGACGTAGGCCTATATAGATGAAACACTTAAAATCAAATATTAAAAGCATTATTAGCCTTATAAAATGAATCTTCGATATTTCATGTCTTCTAGGCATCAAGCAAACTACGCGTAAAAAAACGATCAGCAATCAAGAAATAACGCAAGAGAATGTTTCTAAAGATATGAAATCTAAAGCAAGATTCAAGTATAAAAAAGACCCAAAAGCTAATCCGAAATATATGAAAGCTGTTGAAGAAAAAGGAAAGATCCTAGAACTAGACATTAAAACTAAAAGAAGATACTACAAATGTAGATCAAGCTACACTACTTTAAAATCAGTTACATGTTGGCCAGATTATTTCATAGAAAAGGACTTAACACCTTTAGCAGACAACAGGCAAGGGGATATTAAAGTGAGCGAAGATTTGAACCACAAACTCTCCTTGTTTTCCGGGGATATCACTACTTTGGAAATCGATGCTATAGTTAATGCTGCCAATAAAACCCTTTTTGGGGGAGGAGTTGACAGAGCAATCCACAGTGCAGCCGGGCCCAGCCTTATGGATGAGTTTAGAGGTTTAGGTGGCTGTGATGAAGGGGAGGCAAATATAACTGGCGGATTTAAACTACCTGCTCGATATGTCATTCACACAGTTGGTCCCAAGAGAGAAGACCCGGTGAAACTGGAGCAGTGCTACAAAAACTGTTTGAATATCTTGCGTGAATACAATTTAAAAACAATAGCGTTTCCATGTATTTCCTCAGGGATATTTGGTTACCCAAACAAAAAAGCTGCAGATGTTGCTCTCAGCACTATAAGGAGTTGGCTGGAGCATGATGATTATTCTTATAAGGTTGACCGTATCATTGTGTGTCCCTGCTTACAAAAAGATAAAAATGTTTATCGTAACCTCATGCAGCGTTACTTTCCTTTAGATGAAAAAACGATCCAGGGAAATAAATACAAAAGGAAATAATGACCATAGCAGGGTGAGCTACAACCTGAGGCTGCAGTTAGTCCTGGTGATACAGATATTACAGACCTGACAATATACCCTGGCCTGATGCCGCAGGTCGTGCACATGTCAAAAATACCGACTTATATAATGCAAGTGCTAAATAAAATAGCCTGGATATAATTTTGGAGATATATGTATTTATTACTACTAAATAATTTTTAATCAACAATATTTGTGCATTTCAATTGGGTGTACGTGTTTCAGTCATCTTCTGGACAGTGTTTCTTCCAGACTTTTTTCTCCGGGGGGGCACTTGAAATTTTCGGGGGGGGGGGGGGCGGTAGACTTTCTTCGGGGGGGCGGACACTGTTAAAAGTATATTTTTTCTATATAAATTATATAAATTCCATTTCGTTCGGGGGGGGGGGGGGGCGGTAAAAAATTTTCGGGGGGGCTTTGCCCCCCCCCCGAAGAGATGCCTGGAAGAAACTCTGCTTCTGGATTTTTGTTACAATAATATAAGCGACATAACCGTGTTACGCTTATTTAGTTTGTGTGGATACATTTGGATTTGAAGTTTCCTCTTAACTATTGCATTTTTAAAAAGAACAATATTAATTTTCCGTTTTCCGAGTGCACTGTGGGTCACATTGCGTCAAAATATAAAAAAACAACAACAAAGAATGGACGAGGAAAATCTATTGTTTGAAATGTACATTCCCCTTTTTATTTTCTTTATCACGAGCCCCATTCCATAGAACTCAATGTCCTTGATATTGATAGTCGTTGCTCAACACAATGACAAAATAATGCTGAGACTCAATTTTCCACACTGGTCGTGTGTCATGAGATTTACCTTAAACGTGTAACATTGTGTCGAAGTCAACGTGTGTTACGCCACACCAAGCACGGGACAAATCTACGAGAACATCAAGCTGACTCAAATTTACGAGCCAAAGACGCGGAAAATGGAGTGTCCTGACTGCAAAACAGATTTGCACTACACCACCATGTGCAGCCAACTGCAATGACGATTTAATGACATTTCAAACATTATACTTTGTAATCATAGTTCTACTATCCATTCATATACAAGACTTAGGTGTGGGAGGCTTTAGAAAGCATACACAAAGTCAGCTGTAAAGTGTAGATTCATTTGGAGTAGCCGATTGGATAGCAAATAAAACAGGATGAGGACAACAATGTTAGTGCCTCTACTGACATCATATTACTTGTTAGCTGATGTTGTTCAAGGCAATTTGTTATTATGTTAGTGTTGTGTTCATAAATTACTATGTAAATTACTATGTAATTTATATTAAAATATGTTTTTATTAATACCATTAATGGAGTAATTCTTTTTTAACTAATTTAACTGTCTATTTATTTTTGTCTAGATTTATGTTTGGCGATATCCGAACCTTTACAGGTTGGAGAGAAATGAGTCTAAAATTACATTACAAAGCTCCAGGTTATGAGGTCCCTTAAAGGTCCCTTAAGTGACTCTTAACACATTCAGATTGTGGCATAATATTGATATTGATAACCTGTTAGATTTAGAATAATGATAAAATTGAAAAAAGTCAATTTACAGAATTAGGGGGGTTGCATCACCTCAAGGCACACATTTTGTCATACCTTTCATATTTTTACAAACATGTTAAGTTTAATTGCCTCATAACATATTAATCTTGAAACTGAAAATTTGAATACAAATTTCCATATAATAAAGATTTGGCATTGATTTATATGAAGAACACACAATATTTGCCTGCGAAATTGACCACCAAATCGTATAGTAACTTTTAATTCAGTAAAAAAATCATAACTTTAAAGCGGAATGTCCAATTTTGAAAAAGTAAACTGTTTTGTCTTAATCAGATCAAGTTCTTTAGGATTATGTTTTTTTTAACCTAGATAAATCATTTTTAAAATTGTGCCACTACCATCAGGTGTGACAGCCCAACTCAGCCACTAAACTCATCAAGTGATACTTTATGCCAAATTCTACTACCTCTTAATTAGTTTTTCAATGACTAATATATTATTTAATTGGATTGAAAGTTAGAAATACTTGTGTTATCAGAAAATAATTTATCTGGAAAGTGGCTGCAATGTAATTGAGTTACAAGATTGGACCACAAATCCACAGACATTTAAACCTAAGTACAAGCTGACAAATAAAATAGTCTTTAGATTCATCTCTTGTTTTTATTCGACACAAGGCACCAGACCAACACATCACACACAACCCCTGTCACTAAATGAACACACACATGGTCTACAATGTGCTCACCAGACCAACACACCTCACACCACCCCTGTCACTAAATGAACACACACATGGTCTACAATGTGGAGCTTCCAGTAACAACCCTAGTACACGCACACATCAAACCTGCCTCCCACAAATATACCACAACTACAGCCAAGGATGAGTTGATATATAAAGTTTTCTGTTTACAGATTCTGATACAAACATGAGATCAAGACATACCTAAACTAAATATAATGAGATACACTTTATCAAGCATGTTCCTATTCGTGTAAACATAAGGTTACAAAGTTTTTGTTGCAGTGTTTATAAAACTATCAGTAGTATCAGTGTGTTACAAGTCCATGACAACCCGTATCTATGTACATTGTTAAATAAATGTAGCGTTAGATCAAACCCAGATCAATGGGAAAAATAAAGGAATTTTCAGGGGAGGTAACATATAATATCAAAGTTTCCACTTCCTCAAGATATCAGCAGCTTTCTCTAGAGTGCTGTCCTCCTGTCACAAAATAAACAAACCATTACACAGTGAAAATTGTTTAGATACATCAAAAAGTTGGTCAGAGTATCAACACATAGTGAACCTAGTTTTTAAACTATGTATAAGAAATATAGTGCCAAAACATACATTAACAAAATTAATATCCTGGTGAAAGATACCTAGACAATACCTACCTAAATAAATATACGTTAACTATACATATCTTTTCAAAACATACATAAAACTTACCTTATAAAACATACCCTGATAAAACATGACTTTACGAACAATACAGTGACAAACCATACATTAATAAACTATACCTTTACAAAACCTACCTTTATAAAACAGAACCTAAATAATTTCTCAGATAGATGTTGATTTCCTGAATAAACTATACCTTTACAAAACATACCTTGATAAAACCTATACAAAACATACTTTTATAAACTATTCCTTTACCAAACCTACCTTTATAAAACCTATCTTTATAAAACAGAACGTTTACAAAACCTACCTTTATAAAACAGAACCTAACAAAGTTCTCAGCTAGATGTTGATTTCCTTTACTATAAAAAGCTGTGGGTGGGATAACTGTTAGTTTCTGAAAAACAAAAATAAACAACTTATTTTTTGATTTGATGAAACTATAGCACAATATGCGATGTTAGTTAACATTTATGCTAAATTATGTGTTGTCGGTGCTTTTCTCAGATGATATGATCCAGGTCATTAGGATGACAAAGCATCACACAGGATAGTAAAGGGTTAACATGTTTAATTAACATTACAACAGGGGTGCGTTTACCCACTGATACAGACCACTGCAACAACAATATTGGATGGTAAAGTGTGGGCAAGTGTTTTTTTAAATAATTTAGTTTTAAAGACTGTAAAGTGAAGTATAGAAAAAAGCAATGTATAGATTTTGTACTTTATTAATGGTCAACCACTTGACAAATTTGAAGTCTTTGGCTTCATCGCTTGCTGGAAAGTCAACCGGGTCTGGAAAAAAAAGTTAAAAAAAAAAAAGTAAGTTTAAAAAAAATTGCTTTCATCTTTTTAAAAAACTACCTAGTAAATAACTAAATTACAGTGCTAAATGGATTGTAAAATATAATTCTTTGTTGACTCAAGCAAAGTAGCTGTTTCGATTTTAAAAAATCCAATAAGATTCCTAATAAAAAAAATATAATTTGTAAGCGTCATATAGTTTGATTGTGAATCCAAACTAAGTTAAAATAAAATGGTAACAGCGATGAAAAAATATTAAAAAATTTTTAAGCACTGTAGCAACTGGCCAGAGAGAGCAGGAGACAAAAACATGACAGACCCATGTGAGAATAGTTGGCCAACATGAAGTAGCCTGCCTCTGGTACAACTGGCAACATGCCCACCTCCTCCAAAACTCTGGCCAGCCAGTCACGTTTGGGCTTGAGTTGCTTAGCCAGAGATGTCAGGTAACATTCAGGAGTTCCTGCCCTTGATATTTCTAGCTCCAGACCCCGAGCCACTGCCTCCTGTGGGTTGGACATACATACATGTACATATATACATACAAATATATAAGAGATACATTACATATACACATACAAATATATAAATGATACAGGTACATATACACATACAAATATATGAGAGATACAAGTACATATACACATACAAATATATGAGAGATACAAGTACATACACACATACAAATATATAAGAGATATAAGTACATATACACATACAAATATATAAATGATACAGGTACATACACACATACAAATATATGAGAGATACAAGTACATATACACATACAAATATATGAGAGATACAAGTACATACACACATACAAATATATAAATGATACAGGTACATTTACACATACAGATATATAAGAGATACAAACACTTATACAAATATATAACACATAAGAGTGACATATTCAAATGCAAGTATATTAGACATGCTTACACGGTTATGTAACAAATAGATTAATGTATAGCATACTGATTTAGAAATACTAAAAACATGCACAATGTAACAAAATGCATATATAAAAGTATGTAATATATGCAGACGTATGTATTGTAGCCTACCTGTATAGGTGTAGGGCAGGTGTACGTGGTGTTCTGATGCATGATCTGCGCACAGTGTACGAGGTTCCTAGGCCCTAGCACCCAGCCTACCTTCCAACCTGTGACACTGAAAGTTTTACCTGCGCTGCCAACTGTCAGGGTTCTCTCCCACATGCCAGGTAGTGTGGCTGGAACAGGTGTGTGGTTAGTGGTGTTACAAGATGGTGTCATAGTGGTGTTACAGGGTGGTGTGGTAATGGTGTTATAAGATGGTGTGGTAATGGTGTTACAGGATGGTGTGTGGTGTTACAGGATGGTGTGTGGTGTTACAAGGTGGTGTGGTGTTATTAGATGGTATGGTAAGTGATATTTTTACTAATCATGTTTGTTGATATGATAAATCACATTTAAATAAGTCACATTTTTACTTTCTCGTATATATGAAGTATAGAGAAATCTCGACATTTTACACCTCACTGATACGGAGAAACATAATTTTGCAATCTAGTCCGTATGTCTGTCTGTGTGTAAACACGATAACTTGAGTACCGTTACAGCTAGGTTGATGAAATTTCATATATAAGTATTTTAACAGGAAGTGGTACTTTTTCTACTTTGAATTTTTCAAAAGCCTATAAATTGAGTACTATTTCAGATAGATAAATGAAATTTCACATGTAAGTAACAGATCTAATTCTCTACCTTCTGTCAAATTTTGAGTAATTTCCGTTGATCGGAAGTACTAATTTACGCTATTTCCGATTTCTCAAAAAAAAAAACGCATGTAAATTTATAAAGTACTAATAATATTGCGCACTATTATGCACATTTTGTTTTGGCGTTCGATTGGTGCACAATTCTTTTTCTATGAGATTCTATTCTATTTAAAAAAATTTAAGTAACTAAAAATCATGTCTATATTCCAAGTTATATAAGAATATGAGAGAAAGTTTAGGGGAGATCACTCCTGGTTTATTTTAACCTATTTTCATATGTTAATTCATTTGATAAGTCACATTTAAACAAGTCATATTTTTTTTTACCAATTTTGATATGTTTGTTGTTGTCGTAAGTCATCCATTCATACACTTCATCAGCCAAACACACCACATCGTGTTGTTTGCACAGGTTGGCAATGACTGTTAGTTCATCTAGGGTTAGTACCTGTTGGATTAAACAGACAGGTAAGCAAATTTAGGATTAGACAGGTAAGCATCTGTGGGATTAGACAGGTGAACACATGTAGGATTAGAAAGACAGGGCAAAACCTGGTGGTAGTAGACAGACAGGCAAAACCTGGATGCACACCTACATGCACACAACAATTTGATACAGTTTATTCTAGTCCATTTTTAGTGTTTGTTTCTTATGACAAGAATTCCTAGATGTAAAAATGTAGTTCGTGAGGTGCAACCGGTGCCCCAGTTCAACTATTTTGAAAACAACTTAAAGGACTTCTAAGATGCAGGTATCTGTGATCTGGTGACCCTAAATGACAGGACAAAGGTGGCTTTACCTTCCCCAGTGGGTTGTTGGGGGTGTTGACAAGAATCAACTTGGTCTTAGGGCTAATGACAGGACAAAGGTGGCTTTACCTTCCCCAGTGGGTTGTTGGGGGTGTTGACAAGAATCAACTTGGTCTTAGGGCTAATGACAGGACAAAGGTGGCTTTACCTTCCCCAGTGGGTTGTTGGGAGTGTTGATAAGAATCAACTTGGTCTTACGGCTAATGACAGGACAAAGGTGGCTTTACCTTCCCCAGTGGGTTGTTGGGAGTGTTGACAAGAATCAACTTGGTCTTACGGCTAATGACAGGACAAAGGTGGCTTTACCTTCCCCAGTGGGTTGTTGGGGGTGTTGACAAGAATCAACTTGGTCTTAGGGCTAATGACAGGACAAAGGTGGCTTTACCTTCCCCAGTGGGTTGTTGACAAGAATCAACTTTGTCTTAGGGCTAATGACAGGACAAAGGTGGCTTTACCTTCCCCAGTGGGTTGTTGGGAGTTGTGACAAGAATCAACTTGGTCTTAGGGCTAATGACAGGACAAAGGTGGCTTTACCTTCCCCAGTGGGTTGTTGGGGGTGTTGACAAGAATCAACTTGGTCTTAGGGCTAAACTTGCTGGCCAGCTCAGCTTCATCCAGCTTCCAATCAGCACTGGAGCACACCTTGCCCTCTTTGGTCTGGAACAGAGACAATGAACATCAGGTAGGATGACAGTCACAGTAGGGTGGTGATTGGTGAGTGACCCCACTGTCCTATAGTGAGTGACCCCACTGTCCTATGGTGATTGGTGAGTACGTTACTACCCTGTCCTGGGGTCAGTACCCTAACTGTCCTGTCTTATGGTCAGTACCTTATCTGTCATGTTGTTGGTACCCTAACTATCTTATGGTCAGTACCCTAACTGAACTGTGGTGGCCCCACTGTCATATAGTAAGTGACCCCACTGTCCTATAGTGAGTGACCCCCACTGTCCTATAGTGAGTGACCCCACTGTCTTATAGTGAGTGACCCAACTGTCCTATAGTGAGTGACCCCACTGTCCTGTGGTGAGTGACCCCACTGTCCTGTAGTGAGTGACCCCACTGTCATATAGTGAGTGACCCCACTGTCCTGTGGTGAGTGACCCCACTGTCATATAGTAAGTGACCCCACTGTCTTATAGTGAGTGACCCCACTGTCCTATAGTGAGTGACCCCACTGTCATATAGTAAGTGACCCCACTGTCATATAGTAAGTGACCCCACTGTCATATAGTTAGTGACCCCACTGTCCTATAGTGAGTGACCCCACTGTCCTATAGTGAGTGACCCCACTGTCCTATAGTGACTGACCCCACTGTCCTGTGGTGAGTGACCCCACTGTCCTGTAGTGACCCCGATGTCCTGTGGTGAGTGACCCCACTGTCCTATAGTGAGTGACCCCACTGTCCTATAGTGAGTGACCCCACTGTCCTATAGTGAGTGACCCCACTGTCCTGTGGTGAGTGACCCCACTGTTCTGTGGTGAGTGACCCCACTGTCCTGTAGTGACCCCGATGTCCTGTAGTGAGTGACCCCACTGTCCTGTGGTGAGTGACCCCACTGTCCTATAGGGAGTGACCCCACTGTCCTATAGTGAGTGACCCCACTGTCCTGTAGTGAGTGACCCCACTGTCCTATAGTTAGTGACCCCACTGTCCTATAGTGAGTGACCCCACTGTCCTGTGGTGAGTGACCCCACTGTTCTGTGGTGAGTGACCCCACTGTCCTGTAGTGAGTGACCCCACTGTCCTATAGTGAGTGACCCCACTGTCCTATAGTGAGTGACCCCACTGTCCTATAGTGAGTGACCCCACTGTCCTATAGTGACTGACCCCACTGTCCTATAGTGAGTGACCCCACTGTCCTATAGTGAGTGACCCCCACTGTCCTGTAATGAGTGACCCAACTGTCCTATAGTTAGTGACCCCACTGTCCTATAGTGAGTGACCCCACTGTCCTGTGGTGAGTGACCCCACTGTCCTGTGGTGAGTGAACCCACTGTCCTATAGTGAGTGACCCCACTGTCCTACAGAGAGTGACCCCACTGTCCTGTGGTGAGTGACCCCACTGTCCTATAGTGAGTGACCCCACTGTCCTGTAGTGACCCCACTGTCCTGTGGTGACTGACCCCACTGTCCTATAGTGAGTGACCCCACTGTCCTGTGGTGACTGGCCCCACTGTCCTATAGTGAGTGACCCCACTGTCCTGTGGAGTGACCCCACTGTCCTATAGTGAGTGACCCCACTGTCCTATGGTGAATGACCCCACTGTCCTGTGGAGTGACCCCACTGTCCTATAGTGAGTGACCCCACTGTCATATAGGGAGTGACCCCACTGTCCTATAGTGAGTGACCCCACTGTCCTGTAGTGAGTGACCCCACTGTCCTATAGTTAGTGACCCAACTGTCCTGTGGAGTGACCCCACTGTCCTATAGTGAGTGACCCCACTGTCCTGTGGTGAGTGACCCCACTGTCCTGTGGTGAGTGACCCCACTGTCCTATAATGAGAGACCCCACTGTCCTACAGAGAGTGACCCCACTGTCCTGTGGTGAGTGACCCCACTGTCCTATAGGGAGTGACCCCACTGTCCTATAGTGAGTGACCCCACTGTCCTGTAGTGAGTGACCCCACTGTCCTATAGTTAGTGACCCCACTGTCCTATAGTGAGTGACCCCACTGTCCTGTGGTGAGTGACCCCACTGTTCTGTGGTGAGTGACCCCACTGTCCTGTAGTGAGTGACCCCACTGTCCTATAGTGAGTGACCCCACTGTCCTATAGTGAGTGACCCCACTGTCCTATAGTGAGTGACCCCACTGTCCTGTAGTGAGTGACCCCACTGTCCTATAGTGAGTGACCCCACTGTCCTATAGTGAGTGACCCCACTGTCCTGTGGTGAGTGACCCCACTGTTCTGTGGTGAGTGACCCCACTGTCCTGTAGTGAGTGACCCCACTGTCCTATAGTGAGTGACCCCACTGTCCTATAGTGAGTGACCCCACTGTCCTATAGTGAGTGACCCCACTGTCCTATAGTGAGTGACCCCACTGTCCTATAGTGAGTGACCCCACTGTCATATAGTTAGTGACCCTACAGTCCTATAGTGAGTGACCCCACTGTCTTATAGTGAGTGACCCCACTGTCCTATAGTGAGTGACCCCACTGTCATATAGTAAGTGACCCTACAGTCCTATAGTGAGTGACCCCACTGTCCTATAGTGAGTGACCCCACTGTCCTATAGTGAGTGACCCCACTGTCTTATAGTGAGTGACCCCACTGTCCTATAGTGAGTGACCCCACTGTCATATAGTTAGTGACCCTACAGTCCTATAGTGAGTGACCCCACTGTCCTATAGTGAGTGACCCCACTGTCCTATAGTGAGTGACCCCACTGTCTTATAGTGAGTGACCCCACTGTCCTATAGTGAGTGACCCCACTGTCATATAGTTAGTGACCCTACAGTCCTATAGTGAGTGACCCCACTGTCTTATAGTGAGTGACCCCACTGTCCTATAGTGAGTGACCCCACTGTCATATAGTAAGTGACCCTACAGTCCTATAGTGAGTGACCCCACTGTCCTATAGTGAGTGACCCCACTGTCATATAGTAAGTGACCCTACAGTCCTATAGTGAGTGACCCCACTGTCCTATAGTGAGTGACCCCACTGTCATATAGTAAGTGACCCCACTGTCCTGTGATGAGTGACCCCACTGTTGTAGTGAGTGACCCCACTGTCCTATAGTGAGTTACCCCACTGTCCAACGCCTGATGATGTACTTACTGGCCTGAATGGTATAAAGACAGGTGTCCCCCCAGCGGCAAGCACCATGGGCTGGTAGCAGTCAAAAAATGGTTCAATGATGATGACCTTAGGGGATCAAAGTATCAAATATAAATGGTTCAATTATGGTGACCATAGGGGATGAAATGATCAAACATAAATGGTTCAAAGATGATGATCTTATGGGATGACAGTATCACACATTATTTATACATTTTAATTTCTATTAGTATTCAATCAATAGGAAAATATTTGACTAAATAAATTATTCAAGAAAAAGGTAAAATGAATATTTAAATTTATGTTTAAAAACTCCATAGCTTTTAAGTAGACTTGAAGTATAACATATCGAATTAACTCGAATGAGTATGAAGCATAAATTTTAAAAATTAGCATTATTGCAAATGCATACTTGAAAATTTTAACAATGAAAAGAAACAAGAAATATACTATAAAATCAACGTCAAGTTAAAATGAACAAACCTCATCGCCAGGATTAACCAGACCTTGGATGATACTGAACAGAGAGCCATAGGCCCCCACTGTGATGAGAACCTCTGTCATCGGATCAACTTTTCTGCCAAGGTGTGGCTCATACAGTTTGGCTAGTGCGTTCACTAATCTAACGTGACCCTAGAATAAATAAAGAAATGAAATTATTCAAGATGCAACTCATAGAGTTTAGATAGTGCATTCACTAATCTAGCGTGACCCTAGAATTAATAAAGAAATGAAATTATTCAAGATGTAACTCATAGAGTTTAGATAGTGCATTCACTAATCTAGCGTGACCCTAGAATAAATAAATAAATGAAATTATTCAAGATGCAACTCATTGAGTTTAGATAGTGCATTCACTAATCTAGCGTGACCCTAGAATAAATAAAGAAATGAAATTATTCAAGAAGTGCCTCATATAGTTTAGCATTCACCAGTCAATAAATTAAATAATTCAAGAAGTGGCTCATATAGTTTAGCTAGTGCATTCACCAGTCAATAAATGAAATTATTCAAGATGTGGCTCATATAGTTTAGCTAGTGTATTCACCAGTCAATAAATTAAATTATTCAAGAAGTGGCTCATATAGTTTAGCTAGTGTATTCACCAGTCAATAAATGAAATTATTAAATGTTGCACTTAAAAGCAGATGTTGCTTACATTATGCCACCACATGTTGGACCCACACTGCTTTTGAACATTGCAGTGTTTTGTTTCTGGTTTAATAAAGCTATGTATATCTCACATCATACTCTTTTATAAACCAAGTTTGATTTAACATAAGTAGCCTAGTTTCTATGAAACGTTTAGTACACAGGGGAATTTAAAAAAAAAACAACTAAACATTAAAAAAAAAAAAAAAACCAGGTGTTTTTATGTAAAATAAATTTACTTTCATTTACAAAAATGATATACTGATGTAAAAAAAACAAAAAACTTAAAAAACTCCTGGTATACGGATGTAACAACTTACAAAACTCCTGGTATACTGATGTAACAACTTACAAAACTCCTGGTATACTGGTGTAACAACTTACAAAACTCCTGGTATACTGATGTAACAACTTACAAAACTCCTGGTATACTGATGTAACAACTTACAAAACTCCTGGTATATTGATGTAACAACTTACAAAACTCCTGGTATACTGGTGTAACAACTTACAAAACTCCTGGTATACTGGTGTAACAACTTACAAAACTCCTGGTATACTGGTGTAACAACTTACAAAACTCCTGGTATACTGATGTAACAACTTACAAAACTCCCGATATACTGATGTAACAACTTACAAAACTCCTGGTATACTGATGTATCAAAGGATTGTCACTGCTGACTGTGTCTTTCAGGCACTGTACAACACTCTCTGGTGCCATAAAGTCTGGAAAACCTTGCCCTAGATTGATGGATTTTTGCTCCATTGCAAGCTTTGATATGTCCACCCTGAAAACATTAACAAGCGCATTTTATGTAAAGCACATCTACATTTTATGTAAAGCACATCTACATTTTACGTAAAGCACATCTACATTACATATATAGCACATCTAAATATACAATTCTCGCTGGTAATTACAACATACATCAAACCCTACATACATTTCCAAAATACATAGGACATCTATAATATCTATATAACATATCTTGTTGTTAAAATCTACAAACATTTATAATATCTATATAACACATCTTGCTTTTAAAATCTACAAACATCTATAATATCTATATAACATATCTTGTTGTTAAACACTAACTTCGGGATGGAGTGGTCTAGCGGTAGAGAGCTGGACTGCTAACCTGTAAGTCTTGAGTTCGAATCCGGGTTCAAGTCAGTGGACCGTCCCTGAGTCCACCCAACTCACGTTAGGGAAAGTAAAGGTGGCTGGGCATAGTGCTAACCACAGTATCTCTTCATATGCCGAGGTCACAGAAACAAGTGAACTATACTTCACTTGCCCCATAGACCGTCAGGTTTAAAAGGGAAACTTTTAAACACTAACTACAGTACATGTTACACACATTTTTGACTTTATAATTATTTTCAGGCTTATTATTTGCACTTTTTGACTATGATAAAGTAGTGACTTATCGGAACAAAACAAATCCTACATGTGAGCATGTTAAAGTTTATGATCTAGTCTTGTGTCATAGAGGTAGAGATATGGTGGACAATATGTAATGAACAAGTGCCTACTTTATGTGAACAAAGCATAACAATTTGAGAACTATATTTATACCTCTATTTACCTCTAGGATAAGTTATTACGAAACATAATTAACAAAAATTCAACCCATACTTTGGCTACAGTGTAATAAAAGCAAAACTTACCAGACATTTTTTTCGGTGCCCTGTAGACGTTTTGCTATCTGAAATTTTTTCGATGACATTTTCTAAAAAAAAAAATTTGAAGAAAATTAAATAAATAAAATATCACAACAACCAACTGTTACACTAAATTAACAACAAAATGTGACAATAATAAAAAAAAATATTTGTGCTACAATACAAAAACTACTAGTGTCACTCATCACAAAATAAGTGGAAAAAAAATGATCTGGTAGACTAGTAATTGTTAGTATTTGATGTAAAACAATAGGTTAACATATAGCTATATCTGATGTGGGTCAGAGTTATATTAAGTATCTTATTACACAAATCTCACAGAGAATCAGTTACCACTATATTATTTATAAAAATTTATAATGAAAATATATGAAACAAAACTTCTAGTAAATTGGTTTGAGCTAAATAGGGAGCTAATTTCTAATGTTCCTCCACAATACATATTATATCTACCATAGCTAAGGCTGCTACAACAACTAAACAATTTAAGCTACAGTAAATCAATAGTCCATCCAATCAAATTAGAATAACAATTAATTATATTCTAAAGCACAGGCTTACCTATGTAAATAATCAAAAGGGGAAATTAATTTTATCATATTATGTTACTGTAGTTAAAAAAAAATCATCTTCTAAATGAAAAAAGACTATACTGTAGTTAAAAAAATGGTCTCAATGAAAAAAAAAACCTCTACTGTACTGATAGTTTGACTTAAACATGTAGCCTACACATGTATGATGCTAGATGCAAATTTCTTATGTGTAACAGCTGCACAAACCAACACTACCTATGTACCACACATATGGAAAAAGTGTAACACATTGGGCAAGTACAGCACACACAAGATTAAATGACAGTGCTGATTTTAAACACATTACTAACCATGACCTAGCTACTAATTAAATAATTAATTAACTGCTCTAATTATTGTTAACATTTAATTGAGTGCTAACAACCTTATACATTTTGTATGATGTAATCTGGATCTTACTGAACCAAATAGCATTGCTAAAGTTAACACAACACCACTCCAAGTATTATTCCAGATTGTATTAATTAAAACTATATCCACAATTTGTTAATCAATTTTAGAAAAACATCCTATGGCAATCATGTTCTGGGGTAATGGAATTTAGTAAACATAAATAAAAATTGATTACTTTGTGACAGCTAAACTCACGGTAGTTGTGACAGCTAAACTTACTGTAGTTGTGATAGTTAAACTTACCGTGTGGTTGTGACTGCTAAACTTACCATGTGGTTGTGACATCTAAACTTACTGTGGTTGTGACAGCTAAACTTACTGTGGTTGTGACAGCTAAACTTACTGTGGTTGTGACATCTAAACTTACTGTGGTTGTGACATCTAAACTTACTGTGGATGTGACAGCTAAACTTACTGTGGTTGTGACATCTAAACTTACTGTGGTTGTGACAGCTAAACTTACCGTGGTTGTGACATCTAAACTTACTGTGGTTGTGACAGCTAAACTTACCGTGGTTGTGGCAGCTAAACTTACTGTGGTTGTGACAGCTAAACTTACTGTGGTTGTGACAGCTAAACTCACTGTAGTTGTGACAGCTAAACTTACTGTGGATGTGACATCTAAACTTACCGTGTGGTTTAGCCTCTCAGCTGTAATCAGACAGCCAGAGTGCAGCTGTGGGGGTAGCAGATTTAAATAAATCCCCCCTTTTCTTTCAGCACAACACCTAATCAGACTTGCGCATCGTCTGTAAATTCTGTGCATCTGAATGCTAAGTAGGACTGGAAAAATTAGAACAAGAAAATTCAAATTAGAACAGGAAAATTCTGCTTAAAAATGTTATTTTTAAGATATGTAAATTATTATTTATTATTATTATAACTATTAGTTATTAAATAAATCATGCATCATGTTCATTTTAATAAGAAACTTGTAGTTTGAGGAGGGGTGATAGTTGAAGAATGTTTTACTTTATTTTAGGGTGAGGGCAGTTGTGTAGCGAGGGGGGAGGGTGCGGACCACACCGGGTGACACCATTTAGGGGGGTGACACCCAGGCAAAAAATAGCAAAATATATACAGAAAAACTATAATTTCACTTAATTAAATGATTAATTAGAGTGAATTAACTAAATAGTCTTTACAGAACAAATTGGACAAATCTCGACACGGGGGTGACACCATGACGTAATCCAGCTATTGATAAAGAACGCAGGCAACACCCAGCTGAATTTATAACCGAATATAGATACAAATCGTTAGCAACACCCAGCTGAATTTATAACCGAATATAGATACAAATCGTTAGCAACACCCAGCTGAATTTATAACCGAATATAGATACAAATCGTTAGCAACACCCAGCTGAATTTATAACCGAATATAGATACAAATCATTAGTATTATCTGAGCACAGTTTAAAGCAATCACCGTGGGGGTGATGACGAAAAGGGGGGGGGGGGGGGTTACATCAACTCTACATTGCAATATATATGCCTGAGGAAAATGGTTTGGTTGTGAATCGTAATAAGCTATATGTTAATCCATGTATGGGGTGGGGGGTGGGTAAATAACTAAATAAATCCAGTAGAAAACAAATATTTGAATACATATACACATGCGTATACACATACTTACAAGTGTATATAGAGTATATATATATATATATACACCATCAGATGCCGCACTGGGTGGCACCCGACCTCGCTAGACCACTGGGTGAGGGTCTAGATTTTATAAATGAAATTATGATAGTGGCATTCATGGAAATTGTATAAGGAAAATTAAACCGAAACCTATACTATTTTGACAAATTTCAGTTGTAATAGTAGGTTTTAATCTAATATATAATGCTCACTTCTGTATGTGGCGGACCGCAGTTAGACCCGTAGTACAAACTATTATTAGTATTATAGTAAAAAACTCAACTTGATCACCATAGTGTAATATACCTAAAGTGTTTATTAGGCCCTATCTAAAAAAGTTAATATTGAAGGTTTTGTTAAACAAGTTGCAATTAACGTCATGTAGAATGAACAAAATGGTGATAAATGAAACAAAAAAATTAATTCCATTAGACCCATCGCCCATCGGGTGGGGGGGGGGGAATACTTTTTATTAATTTGTTTTGATGTTGGAAAAAACATAATGATATAATTAGCATGGATTGATAGTTGATAATTGCAATGTGGTAGATAATACAGAGGTATTTTAAATACTAGCTTTTATTTATTTTATACACAGAATGTACTGTTTACTAGATCTAGGCCTAATTATAATGTTTAACTTTAAGTTTTAAGTTAAAGGTTTGAATTGGTAATGGTAGGCACTTTTTTCCTGGTCAACTTTTTATTTGAGGATACTTTTATCTTTTATTAATTTACATGAAATAGCCAGAGGCTATTTAAAATATTTAATTGAACATAGGCCTATAGTTTTTTTTTTCTGTCTTTTTATTTAGTGTATTATAGTTTTATAGGCCTAAATCTAAATAATAATAAGCAGTGGCGTAGCCAGGATCATCTCAAGGGGAGGGGGGGGTTTCCAATTTCTACCCGGGGACAAACTTTCGATTTGCACCCCCCCCCCCCTCAAACTTTCGATTTGCACCCCCCCTCATACTTTTTATATATACCGAGGGGTCTATGGGGGGGGTTATGACCCCCCTAACCCCCCCCCTGCCTACGCCACTGATAATAAGTAGCAGATATGAACCTAACTCAATAATAAATATAAATAGCCTAATTTATTAAATAATACCCCTACTTAGGCCTATTGGGGCCTATAGTTTATATTTTATATTTAGATCTCAGCATCTAGATTCTAGATCTATATAATATATATATTAGTATTTCTCGCTAACTTGGAGGCGTGGTCGGTTGCTAACAACAATATGGCGCCCGGACCGGACGTTTGATTTCCGGCGATTTTACGGCCAAATTCCAGAGACCTTCAACTAATTACATTTAAAAATGTTTACCACGCGCAAAATGGCGGGATTTCCGTGTCATAACAACAAACCATAAGTGGCAGGGTTAGATATGCCAGAAAAGCATTTTAAAATTTGGTTTGGAGAACGGAGGCTAAATTCAAAAGTCGGTCTCATTCAAATTAATAGAACTTCTAAAATATCAGCCCGGAGGTCACAAAAATGAATTGGAGGTTGTAGAATTATTAGTTTTATCATTATATGAAGAAATAAATCAAATATTGCATGCACTTTTTAAAATAAGACACGACTTTTGAATGACAACCAAATTTATTTATTTTTTTAAACCACTTGACCGCTATTTGATGATCACTAGTGGGGAACTCTGGGTACATGGCCACTTAAAAAGTCTAACCTATTTGTGGTTTTCTTTACGTTCAAGCTTAAGTAGAGTTGTCATGGAGAGGTGTGTTGGCCATGGCAGTGAGTGTCAATAAATATTAAATTAAGTAATTTAGTTTAAAATGAACTAAAAACTTCAAAATTAGTGCCTAATGGATTAAATATGGATGTCTATTATTCAGTAGTCATGTTTAATTTGAAATTTGAGTAAATTCTAGATTTAGTAAGAAAAACTAATATATATAGTATAGCCACATAGGCCTACTATATAGTATATTTAAAGTATATAGATCTACTTATAACTTAACTTAACTATATAGATCTAGAATAGTTTAACATGATAAAAAATAAAAAAGTTTGTGTGTTAATTATAATTAATAATAAGATCTAATAGCCTAATAAGTTTAGTACCTAAGTATTATTAAGTAAGCGTTATGTTACCGTTAGTTAAAGTTGTGTTTAGTACTGTGTTAGACTGTTAGACGGTAGTTTAGAGTTTAGGGCCTACTTAAAAATTCTGGCTTACAGTACCCACTGAAAATAATCCAACTTTGTAAGCCTAAGCCCTAGATCTTGTAAACCTCAACACAACTGGACAAAATCTATCTAGATCTAGATTCTAAATCTACATCTAGAAATCTAGACTAGAGCTATGACGACCTCCAGTATTTTCTCCACTGTTACAATAAACGCACAGGATGTGAGCCACTTTTCCTTTCTTATCGAATTTACGGAAATTACCGTTTTCTTTTTTTAAAAATTGTGTAGATTCTATCTAGATCTAGATCTAGATCTAGACTCTAGATCTAGATTTAGATCAATATCTAGAATCTAGACTCTAGGTCTATAAAAAAATTCGCAAATTCATTGGCAATAACATTTTTAAAAGTAGGCCTAACTTTCATAATTTCTTTTTAAAAAACTTTAGATCAACATTGTTACAACATCTGAAAATAATCCCTTTAAAATAGTTTTAAAAAGTCACACTTTTGGAGTCAACCACCCTTATAAGGGATGTAACCAAGAAAGAATAATTTCGCTTAATAATTTATTGAGTAGATTCCCTTCTTAAGAAATTCTTTTGTCACACATTAACATTTTCATATATTTGTAATAGATCTAGATTCATGAATCTAATCAATATATTAGCAAAACAATAAAAAATTCAGTTTAAAATATTAAAAATGTAACAGTGTATAGACACCAGTTCTTACCCCCCCCCCCCCCTTTTCCACCCCGTCTCCATCGTCACTTTGTCACCCCCCTCCCCCAAAGCACTACCTACACTAAGTGCATATCTTTCTTCAAACTAATTTATCTTATGAATTTTCGAATTGTGGGTCCATTAAAAACACTAGTTTTAATGCCCCAAAATTAAGTGTTTTGAAAGGACACAAATTTTGAAAATTGATAATAAATTATTTTGAAGATATGCACTTACATTTTTTAGCTGAGTGCCCCAAAATATCGAAGAAGATTATGAATTCATTATTTATTGGGCTTAAAATATAATATTTTATGGATGGTGTAAAACCTGTGAGGGGGTTAATTTTTCAAGATGGCCGCCGTTGTCATAGTTACCAAGATTTTTCCACGAATTTTTTTAGTGGAAATGCATATGCGAATGTATCTTAATAAAGCTGTAAAGAAATAACTGTTTTCTAACGAGTATTAAAAATGTTTTTTTTTAAACCGGAGCCCCCCCCCCCCCCCCCCCTAATACGATCGTCTTGCAGGACTAAAAACAATTGCGCACTAAAATGAACAGGTAAAGTTTGCGTACAATAGATCGGTAAATAGAACTTTATACAAGAAATTTTAATTAATTCTTTAAAATAAATAATTAAGCATCCGATTAGATCAAATTTTATGTTATATTACAATGTGATTCGGCCTTGACCCACGTGCCGAATTTCAGAGAAATCCGTCGGTTAGAAGTTTTCGAAATTTCGCTCGCCAGTTTCGATCGACGATGGACGAAGCACGAAAAAAGACAGACAAAAGAACAACAGACAGACAGAGCTTGTAAAATGAATCCCTGTGATAAAATACCGGGTTTAGCCTGTAGATTTTCAATGAATTTGGTGCGCAAAAATTCAAAACATGAACTACAAAATCGCGCCGGAAGGCATGCGCTCTTGTATACAATATTGTTGATAGTCTGGAACCTTGGTACTTTCGCATTCAATAAAGATCGTAAGAAAGATCAGGATTATGGTAGGGATCAGATAAAGACAGGTTATATACAAACCGTACGTGGGATTTAACCAGAGTTTCTTCCAGGCATCTCTTCGGGGGGGGGGGGGGGGGTGGTGGGGGGGCAAAGCCCCCCCGAAATTTTTTTACCGCCCCCCGAACGAAATGAAATTTATACAATTTATATAGAAAATATATACTTTTAACAGTGTCCGCCCCCCCCCCCCCCGAAGAAAGTTTACCACCCCCCCGAAAATTTCAAGTGCCCCCCCGGAGAAAAGTCTGGAAGAAACACTGGATTTAACCATGCTCGGGAATATACTTCTGTAATAGCTATATGTTTATTTAAAATAGCAAGTACGCTATATAAACTAGGTTTTTAATATTCTACATTATCTACATCAATAATTAAAATATTATGAATATAATTTTCTTCTTAATCTAATAACCCTAACGATTATGGCAACTTCATTCGTTTCTCGTTGGTCATCTCCGGATATTGCCCAGATAATCAGAATCGGCGATCGGACATTTGATACCAAAGAATTAAACTGTATTTAAAATCGAAGGATCGATATAACCCTTTTATCAATGCAGGTGATCTCCCATTCGAATTGGCACAGGTAAACATAATCGCTAAGGGGTCATCCATAAATTACGTCACGCTATTTTAAACGATTTTTTACCTCCCCCTCCCCTCCGTCACACATCGTCAGTAAAAACCAGACCCCCCCCCCCTAAAATGACGTCACACCTCAGCATACACCCCCCCCCCCCCCTCAAAATTGCAGTTGAATTTTTCTTAAAATACGATATTTTTCCAAAATTCTTGTCTAAACTCTGCCAACATAGAGTATTATAATCAATTTCAATTACAATTTATTAAAACATTTTTCTAAAACGCGAAAAAAACGGCTAAAATTCGGTTGCAAAAGTGTGACGTTATACCATGCAACCCCCCCCCCCCCCTCCCACTCATGCCCTCGTTACACACCGTCACAAAATTACGGACCCCCCTCCCCCCTACGAGTTTGACGTCATTTGTGGACGACCCCTAATGTACGTGTCGTCATGGTAACTATTTTAAAAACCGATTCCAGATTTATCCGGTACTGCCATAGAATGTTCAACACAGAGAGCCTCTATCTTCTGCTGATTGGGAGACCACCAACGATTGTTCTAGTAAGTTGGACCCCCTTGTGTATTTAAGATACTAATGTCAGTTAGAGGCTTGAAATGTTCCAAGCAAATTTACTTTAAAATATCTTCAACGAAATCTGGTTAAATTATAGGGGACAGTGTGGTCTAGAGATTATAAGTGTAGTTGCTATCTGAAACTCAGGCCATCGAATATTGCTTGAGCCGGCTATGTCTGTGAGCCGGTTACATCCACGAGCCGGTTACTTCCACGAGCCGGTTACTTCCACGAGCCGGTTACTTCCACGAGCCGGTTACTTCCACGAGCCGGTTACTTCCACGAGCCGGTTATTTCCACGAGCCGGTTACTTCCACGAGCCGGTTATTCCCGTCTAGGAGAGACTGGGCACACAATGATTTTCCAATCAGTGTTTCCTCATCTGTCTTGGATCAACACAACTATACACAATCAGAGTTTCTTCCACGCATCTTTTCGGAGGGGGGGGGGGGGGGGGGCTTAAACATATAGGCTGTAAGTAATGCCATGTAAACTCATAGGCTGTAAGTAAATGACATGTAAACACACACACAGCGCGTAAGTAAATGCCATGTCTGTCATCACCAGATGGTGGTTCTATCCTCGACTATCCGCAGCTACCGCCACGGGGCGGTGGGGTGTGAGGTGACAGCCGCCCCCGACAAGGGACTGGAGTGGTACAAGGCCGAATACGACAACGTCATGCTGAAGATGAGAAACTTCTCGCAGGACCCCAAGATACACCTGAAATTCAGCGAGGACTGCGGCCTGTCTGCGGTCAACCCGTCCAGCCAGATCATCCACGGGATGGACGCCCCCGCGGGCGCCTGGCCCTGGCATGTGGTCGTGTACGGCGAGACGGGCTCCCGGTGCGGGGGGAGTTTGATCTCCAACCGTTGGGTGTTGACGGCCGCACACTGCTACAAAGCTGGTGTGTCCTACCAAGTGGTGGCTAATCTGACAGACGGCAACGTGCTGATCAACAGGAACCTCAAAGCTGCCGTGTGGATCGACGTGGAAGAGTTTTACGTCCATGAAGACTACACGAACATCCCGACGTTTTTTAACGATATAGCTTTGATTAGGCTAGCGTCAGACGTGACATTCTCTAAAGCGGTCAGGCCCATCTGTTTGCCGAGGGAGAGCATGCAAGGCCAAAAAGATTGTTTTGCGATAGGATGGGGGACCACGATAGACCAAACACCCTATCAGTTTCCCACACATTTAAAGCAGGTCAAGGCCAAGGTCATGAACCAGAGGCTGTGTCATTTCATCTACTCGATCACCAGCTTTGGGATGGACGATAAAAGTTTTTGTTTAGACGTGGACACGGGTCTGGGGGTCTGTAGCGGGGACTCCGGGGGGTCCCTGAGCTGCAAGATAGGGGACAGGTTCTACGTGGCGGGGGTGGTGTCGTCGGCAATCAAGTGTGACGGGCAAGTGTTTCCGGTGATTTTCCAATCAGTGTTTCCTCATCTGTCTTGGATCAAGAAAACTATACAGAACAACACGCCCTTAGGGATTTGAAGATTGTAATTCTTAACAACCCGCTCTTAGGGATTTGAAGGTTGTAATTCTTAACAACCCGCTCTTAGGCATTTGAAGATTGTAATCATTCTTAACAACCCGCCCTTAGGGATTTGAAGGTTGTAATTATTCTTAACAACCCGCTCTTAGGGATTTGAAGGTTGTAATTCTTAACAACCCGCCCTTAGGGATTTGAATCTTGTAATTCTTAACAATCCGCCCTTAGAGATGTGAGTGATGAATCTTTAGGCTAACAAATCGCCCTTAGAGATGTATGTGATGAATCTTTAGGCTAACAACCCGCCCTTAGAGATGTATGTGATGAATCTTTAGGCTAACAACCCGCCCTTAGAGATGTGTGTGATGAATCTTTAGGCTAACAACCCGCACTTAGAGATGTGTGTGATGAATCTTTATTCCGGTTTCCAACCTGAATCATGGTGTTATGTAACTTTGAATATAAGCTCATGTTTGATGTTCTACATTTTGTATTAAAATATGATTAGTGTGAGTTATGCATTCTTTTATTAACAGTTGTTCCATAGTATAAATGCTTGTGCGCCGGAATTATTACCATCAAATTTGACATGCACTGGTAGTGTTTACATAATATGCAGGCGTGTCCCTAACACTACTAACAGTGAAAACAGAACGAAAAGCACGCATCTATATAAGCCCCTACTTGTAATAAGACAATGCGATGCAAGTAACGCGTGGCATGTGTTGTTTACTTTTAATGTAAGAAGAATGTTTTCTAAAACCTAGTCGTATTGTACTTAATAAACTTTGATAAGAGTCTAACTACATTTAAAGAACGGAAATAATTAAACCGAAATTGTATGCTTAAGTACGAGTTTAAGTGCTCGATTCTGAGAAAAAATAGTTTCAGATTTTTTTGTCTGTGCTTACTGAAAGCTTGCACATTTGAATCGCGTGTAATTTGTTTACAATTTGTGTACACATTGTGTACAATTTAAGTTTCTGAAAGTGAACGTGGGATTAGATCGATACCCACTAGAGCAGGGAGTTAGTTTAGTGTCAGCAATTATACACACCATTCAGTTGTTTTTTAGCACACATTCTCTGCAGTGAAGTCTGTTTCAGGGTTGGTTTACCATTACTATATAGGTTTTTTTATGTAAGTAGAATTCAGTGTTAAAGTAGTTTAAAAAGTGAATTTTTATTTGATTCAATGACTCTTACTAATATTTGTGCTGGTATATTATACTTAACGAATCATACATCACATTAACATTGAGAATAGAAAACCCTAACTTCTACAACTTTCTCGACAGTATTCTAATACCATTAGACTAACACATTTTTCTGACCCAGTTCTTAAAAAAAATTCCGACTTTTAAGTTATCTAACAATTTCGCTCTAAAAGAGTCGAGGACTGATCGACCATTGCTGAAATATAACACTTGACGTAACACGTAACATACAGTTTATAAGAAATGACACATGACAGAACATACAACAGATGTCACATATCAACTGACATATAACAGAGACACATGACACATGAAATAAAAGAGATAACATTTAACAGATGACATGTTATATTGGACACCCAATCGTCAACATAAAATAGATAACATAACTAGTTTCATGAAATACGACTTGACCCCAGATTAATGTGAACTAGGAAACCAGTTATCCGTGTGTGTTAAGTTAGGACTCCATTCGACTTCACGTCATTGCACATTTAGATTTATTGGCACATGTTAATACCGCATAGGCTTTCATTTCAATAGTTAATCGGCTAGATTCAATTATACCTATTCAAAAATCAATTTTGTATAGGCTATTGGAGAAACGCCAATTAGGTTGGTCTTTTTAAGATCCCTTTAAAAATATAAGAATATGTAAGCAGCTTGGCCAAGAACTATTCTACTAAGCTTGTAAGTCAAATTTTTTAAATATTTCATAAGTGGTAATTTATTTACGTTGTCCACATTTAGGATGGGGGTGGGGCTGACAAAGTTGAGTTTGTGGACTCGTGGATGTTTATCAAAAGCCTTATATCTTTAAACTTTAATACCGTTCAAGTTAGATGAACTAAATTGAAAATATTTGTATAAGATAGTGCGCGATCACAATAACTGCAGTACTATTTTATTTTGGGTAGACGAAATTTAATCATTGAATGTCGTTTGAAACTATGTCCCTGTTGTAGGATGCACTTTAAAACGAATGTAGGCGCCATATTGTTCACGGAGGAGCCCGGGGCGCCACGTAACACTTAGTTGGAGTGCCGAAGGACGCGCCTGATTAGAATTAGTGATCGGATAGAGTAGCCCATCGTATCCGTGGTGTATCACGCCTTTTAAAACGAACCATACAACATACGGGAGATACAAAAGTTCATTTTTGTTTACTTCATTAAAAAAACGACTCCTGATTAAAATACTTACTGTTATTTCACATGTCATTTTGGAAAGAGTTTTGTTTAAGTATGTTGATTCTGATAATACTTTTGATTACACTATACACTTAAATCTTTAATTCCCAGCAGATTTTAATCGATCTGAAAGAGATGAATTTCTCACATATTCCCACACTATCCTCGCATGTCCACAACCATCTCCTCTTCAGCTACATTGGATTAATATAAAAACAAACCCCAACATTGAACTATATTTAATGACATAAAGAGACTATTTTATATTTACTATTCTTCCTATGGATTAGTAACATATGGGAACACCTTTTGATTTTCGCCACCTGATAGAGTGAAACCTATAACCAACGGATTTATATGTTTAGCTGAAAACTTCAAATACATAATAAAATTTGACATTAACTTTTTAAAGGAAATAGTTTAAATTATATCCAGTGTGTAAGCAATGCTTTTAAAGTATTTGAAATTTCACATTATATTTAAACACAGTGTAGTTAAAAACATTTCTTGAATTTTTGTTGATACAAAAATGTTCCGTTTACTTGAGTGGATTTTATTTGTTGTTATTCTATTGTGAGAAGACAAGACCTTCTACATGGACGTGTCCGTGGTGTAAAAAAAACAACTGGTACTCATGGAGGTAATGCTAGCGGCTGGTAGAGGAGAGAGAATAACTGTTGAAGATTTACTAGATAAGGGGAGTGATATTAATACTGTTGACAGTGAAGGATGCAATGCATTGATGTTAGCCTCAGAAAACGGACATGAAGACATTGTAGAACTTTTAATTAATAAAGGGTGTGTTGTAAATGCTGTGGATAATGATAATTGTAGTGCTTTAATGTTAGCCGCTGAAAACGGATATGAAAAAATTGTAGAAACTTTGATGAATGGTGGCAGTGATGTTAAGATTAGGAATACAAGAGGGTGGGATGCACTAATGCTGGCATCAAGAAACGGACACAAAAAGACAGTAGAGCGTTTAGTCACATGTGGTAGGGATGCAAATGTTGTTACAAAAAATGGATGGAGTGCGCTGATGCTGGCCTCTAGAGATGGACATGAAGAAATTGTTAAGCTCTTAATTCAATATGGGAGCGGTGTCAACTTAAAAAATAAAAATGGATGGGATTCGTTGATGCTGGCTGCTAGAAATGGACACGAAAAAACGGTGAAGCTACTTATTGAACACGGAAGTAATGTTACTACTGTAAATAAAAGTGGATACAATGCATTGATTCTAGCCTCAAGAAATGGGCATGAAAATACCGTTAAACAGCTAATAGAAAGCGGGAGTGTTGTTAATTCTGTCGACAAAAGTGGATGGAATGCATTAATGTATGCATCTATTAATGGGCATGAAAACATTGTAAAAATATTAATTAAAAGCGGCAGTGAAGTTAGTGCTGTTGAAAGTAGTGGATGCACAGCATTAATGTTAGCGTCTCAATATGGACATGAGAATGTAGTTAAACTTTTAATTGAAAGTGGGGCCGATGTAACAGCTGTTGAAAATAGTGGATGTGATGCTTTAATGTTAGCTTCTGCCGCGGGATATGAGACAATCGTAGAACATCTAATTAACAGTGGATGTGATGTCAACGCAGTCGATAACAGCAAATCGAGTGCTTTAATCTATGCATGCATGTGTGGACAGGTGAAACCTGTCGAACTTTTAGTTAAAAATGGAAGCTGTGTAAACGCAAGCTATCATGATGGGTGGACCGCATTAATGACGGCAGCTTCAATGGGGAATAATCAAATTGTAAGAATTCTCTTAAAGCACGGAGCAGATGTCAAAGCTGTTAATAAATTTAACAAGAATGCTTTCACGTACGCTTGTGAAGGCTCACAACTAGATACCGCTGAGTTATTACTGGATACAGGTATAGATGTTAATGATTTTGAAACGGGCGGTTTAAATCAGTCAATGATAGCCTCAATAAAAGAGCAAGATAAAACAGTCAACGATGAAGTGTATGTAAATACAAAATCAGCTCGTCTAAAATTCTTCCTAAATTCTAAAGGAGTCCGCAGTCTCTTTGATGAACAGCATATAGAGGAAACAATACATTTTGTAAGTTGATATGAAAATAAGTTATAACCTTTTTTTTTAATTATTATAAAATTTATATGCTCTTACTTTTCTGTCGATTAATAATGTCTATAAATGTTGTTATATTGACATGATATAAGTGATATATTTATAATGAAAAAGTATGTATTAACACTTATCTATATCTTTAAAAAATATTTATAGCCTGTATATTGTCCAATGTTAAGGCCATGTGTATTTCTAAACCAACAGTAAATGAAATATTTATTTATTGAAGGTTATTGGACACAACAAGAAGTTTATACCGTATGGAGCAAGTGCTACATCAAACATAAAGCAAGCAGATGGCACCAAAACTGATACAGGTAAATCTTTTTGTATTTAATCAGGATATAAAATATCAGTCACAGTGAGGTTTATTTTCTAGTTTAGTGAGATGGGATACACAAAGTCACTGAGGGAAAATCAACAGCAAGACTTTGACAATAATTCCACTATGGTCGCTATCAGACTAACTAAGCCGTATGCTTGAGTTTCTTGTTGTATCAATGTGTAAAATACAGCTATTCATACATGCTAAAATCGTAGACACACCTGTACACCTGGATAATTCGAAAATGCTTTTACCTAGCTGCTTCAAGTCTACTGAAAGGATACTTTACTGTGTCGTTGGTATAAGAGGACTTCTGGTGTTGGAAATCCTCGTGATATTCTAGAATATTATCGTATTACAAATTGAAATTTTCTCTGAGACTTATTAGATTTATATAGTGATAAGACAAGTGATCTCATACAGAAGAACCCAGTATACATATCTCAGGACAAAAAGATATCGAGTACAGAATATCTCAGTCAAATTATCGCAACAAATACACACATTCTTAATGATCTGCCTTTCCAGATGTAAAGCTTCCATGTGGTACAAATGATAATGTGAGACGCCGTTTAAAAAAACCGAAAGAGCTGCCCCCGCCGCCTCTGCCTAAAAGAAGCGTTGGCGTGTACAGCAACAAAGGTAATTATTCGAAATGTGCTGTAGAGGTTGTGGGAAAAAATGCCACATGAAAAAATATAGAGTGACAACATTTACATAGTTTTATACAGATGAAATTTGCCGATAACTTAGGTCTGTCTATCACTTTCCATAAAATAACAAAGTTCAGTTGAAAACAATAATTAGAAAAACAAACTCGCGTTTCTGTATGTTTGCCAGACTATAGACATTTCATACTCTATCACGTCCCCCGTGAATCCATCTTCCTTTGGATTGTCTGTATTTATCAAAATATAAGTTAACTAATTCAAAGTCATGATTTATAACAAGCTTCTTTGTGTGAAAATTTCAATCTTTTATCTTATGATTGTTGGGATTTAAAAAAAAAATCTTAGTATAATATTACATGCATGTAAATTACTTAGGCGACATTACTGATAGTTTATATTATCCTTTACCACTTATTCTAGTAATTTAACATGCCGCACATCTAATAAAGACGCATGCGTTAAACACATTAGTTCAAATAAATTTATCGAGTTTACATTTTATGCTTGTTATAAATGTTAAACTAGCAAATAATGTATTAATTATTATGTTATCATGGTAGAAAATATACGTAAACGAAAATTGATCTATTCCCAACACAAAGTAGCTTCGATTTCCAAATGTAATATTTGCCACAAATTAGAAAAATGATAATTTTAATCCCCATGTAACTATTTTTCAGATTCCATGAGTCCAAAAAGATGTCCGGCAAGAGCACTACCTCCTCTGCCGGAAGAAACACCCCCACCACCCATACCACAGAGGAAATGTCATAAAGACCTCTATTACAACAGAGGTAATCAATTTATTTAAACCAAGGAACGGAAACAAAAAAAAAACACACTATTAAATGCAGTAGATAGATAGAAAAGCCACATGTGATACGAGTCTGCCAGTATTCGCAACATGTATTCAATCGCCCGAGTATCCGAAGTGTAATCACTACAACCAGTTAGCCCGCTCGTGTTTTCTTAAACCTACGCGTTTAGTCAGGGAAGGTACCCTATTGTGTGTTGTAAGCCATGTGCCTTCACGTCTATTATGCGGTGCGAAAAAGTTAAATTTCCGTTTCTGCCTAAATATCCGTAACCATCCTGTAAAATTTCCAGAACCGGTTAAAATCCCCATTTCGGAAAATAATCCCTTTTCAATAGACGGCTCAGGAGTTGGACTCCCATTATACAGGCAGGCCTCAGTATAGCAAACTCCGACTATAACGACGGTTTAATCGCTACACGTCGGTAGCTTCCTCCGTAGGCTCTCACCGGGCTTACCTTCCCCACCACCAGACGCGGGACGTCGTACTACCGCCTGGTACCCAGCTTGATAGTGGGGGGCATTCGGACAGATAAAAAACCTCTAGCTGCTGTTAGCTACCACCAGCCATTCCGCACCCACTGGGGGGGGGGGGTCATGGGCTTGGTCCGAATGTTGGCACTCTTCCAAAGCCACGTGTAGGCCGCAACATAATGTCAAAAAATCTGGTTAGGGTCAAGAGCGGACCCTTTATGGACCCCGGCAGTCTTACACCTCCACTTCCCTACGCTATAAAGATGGGAAATTGGGAGTCCGATTTACCATGCTCTTCGTATACGGCTAAATTACCTGATCCTGTTAAAGTGCCGTTTCCGGATAAAATCCGTTTTCAATTGGGCGGATAAGTAGGTCACCAACTAGTTCAATAGCTCATGCAGGTTTTATTGAGCCGTAGAACTGGTTGGTGACCTACTTACTAGCCTTATTACATGTTTCATTTCCGGTTAAATTTAAAGTTGAGATGGTGGTTTTGGGTTTGGTTTCGGTTGAGAGAGAAAAAGACAATACTATCAACTTAGCGCCCGTTGTATTTCTTCCTCCACGGACCATTTATCTAATGTAGAATAGTTATTTGCTATTTATTTGTTCTACAAAACATTTTTTGTTTCTTATAAACGTATACATACTACTAGGGTTTATACTATAAGTTAAACTATGAAGCAGGATTACAGAGACAAAAGTGATATAAAAGCGCATAATGCACCGATTTTTCAACAATATAAAGCACATTATATTGAAGATAAATAAATTGAAAAGGCTACTCTAAGATAAGTTTGTTAATTGATTTTATGATTTTGTTTTACAGCTATTCCATGTCCAAGCAGCAATGGGGAAAGACTAGCATCACATCCCCTTGGCGAAAGGCCATCACCAATTCCACGAAAGAGTAAATGTCATATGGGTGTATATTCTCACGGAAGTAAGTTTCAACGCTGAAATCTGGTATATATATATATATATATATATATATATATATATATATATATATATATATATATACATATATATATATATATATATATATATATATATATATATATATATATATATATGTATATATATATTTCTATATTTATATCTCTATCTCTATCTCTATCTCTATCTCTATCTCTATCTCTATCTCTATCTCTATCTCTATCTCTATCTCTATCTCTATCTCTATCTCTATCTCTATCTCTATCTCTATCTCTATCTCTATCTCTATCTCTATCTCTATCTCTATCTCTATCTCTATCTCTATCTCTATCTCTATCTCTATCTCTATCTCTATCTCTATCTCTATCTCTATCTCTATCTCTATCTCTATCTCTATCTCTATCTCTATCTCTATCTCTATCTCTATCTCTATCTCTATCTCTATCTCTATCTCTATCTCTATCTCTATCTCTATCTCTATCTCTATCTCTATCTCTATCTCTATCTCTATCTCTATCTCTATCTCTATCTCTATCTCTATCTCTATCTCTATCTCTATCTCTATCTCTATCTCTATCTCTATCTCTATCTCTATCTCTATCTCTATCTCTATCTCTATCTCTATCTCTATCTCTATCTCTATCTCTATCTCTATCTCTATCTCTATCTCTATCTCTATCTCTATCTCTATCTCTATCTCTATCTCTATCTCTATCTCTATCTCTATCTCTATCTCTATCTCTATCTCTATCTCTATCTCTATCTCTATCTCTATCTCTATCTCTATCTCTATCTCTATCTCTATCTCTATCTCTATCTCTATCTCTATCTCTATCTCTATCTCTATCTCTATCTCTATCTCTATCTCTATCTCTATCTCTATCTCTATCTCTATCTCTATCTCTATCTCTATCTCTATCTCTATCTCTATCTCTATCTCTATCTCTATCTCTATCTCTATCTCTATCTCTATCTCTATCTCTATCTCTATCTCTATCTCTATCTCTATCTCTATCTCTATCTCTATCTCTATCTCTATCTCTATCTCTATCTCTATCTCTATCTCTATCTCTATCTCTATCTCTATCTCTATCTCTATCTCTATCCATATCCATATCCATATCCATATCCATATCCATATCCATATCCATATCCATATCCATATCCATATCCATATCCATATCCATATCCATATCCATATCCATATCCATATCCATATCCATATCCATATCCATATCCATATCCATATCCATATCCATATCCATATCCATATCCATATCCATATCCATATCCATATCCATATCCATATCCATATCCATATCCATATCCATATCCATATCCATATCCATATCCATATCCATATCCATATCCATATCCATATCCATATCCATATCCATATCCATATCCATATCCATATCCATATCCATATCCATATCCATATCCATATCCATATCCATATCCATATCCATATCCATATCCATATCCATATCCATATCCATATCCATATCCATATCCATATCCATATCCATATCCATATCCATATCCATATCCATATCCATATCCATATCCATATCCATATCCATATCCATATCCATATCCATATCCATATCCATATCCATATCCATATCCATATCCATATCCATATCCATATCCATATCCATATCCATATCCATATCCATATCCATATCCATATCCATATCCATATCCATATCCATATCCATATCCATATCCATATCCATATCCATATCCATATCCATATCCATATCCATATCCATATCCATATCCATATCCATATCCATATCCATATCCATATCCATATCCATATCCATATCCATATCCATATCCATATCCATATCCATATCCATATCCATATCCATATCCATATCCATATCCATATCCATATCCATATCCATATCCATATCCATATCCATATCCATATCCATATCCATATCCATATCCATATCCATATCCATATCCATATCCATATCCATATCCATATCCATATCCATATCCATATCCATATCCATATCCATATCCATATCCATATCCATATCCATATCCATATCCATATCCATATCCATATCCATATCCATATCCATATCCATATCCATATCCATATCCATATCCATATCCATATCCATATCCATATCCATATCCATATCCATATCCATATCCATATCCATATCCATATCCATATCCATATCCATATCCATATCCATATCCATATCCATATCCATATCCATATCCATATCCATATCCATATCCATATCCATATCCATATCCATATCCATATCCATATCCATATCCATATCCATATCCATATCCATATCCATATCCATATCCATATCCATATCCATATCCATATCCATATCCATATCCATATCCATATCCATATCCATATCCATATCCATATCCATATCCATATCCATATCCATATCCATATCCATATCCATATCCATATCCATATCCATATCCATATCCATATCCATATCCATATCCATATCCATATCCATATCCATATCCATATCCATATCCATATCCATATCCATATCCATATCCATATCCATATCCATATCCATATCCATATCCATATCCATATCCATATCCATATCCATATCCATATCCATATCCATATCCATATCCATATCCATATCCATATCTATATATATATATATATATATATATATATATATATATATATATATATATATATATATATATATATATATATATATATATATATGTAATGCATATTTGTTTTGTTACACAGCATCCAGAGACCAATCAAAGGTTATTCGAGGCTCACTTCAAGAGGAACATTCTGACTTACTACGAAGCGAGCGAATGTATTTACTTAATGAGATAGACGCAATATTTCTAATTGATCATCTTCTTTCAAAACGTGTGATTGATGCAGATGCTTATGAAAGTGTTAGGTCTGAGAAAACCTCTAGAGAGAGAACGCGTACATTTCTAGACATTCTTTCTCATTCCGGTCCTAAAAGAGCCTTTCCAGAGTTTTTAAACATTTTAGATGCAGAATATCCACATGTAGCGGAGAGGTTGAAAGGAAAGTTGTAACAAACAGAATATCCACATGTAGCGGAGAGGTTGAAAGGGCAAAAGTTTCAACAAGAACAAGTTTTAAAAGTTGGCGGTTTTCAATTTTTTTTCTAATATTCTCTGATGCTATGTGAATAAAATTCAAAACATCCAAATAAATTCTTTTTTTTTAATATGCAGTTCTAAATATTATTTGTCTGATTTTAAAGTGTAATTGTGAGAGCAATAACTTTTACTAGGACAACAAAATATAATAAATCATTTTGTTACTATTCTAAAGTTCTAATAATAAAAATCTCTTTTTGATTAATTTTTATGAAATAGCATACCTTTTGTCAATGTATCTTTTAGAAATATGTAAATATGAAATAATCTATAAGCTTACAGCTTCATATTGCTTTAATGTTTTCATTGAATTTCATTGAATTTTCTTTCCTTTTTAACACACTCGGAAAACAACACAATAACACAAATTAATTAGCATTTTTCAATAGGACATAAAGTAAGTTACCCGAAAAACTTAGTCTCATTTGAGTCTGAGTTTTAATTAGATGTTAGCAACTATAAAAAAAACATGTTTTTATTTTTATAAAGTGTACTTAAAAACTATTGTTGATCAAATGGGTCATTTTAAAAAAAACACCAAATATACAGAATATAACGGTTTTGTAACAACTCGTATTTGTTGATATGACAATACGGTTGTTATTGTGGGTTCTTTCATTCAGGAACACGATCAACAGTGCTTTTCAACTGTAAACTTTATTTACATAGTTCCACAAGAAATAATGACGATAATCCACAGTAGAAGAAACGACTATCATATTACAGTCTAGAAACAAATTGACGTGGTGACATCTTACATCTTACTACACAGTCACAGGCAAGCACACTTAGTTCACATTGCGCTCCCCTTTTATACCCTACATTCTCTCCCCTTACGCCAGTGAGCAATCTCAAAAAAAGCATGAAAAAAAATTGACGAGTCGCTCACACAGTCCTTCCGTTGGCCAGGTACTCTACATTCATACAACTTCATGTTAAAATACAATATAATAATAATACCAAATAACAGAGGCGTAGCGAGGGGGGGGGTGCGGATCACACCGGGTGACACCATTTAGGGGGGTGACACCAAGGCAAAAAATAGTAAAATATATAGAGACAAATTTGAGGGGAGGGGTGCAAATCGAAAGTTTGAGGGGGGGGGGGGGGTGCACATCGAAAGTTCGAGGGGGGGGGGTGCAAATCGAAAGTTCGAGGGGGGAGGGGTGCAAATCGAAAATCGAAAGATTGTTCCCGGGAAGAGTCGCTACGCCTCTGGGGAGGGGGGTCACACCCGACCTCGCTACGCCACTGCCCAATAATACAATCTGTTACCGGTTTGATGAATGGAAATATGGTTCCTACGTTACACAATTTTTTTTAAAATGGGGAGAGTGGTTCGGAATTTCGTGACACACAAACACTGGTAGTTTGCTGTTTTAAAAGGCTGTTTCTTGAGAATTGTAATAGAAATGTATTAATATACCCTATATTGATGTGAGTATTTAACATACAAAAACATGTAGGCTGAGGGGTGAGATCTTTTCAGATGTGGGGTCCAGTTTTTTCTGTCGACGTGTGACGATGAATGACGATTAAACTCATAGTTATCCAAGAGGATTACGGGTGTTCTAGTGTAAATTATTACACGAATTGTTTGGACTTAAGACGATTCTATGTGTCACCAGACACTGCAAGAAGGCTTACAGGTTTGACAATGATTATCCTATGTATTGTTGAATCTTCCTTTCTCAAGTTTTGAGTCTCAACTGACCTTTGGCTCATACCACATGTCTGGATGCTGCTATCACGTGACTCAGCCACAGCCACAGCAACACAAGGCGACCCAACATCAGGATGAGTCGAATCTTCGTATTGCTCGCTGGTGTCTCTGGACACTAAGCACGTTGGTTGTGTACTTAAAGCGGCTATCGCATACTCCGTTTTAGGGATTTCTTTTAGTTTTTCCTCAGTGGCAAACTCCTTAATTGATCCAATCTTGAAGGTTTATTCAATTAAATTAGCTGTGCTGTGTATTACCGTAATGTAAAAAAAAATCTATTAAATCTTAGCCTGCTTCTATCTCGAATCTTACTGTAAACATACATTTTCAAGATACACAATTAATTTGAACCCATTTGCATTAGTATATAAGGTATATCTGCAAAGGTAATTAATGCAATAAATAATTTAGACAAAATCAAGCCATTTGGTAGGGGGTCGCCATTGTCGAGTCGGTAAAGCTCATGGTAAAGTCTCAAGTTCGAACCCTCGGGCAGATGAGGCTCGTTAGCTGGGGACAGTCACACAACTCCAAAATCAAACATCTGCTGCCGTTGGTCAGTTGAAACATTTTTAGTTTAAACGATGCGTATATAGATCTTAATAAACCGGGGAGTGATCTCCCCTAAACTTTCTCGAATATTCTTATCTATAATATAAGCGGGCTGAGCGTGTGTCAGTCCTTCCTTCCTTCTGTCATCGCTATAGCTTTTGGAACCATAAAAGTAAACATTCGCGCCATGCTGTGCTTTTCAGTGCACCGCAGTGTCTTATTATAAGTATTAGAGTAGGGTTTGTTTATATAACGGCATAGAGCAATTTTATAAATGACACTGTGTTTACTTTTTTGCATAACGTTATGAAAATATTAAATATTCGCACATTGCTAAAACATATTAAAAAGATCAATGTCAAATATCATTTTAGTTTATATTCCTAGAAAAAATGGATACATTTCCATAATAGTAGGTCGAAAAAACTAATTAATTCAACTTTTTTTTGTGGTAATTTTTTTCAAGGGAGGTAATTTGAAAATATATTTAACTCAACAATAATTTAAGTTAATCTTTTTTGTATTACTACCGCATTGATTAGTATATGTTAATGTTCATAATTAAAAGAGAAAAATGTTAAGATTATTTATATTATTTTCTAATTAGTCTATGATTTCTCAAAATCACTATTTTTTGTTTTTGTTTTTTGGTGTTAACAGATGGTGAAATTTTATAATTATAGTATAGAGAATGCTGGAAAGACTCTCTCTAGGCGCGGACGCCTGGGAAAAGCGTGTTTTTCGGTGGTAATTCTAATTACATTGCCAATGTGTTTTCTTAGAACCATAAAAGTAAACACAACTTGCCGTACATTCATTTGCATCGCATTGTTTTATTGTAAGTTATGGAGTAGGATCTATTTATGTGACTTAAATTTTTAATGTTGGAAAGGCTCTCTTTGGGCGCGGACGCCTAAAAAAGCGTGTTGTTTGGTGGTGATTCTAATGTTGTGGTTGTGTTTTTTTTTTGGTTGTGTTGTGGTTGTGTTGTGGTTGTTTTTTGGTTGTGTTGTGGTTGTGTTGTGGTTGTGTTTTTGTTGTGGTTGTGTTGTAGTTGTGGTTGTGGTTGTGTTGTGGTTGTGTTTTGTTTGTGTTTGTGGTTGTGTTGTGGTTGTGTTGTGGTTGTGTTGTGGTTGTGTTGTGGTTGTGTTGTGGTTGTGTTTTTGTTGTGGTTGTGTTGTAGTTGTGGTTGTGGTTGTGTTGTGGTTGTGTTGTGGTTGTGTTGTGGCTGTGTTGTGGTTGTGTTGAAGTTGTGGTTGTGTTGTGGTTGTGTTGTAGTTTTGTTGTGGTTGTGTTGTGGTTGTGGTTGTGTTTGTGGTTGTGTTGTGGTTGTGTTGTGGTTGTGTTGTGGTTGTGGTTGTGTTGTGGTTGTGTTGTGGTTGTGTTGTGGTTGTGTTGTGGTTGTGTTTGTGGTTGTGTTGTGGTTGTGTTGTGTTTGTGGTTGTGTTTTTTGTGTTTGTGTTGTTTTTGTTTGTTTTGTTCTGTTCCAAAATTGGTACATTTAAAAAAGATTTACCGTGGCGGAGCACGGGATGCAGCTAGTCTATAATATAAGCGGGCTGAGCGTGTCCTTCCGTCCGTCATCGCTATAGATTTTGGGACTATAAAAGTAAGCTACGCACCATGCTGTGCTTTTCAGTGCACCGCAGTGTCTTATTATAAGTATTAGAGTAGGGTTTGTTTATATAGCGGCATAGAGCTATTTTATAATTTCCACTGTTTGTACAATTTTGCATAACGTAAAGAGAATATTAAATACACGCACATTGCTAAAACATATTAAAAGGATCAATGTCAAATATAGTTTTCGTTAATATTCCCAGAAAAAAATGGATATATTATCATGAAATTAGGTCGAAAAAACTAATTAATTCAATTTTTGTTTGGTATTTTTTTGCAAGGGAGGTAATTTGAAAATATATTTAACTCATCAATATCTAAGTTAATTTTTTTTTATTACTACCGCATTGATTATTATGCGGTAAAGTTCATAATTAAAATAGAAAAATGTTAAGATTATTTATATTATTTATTATTATTTTCTAATTAGTCTATGATTTCTCAAAAATCACTATCTTTTTGCTTTTGTTTTTCTGTGTTATGAAAACAGATGGTGAAATTAGACTTTTTGAGAAGAATGGAACGGCTCTGTCTGAGCGCGGACGTATGGGAAAATGTTTTTTTTTTAATATTCAACTCACTCTCAATAATTTAAGTTAATTTTTTTTATTACTTCCACATTGATTATTATATGTTAAGGTTCATAAGTAAAATAGAAAAATGTTAAGATTATTTATATTATTTTCTAATTAGTCTATGATTTATCAATATCACTATTTTTTTTTTTTGTTTTTCGGTGTTAACAGATGGTGAAATTTTAGAATTATAGTATAGAGAATGCTGAAAAGGCTCTCTCTCTCTGGGCGCGGACGCCTGTGAAAAGCGTGTTTTTCGGTGGTGATTCTAATTACATTACCAATGTGTTTTCTTAGAACCATAAAAGTAAACACCACTTGCCGTACATTTATTTGCATCGCATTGTTTTATTGTAAGTTATGGAGTAGAATCTATTTATGTGACCTAAATAAAGGCTCTCTTTGGGCGCGGACGCCTAAATAAGCGTGTTGTTTGGTGGTGATTCTAATGTTGTGGCTGTGGTTGTGTTGTGGTTGTGTTGTGGTTGTGTTGTGGTTGTGTTGTGTTGTGGTTGTGTTGTGGTTGTGTTTTGTTTGTGTTGTGGTTGCGTTGTGGTTGTGTTGTGGTTGTGTTGTGGTTGTGTTTTGTTTGTGTTGTGGTTGCGATGTGGTTGCGATGTGGTTGTGTTGTGGTTGTTTTGTGGTTGTGTTGTGGTTGTGTTGTGGTTGTGTTGTGGTTGTGTTGTGGTTGTGTTGTGGTTGTGTTGTTGTTGTGTTGTTGTTGTGTTGTGGTTGTGTTGTGGTTGTGTTTTGTTTGTGTTGTGGTTGCGTTGTGGTTGTGTTGTGGTTGCGATGTGGTTGTGTTGTGGTTGTGGTTGTGTTGTGTTTGTTTTTGTGCTGTGTTTTTGTTTTTGTTCTGTTCCAAAGTTGTACATTTAAAAAGATTTACCGTGGCGGAGCACGGGATGCAGCTAGTATAAAATAACAGGGGATGGGAACTCGGGCTATAGACATGATTTTTAATCCATTTTAAATACTTAAAGTTTTAAAAATAGAATAAAATCTCGTAGACAAATTAATTGCACACCAAGTGAACGCCAAATAAAAAAGCGCATAATGGTGCGCAATATTATTATTACTTTTAAAATTTACATTAGTTTTTTGAGAAATCGGAAGTAGCGTAAAGTACTACTTCCAGTCAACGGAAATGACTCAAAATTTGATAGAAGGTAGAGAATTAGATCTTTTACTTACATATGAAATTTCATTTATCTATCTGAAATAGTACTCAAGTTATAGGCTTTTGAAAAATTCAAAGTAGGAAAAGTACCACTTCCGGTTATCGGAAATCGCTCAAAAGTTGATACGGATCTATGATTTTGATAAAATACTTATATATGAAATTTCATCAACCTAGCTGTAACGGTTCTCAAGTTATCGTGTTTACACACGGACAGACAGACACACAGACACACAGACACACAGACAGACACACAGACATACGGACAAGATTGCAAAATTATGTTTTTCCGTATCAGTGAGGTGTGAAACGTCGAGATTTGTAAAAATCTCGATTTTTTTTTTGCACGATTACAAGACTTTCTCTATACTTCGTATATACGAGAAAGTAAAAAAAGAGTTTTTTTAAGCATACATAACATGGAGCTACAAACACAAAAGATGCTGACAAAAAATTTTTAAAAAATCTCAGTCATTTCAAAACTTAAGAAATATACCATGATAAGATCACGTCAAAATGGTGCGTTACCTCTGTGTTTCCACAGTATCGCTGCTATGACCATGAGTATCACACAGACCCCACAAACAGCACCAACTGGAGTCTGCCAATTCATTGTTCCATCTGCCGGGAGGTAAAGAGAATACTTCAGACTTGAGAGAGGCTATAACATACCAAAATGGTCTTACATGTGTTGCACTCTGAAATTAGCCATTAAAATATTTTGTACTCTGAAATTAGCCATTAAAATATTTTGTACTCTTGAATTAGCCATTAAAATATTTTGCACTCTTGAATTAGCCATTAAAATATTTTGTACTCTTGAATTAGCCATTAAAAAATATGGAATTATTAAAAATGGCTCTTAGCTTTTTGTATTGATTTTCTGCATCCTTTTCGCGTTGGTGATTTTAAAAATCTCAGTAACTAAACCAGAGCCAAAACAGTTTTAAAAATAAAAACCACGACTTAACTAAGTCATTCTGCTGTTCACAATAATTGCTGCAAAATTCGTGCAGAGAGCAACATTTTAGCCAATAAAAGTTTGTCTTACAAAACTTCAGTTTAAAATGACGGATTGGTTTATCAAAACTATAATCAGCTTTAAAAGCAAAACATTGTAAAATTTTCTACATTTGCAAAATTTATGATATTGATTCTTAAAACTTGAAATTATCAAATCGTTTTCATTCTTATTTCTTATTTTACGTCACATTTTTATTTAAGTAAAGTAAAGTTGGGTGGACTCAGGGACGGTCTATTGACTTGAACCCGGATTCGAACACGAGACCAACTGGTTAGCAGCCCAGCTCTCTACCGCTAGACCACTCCGTCCCATAAACATTTTTATTTGACATCTGCTTATTAGACGCAAGTGACAAAAAACATTTTTGGTCTACTTCAGCAAACGTCAAACGAGTACTTCTCCTCAGTAGCCAAGGTCGGTACCGTTACAAAAACATATTCCATGTTTATTTATTAGATGACGTTTCTAGGATAGATTTATTTAGTGCTGTTATTTGTCATGGAATGCACATGGTACCTTTGTGTTGAAAGCACCGCGGTGTTGTAGCTAAATGTCGTTGTTAATATGATATTGAATCCTTGATTAATACAAATTAGAAAAATACTTAAAAAAACGAGTAAAATAAGTGAATAAAAACCATTCTTCTATTAATAAAATTTGTTTAAAATCAACTAAAATCATTCTGAATATTATAAAAATGTTTACTTTGTGATATATTTTTTCTGCCCCTATGTGACCTCACTACCCGCATTAATTGAGCTTTGTTTTAAATAGATAACCTTTACCTGCTGTAGTTGATTCAGGATTTGTCAAAATATTCGCTGGTGTAGTTGTCGAAATATCCGCTGGTGTAGTTGTCGAAATATCCGCTGGTGTAGTTGTCGAAATATCCACTGGTGTAGTTGTCAAAGCTGCGAAATATTTAGATGGGTGTATATATTATCAGAAAATTGGCTTGAACCTGTCTATGTCTAGGTCAAGGTCAGGTCCAGATATCAGGTCAAGGTCTGTGAATACATTATAGTCGGTGTATTCGATTCATAATTTACCTATCCACCCTTTTTTTTAGCTATTTATATAAGAGTGCATTATTAATATATATTTGAAATCATTTGATATTCTTCTGTTTTTTCAGGTGACGGGGTACGGGTGGGTGCCTATGCTCCCCACGGCAAGTCTACCGACCCCCTACCTTTTCGAAGAAATTGAAAAATATATTTATATATAAAATGTGTGACTACCCCCCCCCCCTCCCCCAAGCAAAATTAAGTGTGCTCATCCTGGAAAGTTTCACCTTAATTTCCCCCCCCCCCCCCTCTATCGGAGAGAAACGTCAGAAAGAAATACTGGTTGTAAATCTTTCTTTTTGTAAGGTTTATCGTAACTAGACGACTTCCCAAAACCTTTCACTTTTTCTTGCATATTTTGTTGCATTACACAGATACATTAATAACAACGAATACATTGACAGCAGAAATTAAAAATCATGCACAAGTCTCAAATGGTTTAAATTAATAAAAAATCAAAATATATATCATTACTAGTTTCCAATTCCAGAGAATTCTTTGCCAATGACATTAAATTTTGTTTTCTAGTGATTCATGATGTACGTTTTTAACATATTTCTTTCAACCTAGCAACTAGTAAAATAAAAAGTATTATTCATCTTTGACATGTCAGGTTACCAGTAACATACCGCTACGTAAGTTGTAATTTAGTTTCATCTCGCAAAATCTATTCTGTGACTAGATTCTGAATTTAGGATCAGATAACCGCATCGAATAAACATTTAAACATATAACACATTAGCATAACTTATTAGAAAAATAAAACATTCGGAAATTTAAATTTTAACACGTCTACTGTGGCAGAGAATCTCAGTCTCCTTAAAGTTATCAAGTCATAGATCTATCAAATGTTGACCTCTGGGATCCTTTCAAAAACTAAATGAAGCTAGACAGATTGCCTAGTTGATTATAAGTATGCGGTTATTGTAAAAAAAATGTGCCAAGCATTGTAATTAAGAGTGCAGTAGAATTCGTTTTACCATATAGACGTTAGCATGGAAGCGACTATAGCCGGAATAGGCGTTAGCCAAACTGATCAAGCCAATGTAATTACCTCTAGGAACTAATTTTAAAATAATTTTAAAATAAAACCCAGTTTAAGTTTAGGCTTATAGAAAACGTTTAAAATAAACATTGAAGATAATACAATTTTTTTTTATAAACGTTTATTTCTAGCTATAATACTATTACAAAGTACCATTATCCTTATATTTTATATAAAGCTAAATTACATCATCAAGTATTCGTATGAACACACACTTATATAGCCTATTTATATCTATTAATATATATATATATATATATATATATATATATATATATATATATATATATATATATATATATATATATATATAATTTTATCTTGCAGAATACTTAGGATTGGTTAATGACAGTTAAAAGCACGTGCGAAAGAACATATTCTATGACTAGAATACTGACTAAACTCGCGTGACTATTCAGTTCTTCTTCTTCTTCGTTCTTAAATTTAGTGTTGGATGAGTCAGCACAACTAGTATACGCATCAACTGGTTATGCGTCAATGAGGCAATTGACTCCGATTTCAGCCTGTTTTTGTTTTTGGATTTGCTTTCAAACCAAGAACAAGCAGCTGTTTAATTTTAGGGTTGTCACTCCTAGAAGTGTGGCTGTCCCCAGCCAAAGATCCTCATCTGCCCGAGGGTTCGAACTCGAGACTTATTGGTTAGGCAGCTATGAGCTTTACCGACTCGACCACGTCGAACCCCTAGCTATTCAATTAGATATTAAAGGTCATATCAAATATGGGCTAGAATTATATTAATGTTTCAAATTTTTAAAACTTCGATGTATTTTATAGCCAGATATCAAAGACCAGAATAAAATGCTGTTGGGATCAGTGAGGTTCAGTTTGCTACTAATTGTTACAGGTAAGTGGTCACCTAAAAACAATCAGTTTGCTACTAATTATTACAGGTAAGTGGTCACCTAAAAACAATCAGTTTGCTACTAATTATTACAGGTAAGTGGCGTCCTAAAAACAATCTGCAAAAGTAAGCTTAAAAACAGTATACAATAAAGCAGGAGTGAGCTTCACTAAACTTCTCGTATATATTAATATAACGATAAGGGTTGGATTAGTACTATTGAAAATTACGTTTCAGTGGCGTAGCTAGGATTTTTGGGCCCCTATGCAAAAAGTGTTAGTGGGCTCCTCAGAGGCGTAGCGACCCTTCCCGGCGACCGGGGACAAACTTGCGATTTGCACCCCCCCCCCTTCAAACTTTCGAAAAAGGGCCCCTATTTGCCTTGGGCCCCTATGCCTTGCTTACGCTAGCTTTACGGTAGCTACGCCACTGTCACGTTTGTGAAAAACCGCTCGCTTTTTGATAGAACGATTAGAGGCGAGAATATACTACTCTAAAATACACGAGAGGAAATTATCAACTTCTTATGTTTCCTATTGAGAAATCGGAAATAGCGTAAAGTTGATCACTTAAAATTTAGCAAACCAGTTCATTAGAACGCTCTTACACCTATGTATGAAATTTCGTCCAATTAACGAAAACGGCATTTTATAAACTGGAAATAGTAAAAGTAATTCAAGCAGAAGGTCTTATACTAATTCATCAATTTCGTTTAATGAGAGAGTAATCAAGTTGTCATATAGACACGCAAAAAGAATAAAAAAACACTTCTCTTTTACATGAAATCGCTCAAAATTTATTGTAAGCCCGCATATATAATCTTATACTAAGAATTATTTTTCTTTTGAGAAACCGGAAGTAGAGTAAGTGCACCTTTCGGTTGCCGTCAAATCGCTCAAAGTTGAAAGAAAACTACAACCGTGAAACAACGTTTATATGCGAATTTAGTCAACCTAACTGAAACAATACTCAAGTTATTGTGTTTGCTGGAGGGCAGAAACTATCTTTAGAGGTGCTAGAGGGCAGAAACTATCTTTAGAGGTGCTAGAGAGCAGACACTATCTTTAGAGGTGCTAGAGGACAGAAACTATCTTTAGAGGTGCTAGAGGGCAGAAACTATCTTTAGAGGTGCTAGAGGACAGAAACTATCTTTAGAGGTGCTAGACGGCAGAAACTATCTTTAGAGGTGCTAGAGGGCAGAAACTATCTTTAGAGGTGCTAGAGGGCAGAAAGTGAGGAAGTCAAAGTAGAAGATGGCTGCATGACCTAAGGCCGCAAAATGAGCCAGGGCATCAGTAGACGTGGATTTATGGTATGGCGTTATGAAAGCCAAAAATGATGCCCTAAAAAATCCAACGGAGTTGTGGGATAGATTAAAAAATAGTTTTACTTTACAGTTATCACAGCCTATAACACCGCGGGTGCCCCAATGCTTTTTATCCGAAAACTAATTGTCCAAATCCAGTTACTAAGTGCCAACAATCTAAATGTATTATTGTAAAACCACCAATATTCGGCACTACTTGTCGAACTTAAATGCTAAATATTAAATTAGTAATGCAAGATTACCAGCTTAATTAATGACCAACATCACACGTTACATTTTTTGTCTTTCAAATATCACTCAACTGATTCCAAATTATTTGTTTTAAATTACTAAATATTTTTAGGATTACCCCACGATGTGACGTCACTTATTTCGCCCGAATTTCAAGACCGAAATGGCATCATTGCTTCCATAGATGGCTACATACCACGGTGCCCAGGGTGTGTTGTGTTTGGTAAGGACGATCTTTTAGTCTACGGCAGCATGCACGTACCACAAGACAAGATGCACCTCATGGACAATGCCTACTTCATTACCGAGGTTTGCGGCTTCGACATGGATTGTAGCGAATATGAATATCCTTGGATGTCGGTAATTCAATGCATTTTATTTCTTACCACTATTCCTTACAGATAGTAGCTGGATTATTTGTGTATTGATATTCTTATGATGATTACATTCTTGCTGTATCAGACGGTGTGGTTAGATGGTAGGCTTCACGACTTATGACCAGAAATAATCGAGTTTGGATACAGGGCTTGGTTCTGTAAGAGGTGAACTTGCCTCATAGCTGAATAACTTTACGGAGTAAAGGCGTGTGGGCTTAGTGTTTGTACACACTAAATCCCTGTATGTTAAGGTCATTTAAACAGATAAACTCTACATCATGTGCATTGGGCACGACGTGAAATTATAATGACGATACTCAGATTTTGATAATTAAATATGTGTGTGTAAATAAATTGAAAAAAGAACAACAACAACCACGCATGAACAATTTACAACCACGCAACTGTGGGAGTGTTGAGCCGGGGGGTCGGTTTCAATTTGAAGTGTTGCTCATTCTATTCTTTCGCCCAGTGGTGCTTTTTCCACCCGGAGTTTACCAAGGGCTGTGACTCCGTCAAGAGGACCTATGAACACGAATGCTACTGCCAAGATGCTGAACCCAAGCGCTGGTACGCCTACCTCCATGGCGTGCTTTTCGAGCGGACTGACATGACCATCAGATTCTTCTTTGAGCCCGACGCTGAGAACGGAATATGGGAGTACAGACCACCGTTAATTGCGAACTCGACTCTAAAAATACAGGATCTAATTGGTACGTCTACTAACAGCAAGATATGTAGCTATTGTATTTTATACACATCATTCCATTGAAATATAGCGATGCCTTGGTTAATAATTTTTTAAAAGTATACGGTATGTATATATACAGTGGCGTAGCGAGGTCGGGTGTCACCCGGTGCGGCACTTAATGGTGTCACCCCCCAGAGGCGTAGCGACCCTTCCCGGGGACAAATTTTCGATTTGCACCCCCTTCCCCCCTCAAGTTTTCGATTTGCACCCCCCCCCCTCAAACTTTCGATTTGAACCCCCCCCCCTCAAGTTTTTCTCTATATATGTTGCTATTTTTTTGCCTTGGTGTCACCCCCCTAAATGGTGTCACCCGGTGCGGTCCGCACCCCCCGCCCCCCCTCGCTACGCCCCTGTATATATATATATATATATATATATATATATATATATATATATATATATATATATATATATATATATATAAATGATTTATTACATGTTATGTGTAAGTTCCGAGAGATAAAGTTTCATGGAAACTACATGAAATGATATAATGGAAAAATACTGTATTTTTACAGATCGTGGACACATTGTGTTCGACCGCAAAGTTTCTGATGCTAGAAGATCAACTAACCGGTCTACTTGCCGGACATCAGGTGAGTAGTTTGAGTCAAATGTCCATCCTTATTTTTCCGCATGAACCGCAGAGCCATCATGAGAAATGACAGTTGAGTTTAAAATTAGAAATGGAGTATTTTATGATTTGATATTATTATTGTTCAAAACAATTCTATTGTCAATTGTTTAAAGCAGGCAGGTTATTATTTCACTATGAATTTTAGTTTCTTGCAGAATGAGTTGACCACTTAACTTCCAAAACTTGATCAACCACTAATTTATCATCTCTGTACAGATTTTTCACTTCAGATGACCTCAGTGGCCATAATCTTAGCAATCGTTGGTTTGGTCACGTGATAGGATTAAATACACCTGTTGGCCAGAATTGGATTTGATCCGACGATGAGAAAGAAATACCACGACAACACACCTTTAGTCAACTTACCCAAGGTTACACTGCTCACACGCGATTTATTTTTAGAATTTTAGCCACCATTTTGTTTTCTTACATTTTCTATCAGCTTGTTCGCATTATTTTAAGTAGGATGCAGCAAAACATGCCTAAACACCAGTACGAACGATTTAAGTCGAAGGTTGTAGGGGATTGAAATACATTTTATAGCATATGAATCTATTAACACTGCGAATAAATTCAATTCAAGGTAATTTAAAACATGTAGGTAGATAAATAAAGAAGACAATTTTAAACATGTAAATACAATAGTTTCTTAAAGCATGTCTGTTGTTAGTTGTGTATTCATATATATTAATTAAAGTTGAGAACATATTTGTATTATCAAATACCCCTTTTTGTTTTTAATATTCTCCAACCCCGATTAACTAACGCAAATAAATCGTATCCACGATTTTAGAAGCTTTAATGATGTAAATAACCGTCATAACATTTCCTCCAGAATTTTATGGAAACATTAAGATATTTTCAAACTTTTTACAAAGAGAACATTATCATTGATGAGAATTTTAAATTGAGGACGGCTTAGGAGTCGATAAAGCTCATTGTTGCTAAACCGAAAAGTCTCGAGTTCGAACCCTACGGCAGATGAGGCTCGTTAGCTGGGGACAGCCACTCTTCTAGGAGAGAGAATTCCAAAATCAAACAACTGCTGCCTTGTAGTTTGTTCTTGGTTGGACAAAGGCTATGGAAGTCTCAATGGCGCATAACAAGCTGACACGTAATCCTTAATTGTGATGGAGGCGTGGTCGAGTGGGCAAAGTTCATGGTTGATAAATTCGAAAAAAAAAGTCTTGAGTTCGCTTCCAATACTAAAAATTAAGAACGAAGAAGAAGAACATTCCCCCCCCCCTGACACTGTATGTTATAGCACTCCAATTTGAACTGAAGGGGGACATGGGCCTATAAATTAGTATGAGGTTCATTATTTTTTAAAATCATTTCTTTTTTTTTAAGTTAAACATACATAACGGCGAGGTGAAAAATAAAAAAAAAAAAATCAAGCAAACGCAAAAAGCAAATAAATTAATAAATAAAAGTAATGCAACTTACGTTTTGCTTTCTGGCAAATTTTAAAATGCTTAAGCAAGCCACCAAGTATATTCTCGAAATATTTTTCATTATTGTTGCGCTTTGCCATCAAAGTAAATGTGATTGACTCAATTTTGTCACTTTGAATAGAAGACAATCTCAATGAAATTTGATTTGATTTTAAAATACATACATATGTATATATATATATATATATATATATATAATACGTATATGTATATATTTTTTTTAAGTTGTCGTATATGTATATAATTACATATACATGTATAGGCGTTTATATATATATATATATATATATATATATATATATATATATATATATATATATATATATATATATATATATATGTATGCTATATGTAAAGGATATATAAATAGGCTATATATATATATATAGGCCTATATAAATTTATATATATATATATATATATATATATATATATATATATATATATATATATATATATATATATATATATATATAAGCTCTATATATGGTCACAGGCCAAATATCTCAGCATGATTAAAAACCAAACGTGGATCGTGTGACGTACATTTACAATAAACGACAGCGGCCATTGTTTAAATATTTTATTGTGTGTCACTGTCTCTGTTTCTATAAAAGATGTTTACAGTCTGTGTTTGTGTAAAAGATGTTTACTGGCTGTGTTGCTATAAAAGATATTTACTGTCTGTGTTTGTATAAAGGATGTTTACTGTCTGTGTTGCTATAAAAGATGTTTACAGTCTGTGTTTGTGTAAAAGATGTTTACTGGCTGTGTTGCTATAAAAGATATTTACTGTCTGTGTTTGTATAAAGGATGTTTACTGTCTGTGTTGCTATAAAAGATGTTTACTGTCTGTGTTGCTATAAAAGATGTTTACTGTCTGTGTTGCTATAAAAGATGTTTACTGTCTGTGTTTGTATAAAGGATGTTTACTGTCTGTGTTGCTATAAAAGATGTTTACAGTCTGTGTTTGTATAAAAGATGTTTACTGTCTGTGTTTGTATAAAAGATGTTTACTGTCTGTGTTTGTATAAAGGATGTTTACTGTCTGTGTTGCTATAAAAGATGTTTACAGTCTGTGTTTGTATAAAAGATGTTTACTGTCTGTGTTTGTATAAAAGATGTTTACTGTCTGTGTTTGTATAAAGGATGTTTACTGTCTGTGTTGCTATAAAAGATGTTTACAGTCTGTGTTTGTATAAAAGATGTTTACTGTCTGTGTTTGTATAAAGGATGTTTACTGTCTGTGTTGCTATAAAAGATGTTTACAGTCTGTGTTTGTATAAAAGATGTTTACTGTCTGTGCTTGTATACGGGATGTATTAGCTGGATTGCCTTTGTAAAGCGCTGCTCAAGACAAATGTTAACTCAGGATATGTTAGCTGTATAAAGGGAAAAAAATTGTTACTGCCAGTTACTCTCAGTTCAAGCAGATAACGCATTTAACATCATAACATGGCGAATCTACCTTCAGTTCAAGCAGATAACACATTTAACATCATAACATGGCGAATCTACCTTCAGTACAAGCAGATAACATAGTTTTAACATCATAACATGGCGAATCTGCTTCAATAGTTATTTCCTCCTCAAAATTACTTGCCGAAACAAAAGCAAACGCTGACAATAATAAACTGAACGTGTAATTATTCAACTCACCCGGAATATACACTAACAAAAGACGTCTTGTTTAAGTTGAATTTTATCATGGATGAAAGCCTCATTAAAATCTAAATAAATAATAAATTAACATTATTTTAGGGGTAGAAACATTCAAGTAATTGACATTGTTTTTACAAAAAATATCAAACAGATCGAAGAAGCCTTTTATTATATTTAGGAACTGTTCACGGCACATAAATCAGCACTACAGTAGGTAATTTTACTAGGTGGGTTTGCAATAATTAAGAGTAGACAGGTAGCAGACCATGTAGTGGACACAATAATCAGCACTAACGAAAAATGGATGAGAAATAATAATAGGATAAATTTACGCCAGGCTCCGAGTTTAAAATAAAACAAAACAAGATAATACAATTTTTATCACTGGTTTATCTATCTTAAATCCGAGATAGATCTATCATTTGTCCTTGAGATCATTTGTCCTGAGACCATTTGTCCTGAGACCATTTGTCCTGAGATCATTTGTCCTGAGATCATTTGTCCTGAGACCATTTGTCCTGAGATCATTTGTCCTGAGATCATTTGTCCTGAGATCATTTGTCCTGAGACCATTTGTCCTGAGATCATTTGTCCTGAGATCATTTGTCCTGAGATCATTTGTCCTGAGATCATTTGTCCTGAGATCATTTTTCCTGAGATCATTTGTCCGTGAGATATTTTGTCTGAGATATTTTGTCTCAGACCATTTTTCCTAAGATCATTTGTCCTGAGATCATGGAACCTGTAGTCAATAGTCGAGGTAAAGTCAGATAAGATTGCTATATATTTATGAAAGCTACTCTTGTATGTTGGAATACAGATTTCACACAGTGCCGGTCTACAGATTTTAAAATGGGATTCTTCTTCTAGCCACAGCTACGGCACAACTGTTTCCATCCACCAACGATAAATAATGACAAAAACAAAAATTTCTTACTGTTTTAATAATGCAGTCAGCGACAAAATCATCGTCTTGATTGAATGTAATGGTACAGTGGACGTCACCCTGTTCTGTCAAGACAATAAAGATTGATCCGCTAAATTTTAAATGCAATTATTTTACTTTTACTGTTTATTAAAGACATTAAACAATATGATGCAATACTTGATGATGATTATTGAGTTTAAATAAGTTAATCATAAACTTATGCTATCACCCAAGTTTAGTTTTTAAGTTAAAATATGCTAATATCAAAGTCAGCAGCATGAATGTAAATTATAATTTCGGCTTCAACAATTGATGAACATATTAAATAGGATCGTTAATCATATATTTAATCTAAACCTATCTATAATATTTCTTTTTATGAGTATAAAAAAATCATAGATAAAAGTTTTACAATAACCGTGTTAAATGCATTATTATTTAAGCACAAAAAAAATACAACAAAAAACAAAACAAAACAATTAAATGATTTAAAACTTTGCACCATAAGACAGCATTGTAATTTTTAAATACATCGAAAATAAAAACAAAAATAGATGTCAAGATTGCACCCATGACAACTTACTTGACATTGGAGTAGCCAATGGGACATCCAGAACATTCTTACAGAATCTCATTGGGGAGGCCCTTGAAACTGGAAGAAAATCAAGTTTTAGAATGACGTATTTACGGCTAAAGAATAATTTTAGTAACTTTCTCAAAATTGGGAAAATATTTCACACGAGCTGACCCGCGACGTAGTATACGCCGCCATCTAGTTGTTTTATTTTGTGCTTATCAGCAATTCATAATTTGTAAATTCAACACTACCCCCTCCCCCCCCCCCCTCCTCCCGCCCAGTGAAAGCAGCCGTTTACAAAGAAAAGACCAATCAGAAATTGTTACCTCCCCTTCGTTTCAAAACGATTATTACTAAATTATCTGCCCCTAATAGCCGTTACTAACACGGCTCTACGATTGTAAACATTCGGGGTGAACTACAGCTCACCTGACAGGTGTGGGTGAGGGTGGTGACTAAGCTGCGTGGTGTTTTCTATTCTATTCTATTTTTATTAGGTATGTGGCGGAGTGATATAGCAGTACACTCCAGGCACAAGTTTTACTGCCCATTGTTCTCTGGTTATATTTGAAATAAAGAAAAATGCTCATAAAGGCGAATACCCGATAGCCTGTTTTAAGGCACAATACTTCACTTCATTTTAAAATGACAGGTTTGCAATTGTGTTGTTTATCTGAATTTTGTTATCATTTATCTTATTTACCGATATTTAAAATAAATGTCAACAAAATGTACAATGTCATTCTGTAACAACAGGTACTCATGTTATCCCCCACCCCCTGTAACAACAGGTACCCAAGCTATCCCCCCACCCCCTGTAACAACAGGTATCCATGTTATCCCCCACCCCCTGTAACAACAGGTACTCATGTTATCCCCCACCCCCTGTAACAACAGGTACCCAAGCTATCCCCCCACCCCCTGTAACAACAGGTATCCATGTTATCCCCCACCCCCTGTAACAACAGGTATCCATGTTATCCCCCACCCCCTGTAACAACAGGTATCCATGTTATCCCCCACCCCCTGTAACAACAGGTATCCATGTTATCCCCCACCCCCTGTAACAACAGGTATCCATGTTATCCCCCACCCCCTGTAACAACAGGTATCCATGTTATCCCCCACCCCCTGTAACAACAGGTATCCATGTTATCCCCCACCCCCTGTAACAACAGGTATCCATGTTATCCCCCACCTCCTGTAACAACAGGTATCGATGTTATCCCCACCCCCTGTAACAACAGGTATCCATGTTATCCCCCACCCACGCGGCCTGCACGCCGCCCCGCCCCCTGGAAGTTTCCTGACCGGCAACTGGAGAAAAATTTCTGAAAGAAACCCTACTAATAATTTTAACATTTACAGTTACCCATCGATTATTTTTTAAACCGGTGTCTCGACAGTTTGACCCATATATAACCTGGGTTGTAGACTGGGTGAAGTAATAATCTTAAACTTGGAAGATTCGAAGAATACAGGCTACAGTTTAAAATGATAACAAATAAGTAAAGAGTTTAGTATTACATGTATTCATTTCTGGCGTGTTCTGTCTACAGTCTGCAACGCTGACAAAATAGACAATTACAGCTGATGTTAAAATAATGAATGTTATCTTCGACATTGCGACACTCTGAAAGTTAAATGCAACAAGTTAGACAATATTAGATGAAGTAGAAAACTTAAGCTTCTGGACGATTAAAAAGGGCGTGGTCTAGCAGGCTAACACCGCCGCTACAGGTCTAGAAGTATGACATGCGACATCAGGTCTGACACGCCCCTACATGTTAAATGGTAATAAACCCCCTGGACAAAAACCCCTTGGACAACCCCCCCCCCTCCCAACATAAACCCCCTGGACAAAAAACCCCCGCGATATAAACCCCCTGGACAAAAAAAAAAAAACCCGCGATATAAACCCCCTGGACAAAACCCCCCGTGATATAAACCCCCTGGACACCCCCCCCCCCCAATTGAGGTTTATATAAGGAAAAACCAAAGATGATGAGAACCAGAATTAATAATTAAAACAAAAACAAACAATAGGAAAAAACAGTGTTTTATTATGACTTTCATAAGAGAGATTGTGAGCGACGTCTCGCAAATTCTCTATAATGGTGGGCTCATTAAAAAATTTAACATTAGTTGAAATTCAAGCGCTGCTATCAATATATATTTTTTTCTGTTTTGGTAAACACTGACCTGAATAAACCTCTTGGGTGGCAACTTCAGTTTAGCTGGCACGCGTTATACCGCTAGATTTATAGGTGCGTGTCATACTATTTAGCCTGGCTCCCGGTAAAAAAAAAGCTGGACATAAACCCCTATAAATCTAGCGATATAACGCGTGCCAGCTTAACTGAGATCTACTACTTCTTATACCGAAATCGAGACAATAGTGCAACACCTCGACAGCGCCCCCCCCCCCCCCCTCCCCCGGTACGCTCCAAACAGAGCGCACCGAATAAGACCTGGGGCGGCATGTATTGAACCCGTAAAACAAGGTTTCACATAGGCTGTATGAACATTACACAATAGATACACGGGGACATATGACATATAATTGAGTACATGCCATAACAAATGGGCTCACCCACATGTGCATGTGCCGTGTACACAATAGAAACGATTCACCTACAAGAGCGTGTAACCTGTACATAATAGAAATGACTCATCTATTCACCTTTTTATGCTATATTTTTTGAGGCAATAAAGTTATGTAAGATTGAATAATTCAAATAGCCGATAGATATCTCATTTTTCTAAACGAATTTGATTTCAAGATTTGAAAGATAAACTGACGTGTGCTCACCTTTTTAAATTCCTCCAGGGTTTTTGTCTAGTTATTGAAAAATTAGAAGACAGTGGCGACTGATGGTTTCCGTGGACCTCGGTCAAACTGTGTGTTGAACTGATCTTGGCTAACCAATCAGTACCTGATTATAATAGCATTTATCCAAATGTACTTAGTTACAACTGTCATCTAGAGATGTTCTTAATCACTCACGTCATATAACATGGTTAACGACCTCACCTTAAGTGTGTGTGTGTGTGGGGGGGGGGGTGAGCTTTAGAGTTGGGTTCCCTACGTTATGCAGGGTTAAAGCTGCCTGAAGCTAATTCTCGGAATCAAAGCAAATTTTCAATGTACTGGTTTTTCACTGAACTTGTCTTTTTGCAAATCTGCACTTTCTTTCCTCGCTTATAAATACTCTGCTAATTTTAAAACAATGTCTTTCCTGCATTGATCTAATTCATTCTCAAACAGCGCAATACCAGACTGGTTAAGAAAATTATCACGTCCGTACACAATATAATCCTAGACTGGGTTAATCATTATAACACATCCCACAAAATATAATCCTAGACTTGGTTAATCATATAACACATCGGCATACAATATAATCCTAGACTGGGTTAATCATTATAACACATCTGAACACAATACAATCCTAGAATGTGTGGAAAAACTACACATGGGCTTGTGTTCTATTTACACAATACCCCATAAACTTTTACCAGTGTAATCGTAAACCTCTGACAATTACATTAAATTACCTTCAGCTCAATGCATGTTTCACACCTCCCAGTGTACACCTGAAGTCGTGCCCCCCTTACCTGAATGAGAGCTCTGACAATAAATCGTCACTCGCCCGCCGTGGCTCTAATGCCTGCTCTATTGTAATCTTGTCAGTGAGTTTTTTTTCACTTAATTTAAATCTCAGATCAAACCCGGATGTCAATGGTTTCTTACCGGTCGTGTATCTGCGGATAGTGACTTGACCCTATCTGTGGACAGTGACTTGACCCTATCTGTGGACAGTGACTTGACTATCTGTGGACAGTGACTTGACTATCTGTGGACAGTGACTTGACCCTATCTGTGGACAGTGACTTGACTATCTGTGGACAGTGACTTGACTATCTGTGGACAGTGACTTGACTATCTGTGGACAGTGACTTGACCCTATCTGTGGACAGTGACTTGACTATCTGTGGACAGTGACTTGACTATCTGTGGACAGTGACTTGACTATCTGTGGACAGTGACTTGACCCTATCTGTGGACAGTGACTTGACCCTATCTGTGGACAGTGACTTGACTATCTGTGGACAGTGACTTGACTATCTGTGGACAGTGACTTGACTATCTGTGGACAGTGACTTGACTATCTGTGGACAGTGACTTGACTATCTGTGGACAGTGACTTGACCCTATCTGTGGACAGTGACTTGACTATCTGTGGACAGTGACTTGACCCTATCTGTGGACAGTGACTTGACTATCTGTGGACAGTGACTTGACTATCTGTGGACAGTGACTTGACTATCTGTGGACAGTGACTTGACTATCTGTGGACAGTGACTTGACTATCTGTGGACAGTGACTTGACCCTATCTACGGACTGTTATTTGACTATTTTTGTACAGTGACTTGACTATCTATGGACAGTGACTTGACTATCTGTGGACAGTGACTTGACTATCTGTGGACAGTGACTTGACTATCTGTGGACAGTGACTTGACTATCTGTGGACAGTGACTTGACTATCTGCGGACAGTGACTTGACTATCTGTGGACAGTGACTTGACTATCTGTGGACAGCGACTTGACTATCTGTGGACAGCGACTTGACTATCTGTGGACAGTGACTTGACCCTATCTGCGGACAGTGAATCGACCCTATCTACGGACTGTCACTTGACTGTCTGTGGACAGTGACTTGACTATCTGTGGACAGTGACATGACTATCTGTGGACAGTGACTCGACCCTATCTGCGGACTGTGATTTGACTATCTGTCGACAGTGACTTGACTATCTATGGACAGTGACTCGACCCTTTCTGCTGACAGTGACTTGACTATCTATGGACAGTGACTTGACTATCTGCGGACTGTCACTTGACCCTATCTGTGGACAGTGACTTGACTATCTGTGGACAGTGACTTGACTATCTGTGGACAGTGACTTGACTATCTGTGGACAGTGACTTGACCCTATCTGTGGACAGTGACTTGACTATCTGTGGACAGTGACTTGACTATCTGTGGACAGTGACTTGACTATCTGTGGACAGTGACTTGACTATCTGTGGACAGTGACTTGACTATCTGTGGACAGTGACTTGACTATCTGTGGACAGTGACTTGACTATCTGTGGACAGTGACTTGACTATCTTTGGACAGTGACTTGACTATCTGTGGACAGTGACTTGACTATCTGTGGACAGTGACTCGACCCTCGTTTGATGGTCACTCGGAATATGTCGAGAGAAGTGGCAATTGCTAGACAAATTAGACATATTGATCACTACTCAATCCACAGACCACAGGTCGGGCTTTTGTGTCCCGCTTCAAATGTTTTGAATGACTTTATCCTTATCAATAAACTCAATTGTGACTCGTCAGGCCCCAAGTGAAATTACAATACGTCCTCTATACTTCTTATAAGAGAAAGTTAAATGGGCATTAAAATAATAAAAATCAGTTTTCAGCTTTTATCAATATACATCATGCGAAAAAAATATAACCACATGTACTTTAAACTTTTTATAAACTTTGACAAAAAGTTTTATGTATAGGGCAATACACAACAATTTTCTTTATTTCTGTACTTATTTGTTCGAATTCATTCTAAGTATTATAGAAATATAATGCATTGTTTTGTTATTGGTGTAACAAAATATTGGCGTAAAATGTATTTAAATCTCTTACATGCATGGATTTAAATCTTCTTTATTGATGTACTGACATGCTATGCTACATCCTACTAAAAATAATGCGAACAAGCTGATAGAAAATGTAAGAAAACAAAATGGTGGCTAAAATTCTAAAAAAAAAATCGCGTGTGAGCAGTGTAACCTTGGGTAAGTTGACTAAATAAGTGTGTTGTCATGGTAATTCTTTCTCATCGTCGGATCAAATCCAATTCTGGCCAACAGGTGTATTTAATCCTATCACGTGACCAAACCAACGATTGCAAAGATTATGGCCACTGAGGTCATCTGAAGTGAAAAATCTGTGCAGAGATAATAAACTAGTGGTTGATAAACTTTTGGAAGTTAAGTTTCAACTCATTCTGCAAGAAACTAAAATTCACAGTAGACTAATATAACAGCTTGCTTGGGTCAAACAAAGGACATTTATAATAATATCAAATCATAAAATACTCCATTTCTAATTTTAAACTCAACTGTCATTTCTCATGATGACTCTGCGGTTCATGCGGAAAAATAAGGACGGACATTTGACTCAAACTACTCACCTGATGTCAGGCAAGTTGACCGGTTAGTTGATCTTCTAGAGACTTTGTGGTTGAAAACAACGTCCCCACGATCTAGTAAATATACAACATAGTAATCTAATATATAAAGCTCTTGATGCACTCTGTTTTTTACTTTCTTGTATATACGAAGTATAGAGAAAGTATTGTAATCGTGCACAAAAATCACTTGAAATTTTAACAATTTTCACCGTATTACACCTCAGTCCTTCTTCACATCCGAAGTATAGAGGACTTATTTTCATCGGGCAAAAATTATCAATCCACATTTATCAAAATTAAAAGGTTTTATGCGTAATCCAGTCTGAAAAAAGGGGCTTTGCAATTCTGTCCTTATGTCTGTGTGTTTGTCTGTCTGTGTGTGTGTCTGTGTGTAAACACGATTACTTGAGTACCGTTACAGCTAGGTTGATGACATTTCATATATAAGTATTTTATCAAAATCGTAGATCTGTATCAACGTTTGAGCGATTTCCGATAGCCGGAAGTGGTACTTTTTCTACTTTGAATTTTTCAAAAGCCTATAACTTGAGTACTATTTCAGATAGATAAATGAAGTTTCACATGCGAGTAAAAGATCTAATTTTCTACCTTCTGTTAAATTTTGAGTAATTTCCGTTGACCGGAAGTAGTAATTTACGCTACTTCCGATTTCTCAAAAAACTAATGTAAATTTTTAAAGTACTAATAATATTGCGCACTAGTATGCACTTTTTTATTTGGCGTTCACTTGGTGTGCAATTCTTTTGTCTACGAGATTTTATTCTATTTTTAAAACTTTAAGTATTTAAAATGGATTAAAAATCATGTCTTAAGCCCGAGTTCCCATCCCCTGTTGTTTTATATAAGAATATTCGAGAAAGTTTAGGGGAGATCACTCCCGGTTTATTGGTATGTATGTTTATGGATGGTATGCATGTAGTAAAAAAACTCATTTTGATCGCCATTGTATGATATTTGTAAATTGTTACTGTTTGTACTAAAATCTAAACTGATGTCCAAGAAACTCAAATTTAATAATTTTGAAACTTATTTTCATTCTACAACGTATCATTTTAATTGACGTATTGCGCAAATAACAAAATCAAAACAAATGTATTACCCTTCACAATAATTCAAATTTTGTATGAACAAATTATACAAATTACATCTGTTTGTAGATGACTTGCTAGATGACTTAAAAATACATTAGAAAAAAAAATTACATTTTATTTTAGTTTATATTGATGTTGGAAAAAACAAACAATTATATAATTGGCATGGATTAATATAGTACAATGTAAAGGTAAAACAAATGTGTTTTAAATATTACCATTTATTTATTACATACAAAAAAAATCGATATTATTTTTACAAATCTCGATGTTTTACACCTCACTGATACGGAAAAACATAATTTTGCAATCTTGTCCGTATGTCTGTGTGTCTGTGTGTGTGTGTGTGTGTGTGTGTGTGTAAACACGATAACTTGAGTACCGTTACAGCTAGGTTAATGACATTTCATATATAAGTATTTTATCAAAATCGTAGATCCTGATCAACTTTTGAGCTATTTCCGATAACCGGAAGTGGTACTTTTTCTACTTTGAATTTTTCAAAAGCCTATAACTTGAGTATTATTTCAGAAAGATAAATGAAATTTCACATGTAAGTAAAAGATCTAATTCTCTACCTTCTGTGAAACTTTGAGTAATTTCTTTTGACCGGTAGTACTAATTTACGCTATTTCCGATTTCTCACAAAACGCATGTAAATTTATAAAGTACTAATAATATTGCGCACTATTATGCACATTTTGTTTTGGCGTTCGCTTGGTGCGCAATTCTTTTTTTTTTATGAGATTCTATTATATTTTTAAAAGTTTAAGTAATTAAAAATCATGTCTATATTCCAAGTTATATAAGAATATTCGAGAAAGTTTAAAGAGATCACTCCGGGTTTATTTTTTTAATCAATAACAGTTTAGAAAACGTTCCTTAATTTCCTCTATGTTAACGTCCATCTTATTTCCATTTGTGTTATTTTTTGCTTTAATGTTTGCTTTTGAGTTTAAGTTTACGTTTGCTAATGTTTGCCTTTAAGTATGTGTTTATGTTGTCGTTTATTATTGCGTTTGGGTTGTTTGGTTTAATATTTCCGTTTGCGTTATTGTTTTAGTCTATATTTTAAGTTTGTTATTATTTTTGCGTTTATGTTTATGTTTGCATATTTTTTTACGTTATTATTTGCGTTTAAGTTTGTGTTTATATCTGCGTTTAAGTTTGCGCTTATGTTTGCGTTTGTGTGCGTGAATGTTTATGTTTGCGTTTATTTTAGTGTTTATTTTAGTTTATGATAATGTGTGCGTTTACTTTTGTGTTTATGTTTACATTCGAGTTTATGTTTGTTTTTATTTTTAAGGTAGTATTTGCTTTTATATTTTCACAAACGTCCATATTTACATATAAATATTTAATTGAAAATTTATCAATTCTCAAACCGGCGCAGGATATACGATGCTTAATGAACAACACATAATTCATGTCCTTTTACAAATAATTTTTACCTCAAATGCCAGTGCAGGGCCTGGCCGGTACCGCTAGTATATAATACATATCATAATCAGTAATGCTATAATCAAATGGAATCTACCCCTTACATTCGAATATGTGTAACAGTTTTACAAACACGAACAAAACACAAAACCACAGAGCGAGACGTGAAGAATTAGAGTTATGGGAACTTTCTAGAATTATATATTTTTTTTAAATGTATTTTTACCGTTACCCTAACCCTAGCAGTAATCCTAACCCCAAACCTAACTCTATCGCTATCCCTAACCTATCCCTATCCTTATATCTCAATCTTAACCTAAAACTGAACCCTAACCTTAACCCTAATCTTTACCCAATAGATAACCCTAACCCTTAATATTTTGCTAATATTCGAAACTCTGCCTTTGTTATTTGGTATTCTATAGAATGACTAGTAAATGTATGAAACATTGATGTATTTCGTACTTTGACTACCCATTTTAGGCATTGTATACATTTCCTAGGTATTCTATAGAATGCCGTTTCTTTTTTTACACTTTACTGGTAACATATATGTGATACAAATAGTATACTTACGCAAAAGTATAATCGAAGTTTTCGTTTTAACGTATTAGTCACTTACCCTAGTACTATCCGACTTACCAATCAGATCCTGTACTTTTAGAGTCGAGTTGCTCGAAGTTAATGGAGGTCTGTACTCCCAGTATCCTCTCGCTGCGTCAGCCTCAAAAAAAAATCTGACGGTGAAGTCTGTCCTCTCAAAGGCTTCGCCGTACAGAAAAGAATACCAGCGCTTTGGTTCAGCATCATCGCAGTAGCAGTCATGCTCGTACTCACGAATGAGGAAGCTGCAGCCTTTGGCAAAAACCGACTTATTGAAAACGCACACCTAAAATAGAAGAATTAACGTGGTAATATTTCAAACAAGCTGTCCCGGCCAGGCTCTGCACTGGCTTTAGTGAAAAACCTAACTATAAAGAACTGTGACCTATGTGTTTATTTGGGATTACGTCAGGGGCGGAACTATAGTGCCGCCAGACCCCGCAATTTGATGGGGGGGGGGGGGGCAGGCCGTTTAGGGACCCCCGGCTGACCATAATTAATATTTTTAAAAATTGTGAATTTAATTTTTGTGCATTTTTGCCTTGATATTTTGTTTTTTAAGATAAAAACACTGTAGCTGCGGTAAGATTATCTTTATTTTACAGTTAATATACCACGCTCTTCCGCAAAAAATAAAATAAAAACCATTAGACAAACTACAGTGTAAAATATAGGCAACTCTTCAAATTTGAATGACTTCTTTGACTCGTTGCCCCCATTTGATAGCTAAATAGAGGACACGTAACTGTTTGACCGATCCTCCAAAGTGTACTGTGTCGGATGGGGCAGGGGATGGGGACTAAAAAATTGTCGTCAAATTTTTTATATATTTAAAAAAAAGATATTTATAGTTGTATTTTTTAATTGGAATTATCTCCCTTGAGTAAGTTTTACAATAGGCGATGCTGACGTACTTAGGCGTTTTGTTGTTTCTTTCAAGTTTTTTCCCGAGCCGACCCCCATCCCATCCCTCTTTCTTAACCTAGCAAGTATCGAGTAGATCAATGTATCGTTTATGAACTACTTCCTAATCATACGATTCACCACTACAGCACATTTTGTCACTTTGTCAGACACTAGAAGCACTAGTCAACAGATATTAATTTACTTGCATAGTATTAGGCACATCTAATGTACAAAACAGGGAAGGTAAGATTATTTTGTATATCGTTATTTAGAAATTAATTAGAACGTTTAGAATTAATTGAACTTTATTAATAGTCAATTACTATTTATAAATGACGTCATTGAGGTGGAGGTGTGTAAGGGTCTGGCTTTTTGTAAGTCGTTAAAAAATGAGACATCATTTGTGGATTCCCCCCCCCCCCCTTAATCAGAAGGTTATCCGACGCGTGAACTGTCCACATACAGTTGTACATGTGAAAAACATTTTTCTGTCTATTATGCATTACTGCATCATTCACCCATTCGCCATGAAAACTTGCGAAGCTGTTGAGTACAGCCCCGCAAATGTTGATGTCATAGGCCTAACATTTGTTTACACATTGGAGTGGGGACGCCTAACGAAAATATGTGATTTAGTGCCCCAAGATCTTGCATAAGCGGGTGAGGTTACTACTTGAAACCACCGGCGACAGTGTCATCCTGAGCGCATCTCATATGAGCAGGTTGGTGGGGCGCCGACCTCAGGGAGCGCCAAAATGGGTTGGAAAAATAAATTGAAAGGTTGAGGGGTGAAAATTGAAAGTTTGAGGGGGGGGGGGTGGTGCAAATCAAAATCCTGTGGGGGTGGGGTGCAAATCGAAAGTTTGAGGGGGGGGGGGTGCAAATCAAAATCCTGAAGGGGGGGTGCAAATCGAAAATTTTGTCCCCGGGCGCCGGGAAGGGTCGCTACGCCTCTGGCGTGGGGGGGGGGGGGGGAGTTCTAGTTCCGCCACTGGATTAGATTCAGCGTTTCCCGGGCTTTGAGAATATATTAAATTTGTAGTTAAAGCCAGTATGCGAAAATAATATATATATATAACACTAAATCTAATCTTAACCGAACCCCGGCTACAACCAACATCAAATATATACATAAACGAACATAGACATAGATTTAAAAGTGAAAGTGCTAGTTAAAACACATGTATTTTAAATACTAGATTTTTTAATTTTATACGCTGAATGTACTATTTACTAATGAATAGTTTTGATCAATAACAGTTTTGAAGCCGTTTCTAAATGTCCTCTGTTTCCATTTTGCGTTATGGTTTGCTTTTAAATTTACGTTTCTGTTTAAATCTAATACTAATATTAATAATACGAATACGAGGAGAATCAAAAAGCTAATTTTGAAAGGGGTAATTTATATTAAAATGGTTCATCAACACATCAAAGACTGTTTTAATTTGAATGCAATAAAACGATACATTTCAAACAAGACCAACACTAACCATTACAAGTCTTGTGAATATCAACGCACGAAAAAGCTACAACTTTAACATTTATAAATAGTTTGAATTACCGACATCCAAGGATATTCATATTCGCTACAATCCATGTCAAAGCCGCAAACCTCGGTAAGAAAATAGGCGTTGTCCATGAGGTGCATCTTGTCTTGTGGTACGTGCATGCTGCCGTAGACTAAAAGCGGGTCCTTACCAAACACAATACATCCCTTGCACCGAGGTATGTAGCCATCTATGGTCGCAATGATGCCGTTTTGGTCTTGTAAGTAGTGTGAAATAAGTGACGTAGTCTTGTGGGGTAATCCTAAACAAGCACACATGGATGGTTGGATGGATGGTTGGATGGATGGATGGATGGTTTGATGGATGGATGGATGGATGGTTGGATGGATGGATGGATGGATGGATGGACGGATGGATGGATGGATGGATGGATGGATGGATGGATGGATGGATGGATGGATGGATGGATGGATGGATGGATGGATGGATGGATGGATGGATGGATGGATGGATGGATGGATGGAAACAATTCGAATCAAAGAAGGTCTATCGCATTTTGATATAAATTTCAGAGGGCTATGCTAGAACAATATTGTATTTGTTTTAACCCTTCATTTCATGAATTAATTTTGTGAAAGCTTTTTGAGAAAAAAAATCTTACAAGGTGGGCTGTGGTGTGTAGAGAGCATAAATAATGAGGAAATTGAATTATTTTATCAAATAATGTTTATTTTGCAAAATAACAGTATGTATCAGATTTGATACATTATGCAACGGTGGGTAAAAATTTGTTAAAATTAACAAAAAAATATTTTTTACTTATCATTGAAAATTTATTGAGTAATTATTAATTTGAGTAAAACACTTATTTATCCCAATCTGGAGCATCAGAAATTCATTTACAAGATAGTAATTTACATTTTTTTTCACAATATTGCTATTACCAGTTATGTCATATTTCTTAGTAATCATGCATCTTTTTATTGTGTACGTCAATAAGCTGCATCACTTTGCTCAGCAGGACCTCTATCTAGTATAATTTGAAATTGTTATTGATTTAAATGCAAAGTAGTTTTTAATGACTCAAACTTGTTGATATGAAAAAAATTAGAATATATCTACAATGCTGATATTTGGCCATTATTAGAACTTTTTCCTATGCAATGAAACCAGAGACATGACTGTTAGAAGCCAATGAATTGATTTATTTCTGCTATATCAAAGATTCAAGCTTTATTTGGATTCCTCTGTGCAATGTAGATCTAGAAAATCCTTTCACCCAGTATACTAAGATAGTCTTTATCCATGGTGTGAAATAAAATAATCTTGAACAGCCGGAAGGCCTTGCACTAAAAACTATGTTGGTCAGTTCCTATCCCTCACAAATAATAGAAAACATTCATGTGTTTTAGTTAACCACTTTGCTGGACTAGCATCTGCTTACATCTTATGAGACCGAGACTTATTAATGATATTTCAAAGACAATTATCACACTAAAAATTTAAAAAATACGAATGTAAGAATTATATTTATTTGACGACCAGTTTCTTGTGGTTTTCCTTGATTTTGGTCATGGAGAGAGAATACATTTTTAAGTATTGTTAAGGATAAGATCAGAATATATCAAAGGAATAACACTAAACTGGGCGCCTTATGGAGAAAGAAAACAGGGAAAGGAAAAAGGAGAACTCCCAAGAAAATTGCAAGGGACCAGAAAATTAGAAAGAGCTTTCTGTAGCGGCCCTAGGTTTCATGGCACAGAAGGGATAAAATGATAATTCGAGCACTAGTCTTTAGATAAGTAGCATTTGGGCATTCTACGTAAGACACGTTGGGGTGACCGTGTAGAAAAAGAAAAATCTAATCTATCACATAGCCGACTTGGATGGTTTTTGGGTGGTCCTGACGTTTTCTATTCCCTCCCTTAGTAATTTCCTACCGTCTCCCTCACTTTCTGCCCTCTGACGCCGTGCCTAGGATGACTGTTTTCAAAACGCAGATGGATCGCATCACGTGCCTTCCCGTTTGTGAATATTTAATACAATTTTTAGGGTTATTATTGCAGTTACTTTTAAAATAATGTATTTTATGCACAAAAATATCACTTTTTATAATCATTGTCTGTTTCTTTGTTTGAATGTTTGTGGGTTTGTGACAAATATTTTGACTTTTTGTGACCCAGTTTTCATGGCATCGATTTAGTTTAGTTCAAACATTCCAGATATATTCGTCTCCGATGACAAAAGCAAGATTATTTTATTTTAAAGAGATTAAACATTAGATTTATTTAAAAGATTACTAAATTCATAAAAAAATTGAAGGATACGAAAATTAAATATTGCCATTGCACCATCCGAAGGCGGATAACTACTTTTTTCCACTGCTGTTTTTTTTTTGCCTTAGAGCCGACCGCGAACAACGAAGGGGCAGGTAATTGTCTTCCAGAGATTGCAAGATACTGAACTGGTTTTAAAGCAAATATGTTTAGGCGTATAAGATGTCACCTACAAATTAGAACGAATTACTAAAAAGTGGAAACTACAACAAAGATAAAAAAATCTTTATAATACAGAGGTTTTAAAATCAATGTAAAAAAAAAGAAAAACTAGCTTTCTCTAATAGAAGCATTTCTCGTCGATTCACGTCAAAATGTGTAGGAGTTTTTTTAGCGACAAATGCTTTTATTAAATAAAGCAAATTATTTTACTTATATTTTTTTCAGTGCATTTTTTTTACTTGGTTGTTTTTAGGATTCAACTTACCTGCAATAGTAAGTAACAAACTGAGCATCATTGTATCGAAATGCATTTTATTCTGGTTCTTGATTGGTCACTATTAAAAAAAACCCAGTAGTTTCAACATCTAGACAGTAGAATAATTTTAGCCCACATTTGTTATACTCCTTATTATACACATTTTAGCCCACATTTGTTATACTCGTTGTTATACACATTTGTTATACTCCTTGAATTGACTTGTTCATTCGCACAGGTTTAGACATTATTCATAGGCACAGGAATCGTTAGTGAGCATTTGAGTTGAGATATCAATTTTAAAGATTCTACGAGATGAAATACACACTAATAATAACCATTGGTCAGCCAAACTGGGCGGTGAGGGGGGGGGGGGGAGTAAAAGCTCCTTTAAATGTCGTATTATAGGCGCCGATTAGACTTATTTTAATGGTCGAATAGGGCCCATCTTTCAGGCACATCTAGGCTGAAGAATCAGACGTAACAAGTTTTGAAGGGTTTCGATACACGTTTGAATTTGACAAATCTGAACGAATTTATGTTTTACTCTCTGTTTAAGTTTTAAAAAATTGGAATGTCCCGTTTCCAAGTTTGTCACAAGCCTGTGTCAAATTATAGAGTAGGGAAATAACAATGGTTTTGATTTGGTTTCAACAGTGGCTAATGGCCTTTAATTTTAATTCCATCAAACACCCTCAAAAACGTTCAACGAATACAATATTAAAACTATAAAACTCATATTTAATTAACACCGCAATAATTTATTATACAATCAGGACAAAGTACTGGGCCTAGAGTTCGAGTTTTGGTTTCTATGAGTATGATGGATGGAAAGACGGTAAAAAGAACAAGATTCTCTTCCACGGTCGGTAGACATGGCCAATTTTAAATTTCCAAATGTAGTGAGTTATTCTATTTTTTTTTCTATTGTTGTTTATTCATTAAGATTATCTGCTCCTAGATTTGTGACCTATTTTCAAAATACACTTAATAAATGAACATAAATTACGACTTACATAGCTGCTATCATGCCAGTTGTCAAGGTTGAATATAAGATCTACTTTATAATATTTTTTTAATGGTAGGAAGGAAGTTGAAATGTGTGTATTTAAAAAAGGTGATGCATAAAACATTAGCAAACAAAATTTAATTTCATGGGTAAAGAAAGTTCTCACAGGGGAAATAGATATTATCACATCATTTGCCGTTTTATTAAAACAAATTAAACTTGATTATGTAGGTTTTGTAAAAAAAAATGATTGAAACAAATTATTACTTGGATAATTCGATAGTGTGGCACTAGATGTTTTCGTGGGGGTGGGGGGGGGGGGGGGGCAACATTTTCTGGGGGGGGGGGGGAGACGGACACTGGTAAAATTATATATTTTCCATAAAAATTCCATTTTGTTTTGGATAGTGGGGGGGGGGGGGGGGAGAGAAACTCTGCTTTCGTTTCTCACCTCTCGTTAAAATCTCCCTTTTTCAGCTGTGAGCCTACTTCACTGACTTCGATAATCGGAATGTGTACCGATTGCTTAACCGTTTTCAACATTAAAAAGTCATATTTTCCAAGATTGCTGATGCAAGTATTGTTACACGAATGTAGGATTGGAATGAGACAGAGCCTTTAAGTTTTTGAAATGAGCTAGTTCAGGGTAAATTGTTGAAATACATGTTTTGTGCCCTAGGAAGTGCTAGATTATTATTTTTTAAGTTTATAATTTTTAAATTTTCATTATAAAGATCTATGTAATCGTTTTGCGCTACTGAGACAACGGCCTATACGATTGACACGTAATGTGCAGGAGGAAGTCCCTTCTAATATTACAATTAAGAAGGAAGAAGAAGTCTAGTCCTATACGTTTGTTCCATATATAAAGTACATGTATTTGGAGAAAGCAAACTATTTTGACTTACAAAAACAACACAACTCTACAAGTAAAGGCCGCGCTGGGCACATATTGCTGACCATACCATCCCTTCATATACCGAGGTCTAGAAACATTTGGTCGCTACTTCATCATTAAACTCAAAGATATTTTTAAAATCTTAAAACTCGAAAGATATTTATGACATGTTAAACTAGAACGATATTTATTAAATCCTACCTATCCTAACTAATCTACCTAACTCGTCTGCTTCACCTATTGCTATTGTACATTTTCTCCTTCCTGTTTGACCTACTTCCAAACTTGCCTAACATGGCGTCATCACCTACACGAAACTTTAACAATACAGATAATTATACAAAATTCATTGTTTAATTGAGATATGAGCATACAAGCACAAGTGTATATTATTGAATAAATAAAATTGATTATGTTGACAGTTGAAAGATCAAAATTGAAATATATTAGTTTCCTTTTAAAATAGCATACAAAATTTGAAATCAATATTAAATGAGATTCTCTCTTTCGGTCCCTGTTTTTCAATGTCTCAATGCAATGTCTAGACGATTCTAGAATGAGTTTTTATTGTACACTTGTTGTAAAAACAGGTTTATAGCTTACTGGATAATTTTTTAGGGATAATGTTTATTGAAAACCGATGTTATCAATTGTTAACATTGAGCTCTCCAGAAATCTAGAACCGGTTAATGGCATTATGATAAGTATGTAACAATTTTATTTTTAATTTTCCTCCGACAAACCGGACAATCGTTGAGAGATTTGGCGCAGGCGCCGCAGCAGAAGAGATGGCCACAGGGTACGAAGGTGGTGTTGGCGTCTTGTTCCATGCAGATTTTACACTGGCGTTGTTCCTTCAGCATGGTCAGCTCTTTCTCTAGGGTAGAGACCATGTGATGAGCCGGGTCCAATCGACGCTTCTCGGGGATTGCCGGAGGTTCTGTGTTCTGTGGGACCGCGGAGTGTTCTGTGTTCTGTGGGACCCCGGAGTGTTCTGTTAGACTGAGACGCTGTGGTACCAGTGGACGTTCTGGGACGGGTGGTCGTTGTGGGTACACAGGACGTGGTGAGGCGACTGGAAGTTGGGCGATCTCGTGGCGTTCTGTTAACGCGAGAAATTCTGAGACCACATGACGTTGCGGAACCACGGGATGCTGTAGGACCGATGGAAGATGTGGGTAAATTTTCGGGACCACATGACGGTGTGGGGCGTCGTGAATTTGTGAGACCACAGCACTTTGTGAGATCTCGCGACTAGTTGCTACCCCGAGTCGTTCTAGAACCCCTGACCGACGAGGCGTCGTGGAACGTTGCAAGTACTCAGGTCGACCTGTGATCACGTGACTTTCTGACAAATCGAGACGTTGTAGGACCATGTGATGGTCGGGTACCACGTGATGGTCTGGTACCACGTGATGGTCTGGGACCACGTGATGTTCTGGCACCCAGCGTTGATGGAGCATCACCTGATGATGTGGGACCACGCTGTGCGCTGGGCTGCGATATGGGACCACGTGATGGTCTGAGATCACCTGACGATCTGGGTCAACGTGTTGACCTGTTCTAGAAGTGTCGGCGCCGCCACAGTTGTCCTGCAGTACCGCCTGGGTCAAGGCTACAGCACTCTCGAACTGTCGCCCCGTTTCTGCCAGTCTTTTCTCTAGGGCTTTTTTCACCAGATCAGCTGGTATGTCCATGTCTAACGTTTGCTTGACGATGACGTCCTTCATCATCCTTTTCACCGTTAATGACTTAACTTCAACCTACGAATTTTTGTATAATGAAAAAATATGAATATACAGAATAGGTATTTGTTATTTATTCAATTAATTTAATAACGGTAACAACAGTAGGCACAGAGGCCTTAAAATAGGAAAATAAATAAACAGCTAAATAAATAGCTAAATAAATAGCTAAATCAATAACTAAATAAATGGCTAAAAAAGCTAAATAGCTAAATAAATAAATAACTAAATAAATAGCTAAAAAATAAATAAATAAATAAATTATATATATATATATATATATATATATATATATATATATATATATATATATGTATATATATATATATGTACTTTAAAATAAGGAAAGGAAAACATACACAAAAAGATTGTAGTATATTGTGTATTCTTCGGCTTTATACACTTGAAATATAATTACTATTGCTATGGTATTCTAATTTACATTTATTGTAGGTGTCTTTCAATGAAAATATCCCTTAAAAAACGCATTTCTAGTTTACTTTGTTGTTTATCTTTGAAAAGGATTGATAATTTTGTATTGTGTTTAATTGTGAAAATTAAATTGTTAAACTGCTAAAACTGATACTTATAAAACTTAATATAAACAAATGAATGACAACAGGTCTATCTTACTTCAGCGTGCCGCCCAGTGTTCTTGTCGTGTTCATTATTACCACCGTCCATTTGATCAGAGTTGAAGACTTTCTTGTGCTGAGATAACAGCTTGACTGTGGCCGTGTGGCCGTATTTCGAGGCGTACATGATTGCAGTCCAACCGTGTTTGTTGATGGCTCTAACATCAGCTCCACCCTTCATTAGCAGCTCTACAATTCTGTAGTCTCCACGTTTGGAAGCTATCATTAACGGACTCCAGCCTACGTCATCAGCATAATTGACATCGCTGCCATTTTTAATTAGGAGCTGGACGATATTTTCAAAGCGGCCTTCACATGCGTACATTAAGGCATTTCTATTTAACTTATCAACAGAATTGACATCAGTTCTACATTTCGTTAAAATCTCAACAATTTTATCATGTCCAAGTTTACAAGCACATATCAATGCGCTGCTTCCTGTGTTGTCCGTAGCATTAACATCACTCCCACTTTTAATTAAAATCTCCACAACTTTATCGTGGCCATGCTTAGAGGCTATAATCAACGCTGTACAGCCCATTTTATCAACAGCCTTGACATTACTCCCACCCCTTATCAACATCTGGACAACGCTTACGTCACCTCCGTGTGAGGCATACATCAGAGCATTCTTCCCAAAACTATCCGTGGCCTTAACATCAGTTCCACTTTGAATTAGAAGTCCAACCATTCTTGCCTGTCCTTTCAGGGAAGCAAACATCAAGGCATTTCTCCCGTTACTATCAGCAGAATGTATGTCAGTAGCTCTAATAATTATTTTCTCAACATTTGTATCTTTCTCAAAGGCCAATATTTCCAATGGATCATATTTTATTTCCTTTTTTGAACTTGAGTTTGACATTTTCAATTTAAATCGTTATCTTTTTTTTACACTCTAGTTTTTTTGTAAGCTTATTTTTATTCTTTTACTTAGAATCTGTGAATTAGTTCAACATCTGTAAGAATATTAAACGATTTTACATTTAGTCAATGACTAAAAATACAAAGCATGAATGATTTCAATTATACATAAATATATATATATATATATATATATATATATATATATATATATATATATATATATATATATATATATGTATGAATACATGGATATATACAACAATTTTATTTTGTTAATTAAGCAAACATTTAGATGTAGAAAAACGTACCTTCAATCAATCTGTGCTGTTTCCCCACACCACATAACAAACGTTACATTGATGCATATTGTTTGTTTTTAATTACTTTCGTGAATTAATACATTCTGTTTTTCAAACTACAGGTTCTGAAAAATGTTGAGAATTTTAAAATTAAAATAACTCACCTCGCCGTACTATTTAACTAAACGAAACAATTTCACTTACCTGTGAAGTTAGTGAGCTAGTGGCACCCATTGAGCCCACTTACAATAGTATACAAGCTAACGCTCCTTCATAGAAATAAAACTACTGACTATACAGGCTGGACCGAAAGTGAAAGCCATTCTTCCATGAAGTCTAGGTTTAATATTGTGCCAGAAACGAGTTTCTTTATCAGTCGCTAAAACTAGTCAAGTTGGCAAATACGCGAGATAGCTGCAAGCACACAAACAAAGATAAGAGCGAAGTTTAGCTAAGTACAACTGATAGCTCAAGTTCTTGATATAAGTTGTGTCTACCAGTTGGATAAAGCTGACTCCAAAAAGGACATCATTAAACAAAAACGGTGGTGCTTTTTACTTGCAATTCTAGTAATTGTGCCCCTCATCTTAAATAGGTCTTCATGAAATAAAAACAAGAAAAAAACAACAACTAACACCTAGCTACCCTGAGTTAATATATATTACTGCTAGCTAAAACATCTTGTTTCAATGAGCCTGATTGATAAATGAAAGTGTCCTGTTGCGATTATATAGCTTACCTTGCAAAAAAAGAACATTTGACTGTATATGCTTTTCATAAAGAGAAGTCAAGCCACCATACCTAGCACTTATTATCACACACGGCAAAAAATAAAATCATTGATCGATTTATGCTGCTACGCCTTGATTATGTAGAATAAGTAATGAATCGTCAGAATTTTAGTTTCGATTTCCTTTATTGATCTTTTCAATTGATCGTAGGTGCTAAGCCTTTATTTGTATTAGCAACATCAACTTTTTCGTTATCAACTAAACAGCCCCCACCCCTCCCCGGAGAAAAAAGTCTGGAAGAAAAACAGTAAGCTAATCTTATTATTAAATGCCAATTGTTACATAGTAAACTTTATAATTTTCTTTATGAATGTTTCCTCTGTTCATAAAGTTATGAACGGTCAACAACAAAGTAGTATTTTAAATATGTGGGGATATATATATATATATATATATATATATATATATATATATATATATATATATATATATATACATATATACATATATACATATATACATATATACATATATACATATATACATATATACATATATATACATATATATATATATATATATATATATATATATATATATATATATATATATATATACATAGAGAGAGAAAGAGAGACAAAGAGAGGCTGACAGAAGGACAGACGGAGAGACGGAGAGACGGAGAGACGAACAGACGGACAGACAGACAGATAGACAGACAGACAGACAGACAGACAGACAGACAGACAGACAGACAGACAGACAGACAGACAGACAGACAGACAGACAGACAGACAGACAGACAGACAGACAGACAGACAGACAGACAGACAGACAGACAGACAGACAGACAGACAGACAGACAGACAGACAGACAGACAGACAGACAGACAGACAGACAGACAGACAGACAGACAGACAGACAGACAGACAGACAGACAGACAGACAGACAGACAGACAGACAGACAGACAGACAGACAGACAGACAAACAGACAAACAGACAGACAAACAGACAGACAGACAGACAGACAGACAGACAGACAGACAGACAGACAGACAGAGATTTGCTTTTCTTTAGGAAATATTGATTTTGTTCACATGAAGTTAAGCCCGGCCCATAAGGATTTACAAGAACTAAACCACTTTCGTGTGCATTAGTTACGGGGTATAGTAGTGGTGAAAAGTGTCACCTAATCAAATTATATTTTTTTTATAGTCTACTCCTCGTGTTATGCATATGTGTTGTAATGTCAGATAACGAAAATAATACGTTGAAAACCTGGTTTGGAATATAACGAGTAGCCTCCAATATAAAACATTTTATCGTTTAGTTCTGACTTCAATTCACACAAAAAAGACACAGCAACATTATAGCAGAAAATATACACTACACATAAAAAAACAACATAATCCACAAGACAACAGGACAAAACACTTCAAAACATCACCGACTGCCGGACAAACGAGCATACAGACAAACAGAAAATATATATAAATTAAATCATGTAATACTAAAAGTAGAGAAAAACGTAGTTACATAATTACCGAGTGTTATGTCGGCACGGTTCCTACATTATCACCGAGTGTTATGTCGGCAAGAAGTGGTTCCTACACGAGTCAGATTGCTCACCATTGGCCAGAACAGTTGCACGGATCATCCAGCCAAACAGATCGCGAGCAGGGAATATTTCGCTGGTGTATCGATTCAATATTGATTGAGTACAAGGGTCAGATCGAACTGCGATAACTAGTACACATTTCCAGCGGCTTCAACAGCGAACTGAACGCGGCATAAAACTTCAACAGCGAACTGAACGCGGCATTAAACCGTGAAGACTACACAGGGACCAGATGAACAAAAACTATTTCATGTATGAACACAGTTTTACATTTTCTTATTAAAACATGTTTCCTGTGTAGCAATATACTTTATTTGTTTTATAAATTTTACTCTATTTTAAATTAGGTCGTCAATTGTATACTTGTAGCGCCATTTGAAAACACACAACACAAAGCAGAAAGCGAACAGTAGAATGCTATTGGTAATATAGACAATCATTTATGTGTGGAAAATTATTTTTTTTATTTCATCCCTTTTTACTTTCTCGTATATACGTAGTATAGAGAAAGTCTTGTAATCGTGCAAAAAAAAATCGAGATTTTTACAAATCTCGACGTTTTACACCTCACTGATACGGAAAAACATAATTTTGAAACCTTGTCCGTATGTCTGTGTGTGTGTGTGTGTCTGTCTGTCTGTCTGTGTGTAAACACGTTAACTTGAGTACCGTTACAGCTAGGTTGATAAAGTTTCATATATAAGTATTTTATCAAAATCGTAGATCTGTATCAACTTTTGAGCGATTTCCGATAACCGGAAGTAGTACTTTTTCTACTTTGAATTTTTTAAAAGCCTATAACTTGAGTATTATTTCAGATACATAAATGAAATTTCACATGTAAGTAAAAGATCTAATTCTCTACCTTCTGTCAAACTTTGAGTAATTACCGTTGACCGGAAGTACTAATTTACGCTATTTCCGATTTCTCAAAAAACGCATGTGAATGTATGAAGTACTAATAATATTGCGCACTATTATGCACATTTTGTTTTGACGTTCGGTGGTGCGCAATTCTTTTTTCTACGAGATTCTATTCTATTTTTAAAAGTTTATTTTTTTGCACTATTACAAGTCTTTCTCTATACTTCGTATATACGAGAAAGTTAAAAGCGACCCCTCCCCAATTTACTTACAATTGCTTATTAACACAGATAAATGATTAATGTAAACAAAACAATAATCTATTTTATTGACTTCGAATTTCTGTCATTCTGTAAGGCTGATCAAACAAAACAGTGTAATTTGTTTTGGCGCCCCCTAAAGACCGGCATCTGGGGAGGTCGCCCCACTCGCCCTCCCCTAGCTACGCCTCTGTCAACATGCATCAGACCTGGCCTATATTTGTAAAACTTGCAGGTTGTACAGGACCTGACCAAAGTGATGAAAAACATGTCCAAATTTATCGACCTTGACCTTGATGACCAGCTCGCGCAGGACATTGTCAAGGCCACAAGATTCGATGCTATGAAAGAAAACGTACACAAACAATGGCACTTTCTCACGTTCTCTCCTTCGTAAAGGTCAGAGTCCAAACCTAATTAATTAGTTCTTAAAACAGTTCTTAAATTAGTTCTTAATTTCATTTTTAACCAGACAGCCATGCCAATGGAACAGGTGAAATAGATTTCATCTGTTTCTATTACCTCAGCATGTGAAGTAGATTTCATCTGTTTCTATTACCTCAGCATGTGAAGTAGATTTCACATGTTTCTATCATCTCAGCATGTGAAGGAATATTGTGAACCGTACTTTGCCCATCCGCCTTTAATTTACCTGAGGTGATCAGGTACCAATCAGAGCTGGGTTAACTCTATGACATTCTACGTACTTCAACCTGGATTCAAACTCGAGAATCTTGGGTCAGTAGTCGTATGCTCTACCATTTAACCTCCCCGTCCCATCCTCATTTATAAAGCATTTTGACAACGCTAAACATAATATTAATTTTTAAATGACAACAGTAGTTCTTTAACAGGGAAGTCGGAAAAGTGTTTCATTTACAACCTAAATTACTAAAAATAGCCTTTCCAACATCTACCCTACTGGGCTGATACATAAAAGTCAATAGCGCCTACACAATAGACCGAAGTAGATAGATACATTCTTATATCATAAAAGCAATGTTTTATTGACTGACATAGCGTTACTTTGACAGTTTTTATAATAAAAGTTACTTTGTCACTATTCAATTTTCGGATATTTAAAAGCTGTTGGACTACGGACCTATATAGTGGTGAAGTTTTAGACTAGTTATCTTATGGTCCCCGTATTGCTGGATGTCACTTCTTCATTCTTTAAGCTCTCCTCCATTGACCCGCAGCTTTAAGTTTAAGTTCTGTCCAACTGACCAGTAGCTTAAAGCTCTCCTCCATTGACCCGCAGCTTTAAGCTCTGCGCCACTGACCAGCAGCTTTAAGTTTAAGCTCTGTCCAACTGACCAACAGCTTAAAGCTCCACTCTATTGACCCGAAGCTTTAAGCTCTCCTCCATTGACCCGTAGCTTTAAGCTATGCCCAACTGACACGCAGCTTTAAGCTCCGCAACTGACCCGCAGCTTTAAGCTCTCCTCCATTGACCCGTAGATTTAAGCTCTCCTCCATTAACCCGCAGCTTTAAGCTCTGCTCAACTGACCCGCAGCTTTAAGCTCTGCTCCGCCGACCCGAAGCTTTAAGCTCTCCTTTAAGTGACCCGTTTCATGACTAATATCTTGAAAACTTTTCTCCAAGGCAAGTAGGCGACTGGAAAACCTGGTTAACTGTCGCCCAAAGCGAGGCTGTGGACGAGAAGATGAAAAAGTTGGACGAGACACGTTTTTCTCAAAAAAATCAGAGATACACATTATAACTTACGAAACAATTTAAAAGGTCTATTTTTTTTAGCTATTTTGTTTATCAAATTAGCCCTACACTAACCCTATCCCATACCCTAACGCTAACCCTAACGCTAATCCTAACCCTAACGCTAATCCTAAGCCTAACGCTAACGCTAACGCTAACGCTAACGCTAACGCTAACCCTAACCCTAACCCTAACCCTAACCCTAACCCTAACCCTAACCTTCTCCTAACCCTAACCCGAATCCTAATCCAGTTCGTTAAATAAAACACTCGCCTGTTAATGCCCAGCTTTTTTCATTCACAAACGGAAAGTATAGAAATGCGTGGCTTAGTTAGCTCGGTCAAACAGTAAACAGAATTAACAACACAGATTTTAATAGTCAACAAAAGATTACAATGCATATGCGCATAAAAAAGAACAACTAAATATGGATAGAACCAGGGGCGTAGCGAGGGGGGGGGGGGGGGGGCGGGGGGTGCGGACCGCACCGGGTGACACCATTTAGGGGGTGACACCAAGGCAAAAAATAGCAAAATATGTAGAGAAAAACTCGAGGGGGGGGGGGGTGCAAATCGAAAGTTTGAGGGGGGGGGGGGGGTGCGAATCGAAAACTTGAGGGGGGTGCAAATCGAAAACTTGAGGGGGGGGGGTGCAAATCGAAATGTTTGAGGGGGGGGTGCAAATCGAAAATTTGAAAGTTTGTCCCTGGGAAGGGTCTCTATGCCTCTGGGGGGGTGACACCATTAAGTGCCGCACCGGGTGACACCCGACCTCGCTACGCCACTGGATAGAACTGCACATGGATCACACTAATTTAATTTTAATTGCTTAAAAATAAACACTTTGTATTAAAACATCTTCAAAACTATTTGAAATTTCATCCACAATACAAAAATCTCACTAAACCAAATAAATTTCATTATGTGATCTAAGAAAAGATGTTATTTATTCAAGCAATGATAATAATAGCATATTCAGCCACATCTAATTGTATGACGTCATTGCAAATATATACCGAAATAAAAATCTCGAACCAAATTTTTTTTTCTTCTTTTAAACGTGACGTACTACACATAGTTTGAAAACGTTTACAATTGATACCTTCCGCCTTTATACTATGTCTACCAACAGCGTGGGTAGATTGTGTTGATGTTTCTGTCAAGATCTGCTTAGCGAAAGACTATACTAAATTAAGTTGTGCTATTTTAGTTTACAAACACATTATAAGTATGAGGTACAGTTTCAAACGTCGCCTCGGGGACCCTAGACCAGAGCCTAACGGTCATGACAAAAGTGTTCAAGTCAAGCCTGGCAATGGTTGTAGCCCCGCCTCTATGTCAAGTCCAATGATAAAGTCTCAATCTGGTCACGTGATTTGTGAGTCATCAGGAGGTAGGCCTAATTTAACCCTTAATATCAACGAGCCGACCCGTATAATAAGCCGCTATTTAGTTGTTTTACTTTCTACTTAACAGTAATTCATAATTTGTGAATTCGACAGTACCAATGCTGCCACTGAAAATATTTGCTTTAAAATACTATCAGTTGGTCGTTAAGGACGATAACCCCCCCCCCCCACCCTTCTTTCCCCATACCCCCCCCCCCCCCGTAAAAGCAGCCTCCTCTTAATTACCTCCCCTAAGTTTAAAATAGTTTCAAACTAAATTATCCGCCCCTAATAGGAGTCACTAACCCCGGCTCTATGATTGTAAACATTTAGCTTGAACCACAGCTCACCAAACCATGTGGGGGTGGGGAAGGTTGATTTATGCCTAGTGAAGAAGAGAGGGGACTGCAAGGCGCGCTTACAGATTGTTTTCTAGCGTCTCCCAGAAGAGAATTATATATATAGATAATGAACACTGTTTAGGAAACGTCAACACTATTGTACACGAGTTAGATCTAGTAGTAATTAGCTAGACTGATAACCTGAAAGTCTGGAGTTCGAATCCTAGGTTGATGCGTAGTTAGATCTTTCTTGAGTCCACCCAGCTCTGATGGGTACCTAGCTCACGTTAGGGTAAGTAAGTAAATGCGACTGGGCATAGTTCTGACCACAAAATCCCTTCTTATCCCGAGGTCACTGAAACAAGTAAATTCTAAATCACAACAATAACTTACATGTCATGCTATGGATACTGTAAACTACCCAACAATGATTGTGGGAGAGTTTGAATTCACTAGATTCACTAAACTACTTGACAACATTCTCCCAAGCATAAGAGTTTGCTAGATCTACTTGTGAATTCTAAATCACAACGGTACTTAACTTACATGTCATGCTATGGATTCTGTAAACTACCCAACCATGATTGTGGGAGAGTTTGAATTCACTAGATTCACTAAACTACTTGACAACATTCTCCCAAGCATAAGAGTTTGCTAGATCTACTTGTGAATTCTAAATCACAACGGTACTTAACTTACATGTCATGCTATGGATTCTGTAAACTACACAACCATGATTGTGGGAGAGTTTGAATTCACTAGATTCACTAAACTACTTGACAACATTCTCCCAAGCATAAGAGTTTGCTAGATCTACTTGTGAATTCTAAATCACAACGGTACTTAACTTACATGTCATGCTATGGATTCTGTAAACTACACAACCATGATTGTGGGAGAGTTTGAATTCACTAGATTCACTAAACTACTTGACAACATTCTCCCAAGCATAAGAGTTTGCTAGATCTACTTGTGAATTCTAAATCACAACGGTACTTAACTTACATGTCATGCTATGGATTCTGTAAACTACCCAACCATGATTGTGGGAGAGTTTGAATTCACTAGATTCACTAAACTACTTGACAACATTCTCCCAAGCATAGGGGTTTGCCAAATCTACTTGTAACACAGCGTTGACGGGCGTCCCGAAAGACTCGAGTTCGGATCTCGGACTCGAGTCTGTAGGACGTAACTGAGCCCACTCAGCTTTAATAGGTACCTGACTCACGTCATGTAATGTTAATTAAAACGTGAATGTCATTTTGCTTCGTATCCATTCATAAGTCGCTGTTTAAATATACTTCTTTATCCGCACTATGAACTGTTAGGTACAAAAGGAAAACTTTATTTTTCGTTGATTCACTTTCAATTTTGAAACTTTATGTAAAAAAAAAATAATTTAGATGTTTTTAAATTTAAAAAATATGTGCACATATCAATAAATAGCTATAAAAAAATAACATCCCGTAACCGATGTTCTATAGCTGTGACCTGATATTTATTTCTCTAGCTGAAATCTGCAGTTGGAGTAAGGCCAGCTGTTTCGATGAGGAAGGGCCTTTGGAAATGTGCAGTTGGAGTAAGGCCAACTGTTTCGATGAGGAAGGGGCTTTGGAAATGTGCAGTTGGAGTAAGGCCAACTGTTTCGATGAGGGAGGGGCTTTGGCTCCAGAGACTCCCAGAAGGACAGGTTGGACTGGAAGCTTGAAGGCCGAGAAGCTCTTCGTGTTCTTACAGCACTACTACAATGGCGTCTTGCCCACCCTGATTGGGTGAGTTATTCATCTTTGTGTTTGCATGCTCTTGTCATCATCTCCACACGATGTGCGTGATTAGGGGTGGGGGTGGGTAGGAAATATATACATATATATTATATATTTATATATATATATATATATATATATATATATATATATATATATATATATATATATATATATATATAAGGGTGACACCAAAATAAATAAATTTCTTAGTTGAACGAAACAATAGACACGTTATTTACATAGATTAAGTGTTTATGTAGCGAATACAAAGCAGATTCTTAGACAGTCTGCCATTTATAAAGATCTTCTTCTTCTGGAAGTCGTCTGTAAATATAATCTTTCAAGGAAGCCAAATATAAATATAATCTTTCAAGGAAGCCAAATATAAATATAATCTTTCTCTGGAAGACGTTTTAAAATATCAAATTCATCTGGAAACCACCTATAAATATAATTTTCACTAATCAGCTTATTCTCAATAAATATCATCTTATAATAGCTGTCTGCAAATATAATCTGTCTCCATTAGGGAAAACGACCTCTATAGACCTTTGTCTATTTGATGTAACGATTTATACAAATATCACATTTCTTTAATTTCCAGCAATTTTTCTGTAAATATTACACTGTATGTTTGCTAACACGGTTTCTGTTAAATCATCTTTGTCTATCTTCAGTATGCTGTCTATAAATATGATCTTTTTTTGCCAAAAAGTTCTTTATAAATATAATCTTTTTGCCAACATGCTGTCTATAAATTTAATCTTTTTGGCATTATATTGTCTAAAAGAATTATCGTCTTTTTTGTAAGAATGTTATAAATAAATATCATCTTTTCCCCCCAGTATGTTCTCTATAAATATATACTTTTCCCGCAGCATGTTGTCTAGAAATAAATACTTTTCCCCCAGGCATGTTGTCTATAAATATATACTTTTCCCCCAGTATGTTGTCTATAAATATATACTTTTCCCCCAGTATGTTGTCTATAAATATATACTTTTCCCCCAGTATGTTGTCTATAAATATATACTTTTCCCCCAGGCATGTTGTCTATAAATATATACTTTTCCCCTAGCATGTTGTCTATAAATATATACTTTTCCCCCAGCATGTTGTCTATAAATATATACTTTTCCCCCAGCATGTTGTCTATACATATATATACTTTTTCCCCAGCATGTTGTCTATAAATATATACTTTTCCCCCAGGCATGTTGTCTATAAATATATACTTTTCCCCCAGCATGTTGTCTATAAATATATACTTTTCCCCCAGGCATGTTGTCTATAAATATATACTTTTCCCCCAGCATGTTGTCTATAAATATATACTTTTCCCCCAGGCATGTTGTCTATAAATATATACTTTTCCCCCAGCATGTTGTCTATAAATATATACTTTTCCCCCAGGCATGTTGTCTATAAATATATACTTTTCCCCCAGTCTGTTGTCTATAAATATATACTTTTCCCCCAGCATGTTGTCTATAAATATATACTTTTCCCCCAGCATGTTGTCTATAAATATATACTTTTCTCCAGTCTGTTGTCTATAAATATATACTTTTCCCCCAGGCATGTTGTCTATAAATATATACTTTTCCCCCAGGATGTTGTCTATAAATATATACTTTTCCCCCAGCATGTTGTCTATAAATATATACTTTTCCCCCAGCATGTTGTCTATAAATATATACTTTTCCCCCAGTATGTTGTCTATAAATATATACTTTTCCCCCAGGCATGTTGTCTATAAATATATACTTTTCCCCCAGTATATTGTCTATAAATATATACTTTTCCCCCAGCATGTTGTCTATAAATATATACTTTTCCCCCAGTCTGTTGTCTATAAATATATACTTTTCCCCCAGTCTGTTGTATATAAATATATACTTTTCCCCCAGGCATGTTGTCTATAAATATATACTTTTCCCCCAGTATGTTGTCTATAAATATATACTTTTCCCCCAGCATGTTGTCTAAAAATATATACTTTTCCCCCAGCATGTTGTCTATAAATATATACTTTTCCCCCAGTATGTTGTCAATAAATATATACTTTTCCCCCAGTATGTTGTCTATAAATATATACTTTTCCCCCAGGCATGTTGTCTATAAATATATACTTTTCCCCTAGCATGTTGTCTATAAATATATACTTTTCCCCCAGCATGTTGTCTATAAATATATACTTTTCCCCCAGCATGTTGTCTATACATATATATACTTTTTCCCCAGCATGTTGTCTATAAATATATACTTTTCCCCCAGGCATGTTGTCTATAAATATATACTTTTCCCCCAGCATGTTGTCTATAAATATATACTTTTCCCCCAGGCATGTTGTCTATAAATATATACTTTTCCCCCAGCATGTTGTCTATAAATATATACTTTTCCCCCAGGCATGTTGTCTATAAATATATACTTTTCCCCCAGCATGTTGTCTATAAATATATACTTTTCCCCCAGGCATGTTGTCTATAAATATATACTTTTCCCCCAGTCTGTTGTCTATAAATATATACTTTTCCCCCAGCATGTTGTCTATAAATATATACTTTTCCCCCAGCATGTTGTCTATAAATATATACTTTTCCCCCAGTCTGTTGTCTATAAATATATACTTTTCCCCCAGCATGTTGTCTATAAATATATACTTTTCCCCCAGGCATGTTGTCTATAAATATATACTTTTCCCCCAGCATGTTGTCTATAAATATATACTTTTCCCCCAGTATGTTGTCTATAAATATATACTTTTCCCCCAGCATGTTGTCTATAAATATATACTTTTCCCCCAGCATGTTGTCTATAAATATATACTTTTCCCCCAGTCTGTTGTCTATAAATATATACTTTTCCCCCAGGCATGTTGTCTATAAATATATACTTTTCCCCCAGCATGTTGTCTATAAATATATACTTTTCCCCCAGCATGTTGTCTATAAATATATACTTTTCCCCCAGCATGTTGTCTATAAATATATACTTTTCCCCCAGGCATGTTGTCTATAAATATATACTTTTCCCCCAGTCTGTTGTCTATAAATATATACTTTTCCCCCAGCATGTTGTCTATAAATATATACTTTTCCCCCAGCATGTTGTCTATAAATATATACTTTTCCCCCAGCATGTTGTCTATAAATATATACTTTTCCCCCAGGCATGTTGTCTATAAATATATACTTTTCCCCCAGGCATGTTGTCTATAAATATATACTTTTCCCCCAGCATGTTGTCTATAAATATATACTTTTCCCCCAGGCATGTTGTCTATAAATATATACTTTTCCCCCAGTCTGTTGTCTATAAATATATACTTTTCCCCCAGCATGTTGTCTATAAATATATACTTTTCCCCCAGGCATGTTGTCTATAAATATATACTTTTCCCCCAGTCTGTTGTCTATAAATATATACTTTTCCCCCAGCATGTTGTCTATAAATATATACTTTTCCCCCAGCATGTTGTCTATAAATATATACTTTTCCCCCAGCATGTTGTCTATAAATATATACTTTTTCCCCAGGCATGTTGTCTATAAATATATACTTTTCCCCCAGCATGTTGTCTATAAATATATACTTTTCCCCCAGGCATGTTGTCTATAAATATATACTTTTCCCCCAGTCTGTTGTCTATAAATATATACTTTTCCCCCAGTCTGTTGTCTATAAATATATACTTTTCCCCCAGTCTGTTGTCTATAAATATATACTTTTCCCCCAGGCATGTTGTCTATAAATATATACTTTTCCCCCAGCATGTTGTCTATAAATATATACTTTTCCCCCAGGTATGTTGTCTATAAATATATACTTTTCCCCCAGTATGTTCTCTATAAATATATACTTTTCCCCCAGTATGTTGTCTATAAATATATACTTTTCCCCCAGCATAAGCCTCGCCAGCCTGGTCCTGTTATTGATGTGCATTCAGATGTCTGTGAGTTGGGATAGCGAATATTAGGTCATCGGAAAGATGTGCAACGGAAAACTGCGAATTTTTTTTTCTTAAATCGAGCATTTGTAGACAGTAACAAACAGTGACTACATCTACATTGTAGCATAATTAAACGTCTTTCAACAAAATAAGGCAAAATTGAAGTGTATTAGCATAATTAGTTTGTATTTGCGCATTTTTCTATTTGCAGTTTTCCGTTACGCAGTTTTCTGGGAACTCAAATAATTTCAGCCTTATATGAACCTTTAAAAACATATACAAACCTGCGTAACCTTAAAACTAAAAGGTTTACAACCTACTTAAACTTATACTAACTTACCCAATCTACTAAACTTATAATTTAGAATACAAGACTGGTACCAATTAACACTTATTGTTTTAAGTTTAAAAAGAAAATACCATGTACCAGATGTTATAGTACTTCATTAAATACTGGCACCTATATTTGAAAGTTACTGCCACTTGTATTACCTCTCTTGATTTAGGATGTGAAAATGAAAAATGTGTGCTCGCCTGACGAGTTGAGTGATCTGAACATTATTAGGGTGAGTTTATTGACTGAGGTATAGTATGATTGAGAAGGGATATTATTTTTTACAATTGAGGAACAACACATTAAAGTGTATATTACATTTTTTGTTTCTTATTACAAGAGCTGTATGAAGCATGTCATTTTAACTTTGAGTCAATTATATATATATATATATATATATATATATATATATATATATATATATATATATATATATGTATATATACATATATTTATATGTATATAAAATTGACGCAAAAATGAAATATATTTAACAAATGCTTTAGTTCTTAAAAAATTATAATACATTCCATGTTTGGTAAATAAAATGTATTTTTCTTATTTTGAGTAATTTGTCTGTGTTGAAGATATCTTTTATGTTGTGTACTTTACATGAAGCAAGTAAATGTGCATCATATTATTTTATGCTCTGATTACTGTTATTGTTTAAACAGAAGGAACTGGCGATCATGGAACAGCATGTCCGCAGCAACAACATGAGCGTGACTTGCGAGGACGTCTTGAAGAAACTCACGCAGCTTGAACTGGACGGCAGACTGAAGACAAGTGTCCTAAAGCAAATGGTGAGCCATGTCATGGACCAGATACGTGAAAACGGTGATGTCATGCTGCTTGGATATCCCAAAACTGGTGAGTTCTACCATGTTGTTTGCATTAAAACTGGTGAGTTCTACCACGTTGTTTTCATCAAAACTGGTGAATTCTACCACGTTGTTTGCATCAAAACTGGTGAGTTCTACCACGTTGTTTGCATCAAAACTGGTGAATTCTACCACGTTGTTTGCATTAAAACTGGTGAGTTCTACCACTTTGTTTGCATTAAAACTAGGGAGTTCTACCACGTTGTTTGCATTAAAACTGGTGAGTTCTACCACGTTGTTTGCATTAAAACTGGTGAGTTCTACCACGTTGTTTGCATTAAAACTGGTGAGTTCTACTAATTAAAAACCGGTTAGTTCTATCATGATGTTTACATCAATACTGATGAGTTTTACCACGATGTTTACATTAGATACTGACTGGTGAGTTCTACTCACGATGTTTACATTAGAAACTGGTGAGTTCTTCTCACGATGCTTACATTAGAAACTGGTGAGTTCTCCCTACGAAGATGATACTAAAGCTGGTGAGTTTTGTCTACAGAACTGCTGTTATTCCTATGTAAGCCTTGCAATGCAACTAGATCTAGTACTAAATTTCCTTCACTATTGAAGAAGCGCTAAGTTTTAATTAGTTCGATTACAACAATCGGTATTGTTACGTCCCTTTATCGAGAATGGGTTCTCAACGCCCACAACAATATCGTCTATTTATTCAAAGCAAGAACATTATTAAATGCTATGTTTTAAGTCATTATTGAAATAATAGAGCCAAATTGGATTCTTTGCCCCTGGCATAAAATGAGTTGTGTTTAAACGTGTGGTTGTTTAGACTACTTTTAAGGTCTACTTTAATACGGTGTTAAGTGTTTTATAAAGATGTATGTTTCCATCTGCAGATCGATATATATATATATATATATATATATATATATATATATATATATATATATATATATATATATATATATATATATATATATATATATATATATATATATATATATATATATATATATATATATATATATATATATATATATATATTTATATGCGTGTGTATTTCAGAGATGATAGGAGCAAGCCCAAATGACTCTAGTCTTCAGAAACTTGAAGCAGACGGCCCTCTCTATCACGAATCACACTTGATCTCCCTCCATGATACAAGGATGTAGAGAGCCGTTCCTAGCCTGGAATCTAGCTGTGTTTTGGATGATCCATGTGAACCTCTCTTTGTGATGAGTGCTCGGTCAATGAGTTATCAAATGTTCCGTTTCAAACAAAATTTGTTATGAGCCTATATGTTGAATAGTGCAGTAAATGAATTTTATTAAATATTCCTTACGAAACACAATTTTTGTGATTTTATTTAAGTAAGATTGCTGTTAGTGTAGTATTGTCTATTGTACATACCTTGTGCTATTTTTTAGTGCAGCTATACTACTATAGTTGCATGTGGAAATATCAATTTGTATTTTAATTTATTTAGCTAAGTGTACTGAGTAGTATTTATATAAAGCTAATGATTCGCAGTGGCAGAACAAACCGTTTGCAATGGGAAGCTGGTTTGTCTTGTTAAGTTATAAGAATTCAATAATAATAAGAATTGTACTTAAACAAGAGCAACAACGTTGTGGATTATTTTTAGCCGACAAACAATAGCCGATTATGCCCCTTGCAAAACTTATAATATTTTGCAGCTAACTTTGCAAACTACCGAATTCTTTACTTAATAAAAAAAAAAACTCTGTATAAAACATAGCTTCTAAACTATTTTAAGTTTGTCCACAATTCAAAAACACTTTTAAAGTCAATGGACGCGAGAAAAAAAAGTCTCAAAGGAATTTGAGAAGTCCATTAATTAATTTAAAAATCATGCACGGCGTAGCTACAATTACTATGGTTATAAAATCCTGTCTATCTGATTTTTTTCGGACTTTACTAAAGATTGGATGTATTTGATGTTTTAAATATTTTCGGTAACTAAATCAAAATTTAAAAAAAAAGCAAATCAATTTGGTTTTCACGTGTAATGGCGACATAAACAATAGCATCCCGCTATTCAATAGGCTGCCATAAATTTTATTGTACACACGAGCCGACCCGCGGCGTATCATACGCCGCTAGCTATTTAGTTGATTTATTTTCTACTTTTCAGTAATTCATAATTTGTGAATTCGACAGTACCAATTCTGCCACTGAAAATATTTGTTTTAAAACACTAAGAGTAGGTCGTTAAGGACGATAACCCCCCCCCCGCTCCTTTCCCTCAACCCCTACCCTACCACCCCCCTCCCCCCCCCCCCCCCCCCCCCCGTGAAAGCAGCCTCCTCTTAATTACCTCCCCTAAGTTTTCTATCGTCTCCAAGAAGAGAATTATATATATATATATATATATATATATATATATATATATATATATATATATATATATATATATATATATATATATAGATTGTAAGCTAAAAAAAGAAAAAAAACTAAGTCATGGGGTTTAAATTTGCATTGTTATTTAAAAACTTGATCTGCAAAGTTTTTTAAACAAATAATTATCGATCACGGAGTTCATGTACAGCCAATCAACATCTGTCTTACGAAAGTGAAACATCCGGTTATAACTAAGGCTTGATGAAAATAAATAGAAATGTAGCCTTAAACTCAACAAATTATTTTCACGTTCTCTGGATTTGCAACTTTTATAGCATTTATTCTAAAAATATAAAAACTTTAAATTAATTAAAGGCTTAAGTTTTTATTTTTTAAATTATTTTTACGGTCTAAATCTAAAAAGCACCTTTTTATTCCATGTTAACAACATTATGGAAGGATTCTCGTCAACTCGCTCGCGTTCATTGGATGTAATCGTTTAAAAATACATGTTAATTTATTTAATCTGTTATATATATATATATATATATATATATATATATATATATATATATATATATATATATATATATATATATACATATATATATAATAGAAAGCATATTATATTGAGATCAGTCACAGCGTAATTTGATGACGTCATTATAAATATAAAAGGAAATAAAAATCTCAAACCACAATGTTTTCTGGTTTTAAGAATGTGACGTAGTACGCATCATTTGAGACGGCTCCTTCCGCCATTACAACTTTAACAGCACGTGTGTTCATGGTTTTGACATATTTTTGTCCAGATCTGAATAGAATAATACTTCAGTAAGCTGAACGGGTATTTATTTTAGCTTACAAACCTAGACGTATGGGGAGCTTAAAACGTTGTTTCTGGTACACTGGACCTGAGCCTGACGGTCGTGTCTCAAGCCCTAAAGCCAAGGTTCAGTCTGATCTTGTGGATCGTCCTGCATTAGATTTAGAAGGTAACTTGTAAAACTGAGGAATTGGACCTATTGTCTATCAGTTATTAGTTATTAGTAATGCTTGGTATCAGTTATTAGTAATGCTTGGTAAATTGGTAGAGCTTACGAATGCTAACCCGAAAGTATTGAGTTTAAATCGCTTATTAGTAGAATGTTCCTAAGACCACCCAGCTCTGAAGAGCGCCTGACTCCTGCCAAGGAAAGTAAAAGCGGCTGAGCAGACTGCTCACCAGCTATCCCTTTATATGTCGCTGAAACAGGTACAGTGGTTTGGGGTCCATAAATGACGTCATGCTTTTTTTTTACGATTTTTACCTCCCCCCCCTTCCCCTCCGTCACACATGGCCACAAAAAAGCCACCCCCCCCCTAAAATTACGTCACACCTCAGTCTACAAACCCCCTTAAAAAAGGCTGTTGAATTTTTCTTATTTAAAACCGTTTTGTAAAACGCGAAATAACTGCTAAAAATCGTTTTCTAACATTTCTTTTTCATAATGAAAAAGTGTGACGTCCCAACATCTAAACCCACCCCCGCACCTCCCCCTCATCACACACCGTCACAAAATTACGGACCCCCCCCTCTCCCTCCCTACGAGTGTGAAGTCATTTATGGACGACCTCTTTGCTAGATGTACTCGTAAAAAAGCGCTGCCGGGCGCCAGAGGCTACGTCTACCAACCCGAAAGTCTTGAGTTCGGATCTCGCGTCTGTACGACGTCCTTGATCCCCCCCCCTAGCTCCAAAAGGTACCAAAACTCACGTCATGAAAAATAAAAGTGGCTTTACCGCACTATTCTTTCATAGACGTTGTTAAGAAACACGCTGACTGTATTTCATCTGCCCTATGAACCGTTAGGTCGAAAATGGGAACTTTAGTTCTTTGTTTTATTTAATACATGTGTTAAATGTTTAAAAGTTTCAAAAATATTGTGTGCTCATATTAACCAATGAGAGCAGGACAAAACACCATCACCCCGTCAATTACCCCCCCCCCCCCCGGAATTTCTCCTCTGACATTACCCCCCCCCTTGAACAATACCCGCATCCCCTGTCACTTAAACCCCGCCCAGTTAGGGATAGGGTTAGGCTAGTGCTAGGGTTAGATGTAAATTTAGAGATGGTGCTAGGATTGATGTTGGAGTTATGGTTTGCTAGCTTTGGCTGTTAAGGTTAGAGTCAGAGTCAGGGTTCTTCAGGATGGGGGGGAAGGGGTAAGGACTCCGGGTGGGGATGCTCGGGGCGGTGTTTGACATGGGGTAATGTCCTAGACTCCTAACAAATAGTTTTAAATAAATAAAAGCACAAAGCCTATGTTCTAGGGCTTTAACATCATATGACATATTTATTTTCTCTCTAGCTAAAAGTACTCCCGGAATGATGGGGCTGTTTGGCAGGATCAAAAAACATAATTCTTTCACAGTGCGCTACATTAGCATCGTCTTGCCCATCCTGATTGGGTGAGTTATTCATCTTTGTGTTTACATGCTCTTGTCATCATCTCCACACGGCGTGCGTTGGGGTGGGTAGGATATATATATATATATAGGTGTAACAAGAAAATAAATAATGTTTTAGTTTCATTAAACCATAGACACGTTATCCATATAGATTCATTGTTTATGTAGTGAAATACAAAGCAACTTCTTTAACTACCTTACGTCTTAAAATATCATCCATTAAGAATATCAGCCGTCTAAGAATAATATCTTCCGAGCCATCTATACACATCATCTTTTTATGGAAACCATTTATAAATATAATTTTGACTATGTCATGGGAGGTTGGCGTGGTCGCGTCAGTTAAACTCGTGGTTGCTTAAACGAAAAGTCCCGAGTTCGAAACCCCTGGTAGATGAGTGGACTAATCTCACAAAAAACAACTGCTGCCATCTAGTTTGTTCTTGGATGGACATTGGCTTTGGAAGGATATCCAAAAAGAAAAGCAGGCTGAAATCGGAGCAAGCGATTGACAAGGAGTTCCTAATTGGGTTGGAAGGAATCTCTTCCAACATTAGAATAAAGAAGGAAAAAGAACTGTCTGTCTACAAATACTATCTTTGTATATTTACTAGAGAGTTGTCTATTCAATTATATTTCTCTATTTACCAGCATATGGTGTAAACAAGAGATTCTGCCATTGTTGCGTGGACAGCTTGAAGAACAGTATGAACAGTATAAACAGTGTCAAGAGATCTGCAGTGCAAGAATGATGGCACAGCTCGCAGCCGCCATGAGCAATGCCGTAAGTCGGGATAGCAATTATCAGAAACTATAAATAACCCTTAAAGTTCCCTTTCAAACCTGACGGTCTATGGCGCAAGTGAAGTAGATTTCATTTGTTTCTGTGACGTCGGGATATGAAGGTATATGAAGGGATCGTGTGGTCATCACTATGCCCAGCCGCCTTTACTTTCCCTAACATGAGTTAGGTACTCAGAAGAGTTGGGTGGACTCAGGGATTCGAACTCGAGACTTACGGGTTAGCAGTCCAGCTCTCTACCGCTAGAATACTCCGTCCCCTTAATAAATAATCCTTATCAAATGTAAACTTTATACGGAACTTTTAATAGATCTACTAACATACTAAATTTTATGCAAAGATATACAAACCTACTAAATCTTATACGGAATATTTACAAGATATAAAATCTTTTCAAAGATAAATAAACCTACTAAACCTAATGCTAATAGGCTAAAAGATTGTTGTGTATATCAAACCTATAAAATTCGTGTCGAACTTAAAACCCATGACGTATTGTTTATATATATATATGTACACACTATATATATATAGTATTTGTTATGTGTATTCACTGTTTCAATGGTAGGCCTTAAATTTTTAAATTTGTAAAAGACGTTGAAAAATATTTCACCCCAATATGTGCATCTACTCTAGTAACTAACGCTACTACCATTATCTCCCCTTGTTATAGGATTTGGATGTCATTCTCAGTAACTCGGCTAACCAGTTCGTCAGTATCAAAAACATACT